GTCAATTGATTCGAAACTTTCTAGTGGATAAAAGGCTCTAGTGTCAGTTTAGATGTGATTGGTGCATATTTTAGTTGGATGGGAATTCTAGTTGCGATTTTTACTGTTTAGCTACCCTATTATTGGTATTTTTGGGATATTTTGAGTGGTTTCAAAGAGTTCAAAAAAGTCCAAAAAAGAAAAAACCTAGCTAAAAAAAGAAATCAGCTGTAATTCTGACTCATCTGCGCTCCAGAGTAAATGAACGGCCTTGACGGAGTTTACGAATAAAATTTCATCAAAAACCTGTTTGGAACATTTTTTCCACTAATCTTAAGTAGATTAAGTCGGTTGTGAATAAACTGCGGTAAGTATGAAGATTTTCAAAATTCGTGAAAAATGACTGAAACGATTTTTTTGAGCTTCCGTGAGATTCAGAAGAAAAAAAGAAAATATTACAACAAATTTTTCGTATTAATTAAAAATGAAAATTGAAAAGAAGAAGCTACGAACTTTTTCGGGTAAGTGTGAGAAAAATTTCAAAGGAGCAATCGCTAGAGAATTCCATGGGAAAATGCGAGTCTTATTGGGGAAGGAAGTTTTTCGAAGGATTTCAGAAAAGGGTAAATTGAAAAATGAAGTTGTCTTAAATTAACAGTTACAACAAACATTTTAATTCGCAAATTTTGTGTTTCACAACAGAAACATGAATTAAACACATGAAAAAATGCGGCAAGAATCAAAACAGATGACAGATAGAAAAGGAGAATCGAAAAAATGTTGAGTTGACCCTGACGCGGCCGTTTTTCTGTGATAAGCGAGTGAGAGTGATAACGATCAAAAAAGATTGTTGGAATAAAAATAAAGCGTCAAGCGGAAAAAAGACAAGCTGCGTAAATTGTGGACACCCAATTTGCGCTAGCAGTTTTTGGTTGGCGTAAATTTTGGCTGATTGATGCAAAGTTGTTTTACGGGTTTTTTAAAGTTTTTTTTCGCAGCGTTCAAATTAATTTCCGCGAAATAAAAAATTCTTTTATCATTTATTGACCGCTATTTTAATTTAGTGAAAGCATTTTAGAAATTAAAAAAAGAAAAAAATTAATTTTTTTAAACTGTTTGAAGAGGTTTAAATACATTTATATTTTACATTTTTTAATCATTCGTAAATTATTTGAAAGTTTCGATTTTTTTCAAAAAGTTTAAGCTTAGTTCAGTATTGGACCAGGAGAATTTCGAAGAGGAGCGTTTTTGAATTTAGGCGAGAAAAAAAAAATCTAAAAATTAGTTATTAATACTCAATTTCATGCACATTCGAGATTATGATTACCAGACTTTTGACTTTTTTCCCTTAAAATACGTTATTTCTAGGAAGCTTTTTCACTTTTCGGTTCCTAATTATCTTGAGTTTCAGAGAGCCATAGAGAAAAACTAAGAATAATTCTAGCATGTAATGAAGTGAACAGAAAAAAGTTTAGTACTATTTTTATGAACGAAAAATACACTGCCTGGTTTCAAGCGTTTCATGTTGGGTTTCGAATTTCGGCTCGCTTTTTTTTTGTTTCTACTGGGAAGTTCTATTTTTAGACTATGCGTTCATTTACTTGGGACTTTATTGAATATTCATTAAATGTTTTCTGGTAAATTCCTTGAAAACTTTCCCGTTTTTCTTCAAAATCTATCTCTGCCAGTTTTTTTCTTGAGATTTTTTCAAACTTGGTTTTGTTCTGATCGAAATTATTAACAAAAAGTATTTTTCCGAGGAGAAATTTATAGAATTTTCGTTTTGAGATTTTGACCATAAGTTCCAAAAAGAAAAAGCTGAAAAAAAGATCACTTATGAGAAAACTGAGACTAGACGGAGGAAAAACTCCGGAGAGTTTGTGGAAGAATGCAACGCAAATTTCATTTTACGCCGTCCAAAAATTGGCGGCTTTTCCTCTTTTTTCGCCGGCGTTGATTTGACTTGAGAAGAGCTGAAAATGTCATCGCCTTACTTTTCCTTGGAAATGGGTTTCCCTGGAGGCTTTGTTCATTATATTCGGCGAAAAAAAAGGGATTAGTAATAGATCTAACTGGATAGAAATAGCAGTAAAGCATAAAAAATATGAAGCCCCCAAAAAAAGCTTTTCTAAAACGGCAGTCCCAACTGAGAAAAACTGAAGCAGGTCTTAAAGGGAGTTTGATATTTAGGGTTTTGTTTCTCCTTATAGGACCTACTTCAGCTTTTCCAAGAAGATTAAACTTCAATAATGGCAATCCCATTATTTTGAACCAATTGATTTTGAAACACATCATGAATTTTAGAACTCTTTGGAACTTATGAGGAAGCTAAATTCGCTTTACGCTTGGAAATTTACCCAAAAGTTTGCTAGAATAATTTTCATGTAGTGAAACCTGAAAGTCTCGACCTGGTTAACTTCTAAGTTTTGAGAAATATGAGATTTCAAAAAGAAAATTTTCCGTTAGAGCTAATTTTGATGGCTTTCTGTGTCTTCGAGGTACCTTTGTTCTGAATCTAGGAAGTCCTCGGAATTTTTTATTCGAAGAAAAGACAGTTTTACTTCTAACCAGGAAGTTTTCTGATCGACTTTTGAATGGGACTGGGTTCATTAAATGTGGTTTCTCACGCTGATTCCAAATCAGGTCTCAGCAGCTGCAGTGTGCGCCTCTGAGAGAAGTTAGGGGCATTTGAGCCAAAAAGTCCGAGAGCTCATGATGTTCAGATATTACAATCTTATCAAGAAAAAAAAGTAAGGTTTTTTTTCCGGAAAAATGCATTTTGATGCCACACCGCTTTCTTTTTTTGTGCAATTCTTGCTCAGTTTCATAATTAGGGCTTTCGATTTGAATTTTTCTCTATTATCTGTTTTACTGAACCTCTTTTTATTTTTCAAGATTCTTTTAAAAAGTGAAGGAATCCATGTGATCTTGTTCAGGCTATTCAGCCTTTTTTGCATTTCTTTGGTCTCTTTCTTTTTTTCTTAAACATTTTCAGACTCTTATTGAGAAACTTCTCAAAAAAATCCGGATTGAGGTTATTTTTTTGAATTTGCTCTTCTCCTAATTTATTTATGATTCTATTACCCGAATCGTGGGAAAAAGAAACCGTTCAAAGTAATTTCTTTCGTATAATATCCGAATTAACTTCTTTTTTTAACGACTCTACGGCTTTTTCCCCATTTTCCACAACGAAAAAAACCAAAGTCCTGGGATAAGTTTTTAGGGGGCCCTATAGGGGGTCGCGATTTTAGGGGGCCCCTATAGGGGGTCTGCAAGTGGCCTTTTTAGGGGAAATCCCTAGGGCCCCCCTATAGGGGGTCCTAAATCGCTCCCTAAAAAAATTGCAAGACCCTCAAGGGGTCGCGAAGACCCCTTGAAACGAACGTGGTTTTTTTTAATATCTTTCTCATTTTTCTAAGTTTTTGAGTTGACTCAGTCGACTCAGTTTTAGTTTAACTTTATAACTTGTATTTATATTTCATCAATTTCTGTGGTGCTTAAGGAAGTAATACGTTATTCACGAACGAGTTGTCAGTAGGATTTTTTCGTTATGGTTTCAAATTGTATTATAATGATTTGTGCTTTTTTTTTGTGCTTCATAAAAGTTAACACGGCAATCTGTACATTGGTTCAGTATTTTCAGTGTTTCGTTTATGTACAATTGATATATTGGTTTGTGTAAATATGTTCAGAGTATTTTTTTATTTTGGTATTTTCAGAGTTTCGTCTATGTATAATTGGTCTACTGGATTGTGTGAAACCGTTAGAAATTCACCGGTAGATGATGTTTGTTGGAGGTTTTTGATGTAAATGCGTGTTTATATATTCTATTTGATTATTGCTCGTTAAAGAAGACTTAATTTTTTATTAAGATGCCGCGGAGTCGCGATTTTATTGATGCGCATTTGTTCTACAGCAGCGATGAAGATTCTGAAAGGTATATCGAAAATGTTGATAATTATAAATGATCGTAGAAGCACGGAATCAGCCGACGGAAATTTTGAGCCGCCACATGAACCAGAATCAACGGAAGATTACCGCGGGCCGAGCAATTCAATAAGTTGCTTTCAAATGTCAACGTTGGTTGTTTTTTGCTCACTGTTCAATTGTTCTTTTTTATATGTGCCAAACTTTTTGCCCCTTATCTAAGTAGTTTCAACCGTTTCCGTGTCGGAAGTCCCAACGTTTTTTTATTGAAAGTTGCCCAACCATTTGCCTTGACACAACGCGTTTTTTTCTTCTATTTTTTTTCGCAAGTAGCGCTTATATCAATATGCTTTAGGCGTATCTTTATTGTCTTGAAGAGCTTCTATTAGATTGATCAATACGGTTTCCGTTAGCAGTGATTTAGACGTGTCAAATATTTATATGGGTCTTTTACGGCCAAAAGTTTTTTTGCTTCCTCGAATACCCTGTTACGTATACATATCTTCAGTTCCTGATCCTGATCCTGATTGCTTTTAATGTTTTCGATTCGTTTCAATAAATTTGGAAACAGTTTCAAACGCGATGAGATGAGTTTACTGTGGATGTGTTAACGATTCGCATTCAATAAGGGTTTCTCTATTTCCTACCGGAGCTATTTCAGAAATTTTTCCGTGCCCCCCTAAAGGGACCCCTAAAAAAATTCGTAGGGGGTCCCTATAGAGTTTTCATTTAGGGACCCCTATAGGGCCCCCTCCAAGGGGCCCTAATTTACCCCTATAGGGCCCCCTAAAAACTTATCCCAGTCCCCCTCCTATCCATGGCGCGTATTTGGTTACATGGGTGGCAATTTTGAAAAAAAGGTTCTTTTCCATTTTTCATTAATTTTTTTCTATCTCGTTATTCTCATTATATTTCAAGCTTATTATTAAAAAAATATCAAATCGCGTAGTTATTCCTGAAATAATTGATCATTTTTTTCATATTTAAAAAGTTTTTCCCGCTCGTTTCGTTTTTGTTTTATTTGCATTGAAAAAAATTTTTTTGCTAATATATATATCGAGGATTTATCCGTGATATGAACGGGTCACGAACAAATGGAGCTGGAACCACGTCAAATTGCGTCAGTTTGGAAAAATTTATTTCAAGAAAAAAATATTTTTTTCAGGAAATTTCCGACGACGACGAAATTTTTGATTCTTGATGATCCTAGCGCTCCATCAGTTTCATCAAATCAGAAGAATGTTGGTATATCAATAAATTAATTTTTTTAAAGTTGAGAGTTTGAAAGAAATTCCAAGATATCTGTTTTTTTTTGACATTTTTTTTAGGAAATATTTAATTTTTATAACTTTTGCGGTAGAAAAATTGTGAAAAAGGGTTATTATTTTTTTATTTGAAAAAAATTCGAAATTCATGCATCTCAATCCAAATTTTGTGAACAAAAAAATTAGCAGTCTCAAATTTATCGACTTTCTGAAAAACTCATCAGAATAGTTTTTGTAAGAAGAAACTGAAAGAAAAAAAGTTTTTTTAAATGAAAAAAATACAATTTTCAGGCTCTACACGGCGATGCATCGGAGAAAGATATCGAAATTGTAGAAGAGGTACGTTTTTTCAACTGATTTCATTCAAGACTTTTGTTTTTTAAGGTTGAAAATACGGCCGGGAGGACTGAAACCATTCCTGAACAGGTAAAAAAATGAGATTTTATAATCTTTTTAAATTTTGATTTGCTATTTTTTTCGGAATCTTCCATTCAGAGAAACTCTTTTTTTAATCATTTGAGTTTTTCAATTTGTGATTTTTTTCAAATTGGAAATCTCAGATTTTTTTCAACCATTTTAATAATGGTTTCCTTATGATTTAAATTTTTTTTTGCAGGCACTTGTTAAGTTTTCCGGCCTCGAAGGCGGCGAAGTGATTCCGGTCATTGATTTGGAAGAGCCGGAACTGGAGGTTTATAGCTTCAAATTCAATATCTTACCTCTTTTTTAGGTCATAGAAAATCAGGAAAGTGCGACCCCAATTGGAAATGCAGGCGTTGAAAGGGTAGGTTTTAATCAAATATATTTTTTTCGCGGTTCATGGGCAGTATATATTCATTTGAAGTTAAGAATTACGTTTTTTGAACAATTTCTACTCTTTCTTGTGACACTTCTCATTGACAGGTTTACTTTTTCAAGTTTCGGATAATGAAAAAAACAATTTTTTTACTGGGTTAAAAACAGGCAGACGAGGAAGGGAATTTTCACGGGATTTTTGATTTTTGTTTAAGTTATTGCTCACTAAGTTACACCTCTTTATCATAATAATAAGGTTAGAGAACATTTTAAGCTTTTAGAATTGAATTAATTATTTTTTCAGACGTCAAATGATGATGAAGACGATTTCTGCGTCGTGGAAAACACTGGAAAAACCAACTCGATCGACAACAAGGAATTTGTCGCCGAAAATGCGATGAAATTTCTAAAGTGAGCTTTTTTTCAGTGAAGGTAGAGATAGATAAACTTTTCAAACGTTTTTTTTCCATATTTTTTCGAGTTTTCGGTTTTTTTCCTTCATTTTAGAGAACCAGAAGAAGCTTGCTTAGAAGAATATGAGTTTTAAAAAAATTTGATATTCAGGATTGTTTCACTGTAGTTTTATCATTATGACAGTTAAAAATCGTATATTTTAGTTTTTTTAAGGTTTGAAGTTTTTAAAAATATTTTTTTTTGTAAAATGAAAAAGATTGGTGACTTTTGGGATTTTTGGAACGAAGGGGAACAGTAATTGACTAATACTTTCCTTATTTCGATATTTTGATGGTCTATCTAAAATATTGGTTTATGAAAATACGACGTTTTTTGTGAAGTGAGCTGATTTTTAGTTCGAGCTCGACTTTGAATTTGGTTCTAATTTAATTATTTCCTTTTTTCAAATCATCTGATATTTTTTCAGATGGTTCTACCGTGTTCCGACTGCAGACTATTATAATCACCTTGTCTATTCCAGGCCAAATTACCTGACAAAATCGGTTCGTTTTTTTTTTCAAATCTTTAAAAATCAGATTTTTGCGACTTTAGATCGTTCCCGATGAGTATGCATTGGATGTGGAGGCCGCAAAACGGCTCCTTCACGAATATTTGACCGTTTTCAATAGTAGAATCAAAATTCTTATCGATTTTTACGACGAATACGCCGAAGAAGTCATTCGTGTTATGCTGATCTTGGCCGCCGTCTTGGGTTTGTTTATTTTTGATTTTTGAAAGAAAATTATTTTCTTCGTATCTATTCAATTATCAGTACAATAATTGGGACATGTGGGAAAGATTTTGAAGAGATTTTGTCAAAAATTGGAAGTTTATAAAAGAAAAAGTTGGCCTTTATGGAAGTTTTTTTAAGTTTTTTTCTGAATTTTTGAAAGTTTATGCGAATTACGATCACAGGCAAATTGGAAAAAATTTTTTTTTAATTTTATCAACGATTCTGAAGATTTCTAGTGTAATTAGGCAGTTTAAGGCGTTTCTGGTTTTTTTTTTTTTGATATCATCGTTCAAAAAACAACAAAATATGGAAGATTTTCCATTTTTCAGTGTTTTACAGCTGTTTTTCTAGTTAGCCAGAAGGTTTTGAAGAATTTCACTTGAAAAACCTTTTTTTGAACATGTAAAAAGTGACGCATCATGTGGGTCTACTGCCGCACTGACGGCCTTGAGCTTTGTGGCCGAGTGGAGGAGCGGTCGGATCGGCGATCGACGGGTCGCTGGTTCGACTCCTCTCCCGGTGGATAACACCGCTGTGTCGTGTTGTAGCGCAGCGTTAATAACGCCGGGTATAGGAAATCCCCAACAAGTAGTCTGCCCGTTCGGTGGTTCCTTGAAACCGAGTGGTTCGTGAACCTTGTACAATCATTTTTGAGTTTTTTATCACTTCTTTTTCAAATTGTTTTGAATACAGTATGTTGCAATAAGGTTTTAAATTTTTCTTTTCTGAGATTTCTCAGAGGCCTGAGGCTTCTTGAACTGAAAAGAGGCTTCTGAAGAAAAAGAAAATTCTTGTGTTTTTACACCTTCTGACTATTTGGAATACTACAGAGACATCGTATTCATTTTCCAGAAAATGGTAATAAGCGGATCGATTGGACTATATTGTGCCGTGAGTACTTGAATAATAGGATGCTGAAAAAGGCGAGAAAGTTTTTCGAAAAACCGACCGTCTTTTCCGATCCTCCGGCGAAAAACGGCCCCAAGGAGCTGTTGGAAGTTTCATTCAAAAAATATTTTTTGAAAAATCGCATATTTTCAGCATTTGTTGGTACTTACCCCAGAAGCGATTCTTGCCACAACGGTTGTCTTTTTTGAGGTAAATTCTGGAAAAAAATCATGGAGAAATAAAATGATATTGTCTTCAAATTAAAAAGTTAGCGATCGCTCTCAAGAAATAAAAATTTTAAAGCTTGTCCCGAGAAAAACGGAAATATTCAATTTAACAGGCTAAAGGCTGGTGTGAAAAAAAGTCGTCCTTTATTCTTCTACCGAAATGACTGCATTCTCTGAAGAAGAAATCTCCGCAACCCAAGCGGCGATCATGAAAGCCGCCGCGGATCATTTCAAAAAACAGAGGGATTCTGGGGTGATCCCTGTCCACAGGTGGGAAATAAAAAAAGAAAAAAATGTTAGTTTTCATGAATAAAAGTCAACAAAATTTATGGGGAGAGTGAAAAAAACTTCCCAGTTTTCTGTATTTGTTATCTTTTTTCAATTCGGTCAAGTCCTACCCAGCTTTTTTTATTCTCAAGAAACTCAGTGAAATGCCGAAAGATGTGAAAAATTTCACTTTGTGGCGGGTATCTGGAACATTAAGACTGCTTGAGAAATTAAGAATTTTCTAAATTTTTTTAAAAAAACAGTACTGAAGTTAGCTTCTAATTACAATCAATTCACGCTTTTGGTACCATTTTTTTCTTTGAAGTTGATTCTGAGACCTTGAATCTTCTTCTCTGCTATTTTCAAGCTTTATCCACAATATTCCAAAATTTCCAGCTTATAATTCTTGTAAGAACTGGGAAAATTATCATTTACAGTCTCTGCGCCCAAAATATCAAGGAGCTGGAGGAGCTCAAGGCTACTCTGGAGGCAAAATGTGAGAATAGCCGCAGAATCACCTTGTTGTCACCAGAGAGGATGGTTTTCTGAAAATTAGAAGTTTTCATTTCTTCCTGGATTATTGATAGGCGAACGCTCGATTGTCGCTCGTGCATCAAGAAGTTTTGCATGAAGTGATCATGGACGGAAGGGAAATGAGGGAGCAGGTATTTTTTCAAATAAAAAAAAGTGAAAATTAATTTTTCACAGATTCAAGACGAGATTGTGTTGTTGGCGGAGAAAACGAGAGAAATAAATGAGATCGAAAAAGTGGTAGGGTTTTAAAAAGTTTTTCTTGGAAAAGTGCGTCTAAATAAAAAATGGACTCAGTTTGGATTTCCGCCTTTTCAGAATTTTTGGACCATTGAAACTGACAGCCATACCAATTCTTTTATTTTTTGAACTTTCGGATTGTGGTTGTGGTCTAACTTTAAAAAAATGTCAAAGTCAGAAACCCATTTCTGACGAATTGGAAGTTCTCATCTGTCTGCGATCTCTTTTCACTCAGCTTTAGAAACAAGAAGATGTCTCGAAAAAATGAGAGCGTTGCCGAGAGAGAAAAGAGTGTAGAGAGAACAGAAATTTTCATTTTGTGATGAGTGCAGTGTGAAGACCAAAATTGGCAGTCCCAAATTTTATCGACCGAAAATTGGCAGTCCCAAAATGTATAGACCAAAAATTGGCAGTCCCAAATCTTATCGAACAAAAATTAGCAGTCCCAAAATCTATTGAGCAAATTTTGGCAGTCCCAAATCGTATCGAACAAAAATTGGCAGTCCCAAATCGTATCGAACAAAAATTGGCAGTCCCAAATCGTATCGAACAAAAATTGGCAGTCCCAAATCGTATCGAACAAAAATTGGCAGTCCCAAATTTTATCGAACAAAATTTGGCAGTCCCAAAATGTATCTAGCAAAAATTGGCAGTTTTAAATTTTCAAAGAAGTTGTGGTTGATGAGATTTCGCCAATGAGTGTTCCAGATAGTTTTTAAAAAAAAATATGGCTTCTTTCAGTTCAAAAAAGTGTTCGAAGAGAACTCCATGATCGACTTGCGAAGTTATTTATGCCCCATCCCTGGCGAATATTGTTTGGCACGACGGGCGGCATTGGATACGGCTGGAATGGAGTTGGCTCGATTGGTGGAGCAGGTATGAGGTCAACAAGAAAAAAATTGTCTTTCTGACATCTTTCGAAGTTCAATGTTTTTTTCAAAGTTTGAAAAGTAAACATTTATAAAACGTTCATTTGTATTTTGCAGATCAATGTCTTGTGCTGGAAAGTCAAGTTTTGCGTCGACGGATTCCAAGCCCACGTTCAGCTGCATGATATCGCCATCGTTCGCTGCGGAATCACGGATCCTCATGTCGCCAGCTCTCAATATATAGGCAAATTGTTAAAATAAAAAATGATTTTTGAAAAAAACGTCATTTTCTGTTTTCCTCCCTCGACTCGCTTTTCGCAGGCTGTTTTCACGTTTATCTATGGGACTGCCAATTTTTTTCAGCATAATGAAAAAAAGAAAAATTAGATTGCTAGTTTTAAGAACCGGAAGTTTAGTATAGTATAGCCACAATATTTAAAATCTTCTCGAATTAAATTAAATTTTTTCTTCATTTTTTCTTGCTTTAGACTTCTTTAATGGTTTTTTCAGGTCTGAGAGTGGCTTGCCTTATCAAAGAGCCTGGCAAAATTGACCGCTGGGACACGGGAACCGTTGGCTGCCGACCAAATTTGATCCATAACGGGAGATTTTTGGTAAAAGATAGCTAAGAGTCGGCTCACGAAAGGAAAAGTTTCAGGTTTTCATGGACGATGGTAGGGACATTTATATGAATGTGCCGTCTCATGATTCGGGTGATATGACAGCAGCCAAATCGGTAGAGTTTCAAAAAAAAAATTTTATAGAAAAGCAGTTCATTATTGGCAGAATATTATAAGAAAAACAATATTAAGGATATCTTTTAGTGTATTCAGAAAGGGTTTTTTTACAAGGAGGTTATTTAATCACCCTAGGAGTCTTTTTCTCTTCCTGCAACATCGTCATACTATCCCGATGTTGCGAAAATAAAGTCGTCGAACTTTAAAAAAAAAATCTCAAACGAGAGCAGAAACGAAAGCCAAACACCCCGGGAGTAGAAATGAGATCGCGAAAAAAAAATTTCTTAACTGCAAAATTTAGATTTCTATCGAAAAAAAAAATGATAAGACGTTCTCAAATAAGTGTTAATGATACAGATCCCATACGGAACTGACGACGACAAAATGATGATGAGACGACTTTGTCTTATGAAGGCCTTGCCGATGGCTCTGCAGAGCTACCCGGAGAAGAGCGATACTTGGAGTGTTGGTTTCAACGTCGATTAATAGAAATACACTATTTTTTTGAAATATTTAAAAAGCATTCAAAAAAAACTTGCTCGTTCACTAGTTCATAAATTTTATTTAAAGATTGATCGCCCTGGAGTCGTCAATGTATTGAGGGACCATGCGCGTGTGCCATTTTTGAGGAAGTTAGTTTTATTATTTTTTCATAAAATGCATTCAGAAAAGTTCAGATTCCTGAGAAAATATCCGGATTGGCCGTTGATTCCAATGAAAAAACGAGGGAATGGCGATCATGTCAAGCAGTTGAAGGTAATTTTTTCAAGTCGAGATTTTATTATATATTTGTTTTTCTTTGTTAGTTTTTCTTTGTAAAGTTTCTCAAATCATTTTTTTCAGATCGTCGACCCGAAAAAGAAATCAAAGGCGGATGGTTGCTGTGAGTATTCTTTTGATTTCAGGTTCTAGGATAAATAGGAGATAGTTGATTTTGAATAAATTTTAAAAAATTAATTCGTTGGTCACAGGATAGTTTATTCATTAAGTTTTGAAGAAAATTTGAAAAATTGGGTTTTACAGAAGTATTCGGTTTTCAGATTGGAAAGTTGAAATATACAGTACCGTCAGAAAAGATACGAAAAAAAAACGCGACTTTGGTCACAACTTCATTGTGAGGAGTTCGATCTTCCTGAAAGTTTCTAAAGCTTTTTTGTGTGAACTGAAACTTCTTCAGACTGTAAAAAAAAAAACAATCATCGCGACCCCAAAAAATTTCTGGAAGATTGAATTCCTGACAAGAATTTAAACAGGAAAAGTCACAAGAAAAACTTTTCTTCATTTCTATGCTTTTCTAGGTTGTGGACGTGGACTGTGCGCTGTGCACGGTTCGGTACATTCCCGACGCGAATGTCGATGGCCGCGACTGTTTCCAATTTCCATGCCACCAGCACATCCACCGCGATGAGGTCGTCTACCGTGGGTCGACTCGCTTCGAGAATATAGTTGCTCCTGAAACATTTGACCCGAAGACGTACTTCTTTTTCTAGATGATCGGCCAGAATGAGCACAGCAACGTCTCGCGAAGAGCCAGGGACAAGTTCCGCAACCACTTCGACACGGCTGAGCCGTTCCTCAGCGAGCCTGTCTTCTCTCAGCCGCGATATGTTGATCCTGCGGTTAGTTTTGGGATGAAAACTCAAACAAAAATGGATATATTTTTCGAAAAATCGTTTTTCAGCAGAGTGGCAGGATGAGACAAGTACAGGAGCCGACTCAGGCACAGTTTTCAAGGGGACAAATTGAGGGTCGATACCGTAAACAGGCATTGGTAAACTATGAAAAAATAAGGTTTTTGTCTAAATTATTTTCAATTCAGATAATCAAAACGAGGGTTCCAGCCACGCCGGCTCCTCCGTCGTTGAAGGTGAATAAAAAAAAAAGCAAAATGAAAGTTTTTCAGATATTGAAGGTTTTTTGAAAATTTTTCGAGGTAAGGAAAGCAAAATTTGAGATTTTGAGGCTGATGTAAAATAGTCCTTGTAAGCTAGGTTCCAGTTCTCCGTTAAAAACATTTGCTTGATAAAATTTGGGACTGCCATTTTTCAGCTTGAAAAGTTTAGGTCTGCCATTTTTTGGCTTGAAATATTTGGGGCTGCCACTTTCAAACATTGCAAGTATCAATCAATTTCGAAACAGTCTGACATCTCTGCGTCTTCTTATCTCTCAACAGCGATTTTATAGTGACCTGGAATAGTCCCTTAAAATGAGAGCCTCGTCAAATAGACTGTTTGAAAGGAAAGCGCATTGTCTTATGGGTATTAGCCCAAGCAGTTGCGGCTGCGGAACGGACTTTTTAAGGCATATGTTCCCAACCGTGACGCTTTTAGTCATTTCAAATGCGACTATGCCCAAGCAGCATTTATTTTTTCAGCCTCATAAAAAGTGCAAAAAGGATTGTTTGCGAGATTTGGACTGCGATCCTTACGACTCGCGCTTCCATCAGTGTTCGCCTCTGCATATTCCTTCCGTTTGTGGATGGACTCGGACGGTTTGTTTCGTCTTTTTTTTCTGAATCACTTCCGTGAAGTGGGAAGAGCATTCTGATAAGCGTTTTAAAAAATTTAGGAGAAAAGCGTTGGATTTAGGTCAAAAAGGTTCAAAAATTCGATTCTCTTCAATACTTCTACGTGAATTTATCTGAATATACTAGAAAACAATTTAGAAAATTTGCCAACGGATAGTTTCTTCAAAACGACCCAAGGAGAAAATTGTCGTCATGTATCGTGCGCCATGTGGAAGAACTTGTCGAAATTTCGACGAGATCGCCTTGTTTTTTTGCGGGTTTTTTTATATCAAAAAAATGAGATTTATAATGAATATTGGCTTCAGGAAACGGGTAGTCGAATCACTATCGATTGTTTCACTTTTGACGATGAGATTGAGACGGATGTCTATGTGACGGTTTGTTTAAAAAACTTAAAACATCATAAATTCGAAAAAAAAATTATAGGTTCAAAAGAAGTTTGTCTGCAATGACGACTATGCCCATGGAATTGAGGTTTTTCTTGTTTTTTTTTTTGCATGTTTCAACGCTTCTTGGTCTCCGTTGAAAGTCGTTTTGAGTCGGGCGCATTTGGATAAAGATAGCTGCGGCCAACTGGTTTTCAATAACTTTTTTTTTCCAGAGAATGCCGATCCCAGCAGTCAACTCTGTGGATGATGAGCCACCGCCGGAAGTAAATTGATTTCGTTTTATCAAGGAAATATGCTTTTTACAGTTGATTTACACGAATCAGCGTTTCCCATATGATCAGACTGTTGATGTCAACTCGATCAATCGTGGATTCTGCTCTGGATGCTCTTGTGAAGGTTTGAGGAAAAGAAATTATCACGGCGCGAGTTTTTAATGAAAGATTGAAAAACGTAGATAAAAATGAATAAATTTATGTGGGGTTATGTTAAAAAGTCGTCTTGCAACAGAAATTTAATTACTGCAAAAATCAAATTTAATGACTTGCTAAATGAGTTTTTATGCTTGAGAATACTTAAGATTGACAGAATTCTCCTTTTTTTAAATTTTTAATCTTCATCGTGGAAATCTCTCTTTCAAAAATAGTTTTTAGGAGATTGCTCAGACGCAACCAAATGCGAGTGCCAGATGCTCAGCGCGGCCGAATATGAACGACTTCCAAAGGGGCTCAAAATTCCAGAAATGAAAGGCGATAAAGTCTACCCGTTGGTGTTGAAGTCAAATTTAATATCGATTGATTTTATTTGAATGGAAAAGTGCAAGGATTTAAGGTATGAGAACCGTATCATTGCCGGCAAGTACATGGGCGGCATCTTCGAGTGCAATGACCAGTGTGCCTGCAACCGGTCCAGTTGTTTCAACCGGGTCATTCAGCATCCAATCAAGTATCCTATCCAGGTGCGTAGGAAATTTGATAAAAAATAAAGGTTCAGGGTCAAAAATAGATGAGAATTAGTACTTGGGAGATGTCATAAAAGATTTTTCGTGAAAAAAGAGTTTTCCATTTTTTAAACTAAATTTAACACCGTGAAAGTATACCGTAACATAAAAGAAAAATTAAAAAAAGGCGACTCGATTTTGAATTTTTGAACATCCCTATAGAACTTCGATTTTTTGCGACTTTTTCATATTAAACCGATGATTTTTTTTTGCAGTTGTTCAAAACGGCAGAATCAGGCTGGGGCGTCCGGACGCTGGCTGACATCCCCGAAGGAGCCTTCATCTGTACATATGCCGGTGCACTCCTAACCGACGAAATCGCGGATCGATTGAAGAATGAAGATCAGTACTTTGCTGACTTGGACTTGAGAGATACTGTGAGTTTGGGGCGAAAAAGTGCGCAAAAAGTGAAGGTTTATAAGCCACGACGATTTTGTCCTTTTTAGTGAACTCTTAAGAGCCTCTTACAACGCTAGATGAGATCATGTGATGAAATAGAATCTTAAAAAAATTGGTCATGAAACAGTCTGATTTCTCTTCGCACCTGCCTGTATCTCTTTTCCCTTACACAAAAAAGGAAAAAAGCGTCATAGAAACTTGAAAATAGCACATGAACAGAAGAAAGTTGAAGAGGTAGAAGGAGCGCAGAGAAATCGAAAAATTGGAATGACAGTACTAAAATTGGCAGTCCCAAGTTTTCCGAATTGAAAATTGGCAGTCCCAAGTTTTCCGAAATGAAAATTGGCAGTCCCAAATTTTACGAAATGAAAATTGGCAGTCCCAAATTTTCCGAATTGAAAATTGACAGTCCCAAATTTTTGGAATTAAAAATTGGCAGTCCCAAATTTTTGGAATTAAAAATTGGCAGTCCCATTTTTTTTTTTGTGATTTTAGTTGGCAATCCCAAATTTTTCGATATCAGATGTTACAAGTTGTGGTGAATGACCGATATGAACTAATTTTTCCAGGTGGAGCGGGAAAAAATGTTCGAAGACAACGAGACGGACGAAGGCCTGGGCGGCGATTTCGAATCCGATGAGGACTATGAGAATAACAGCGAAACGAGTGGTGATACATTTGTTGCCACCAGGAACAATGGTTCTTGAAAAAAGATCAAACTTGGATTCGACATAAAATTATGGTCAGGAAAACGGTCGAAAAGGCCCAGGACCGATGATTATCGAGAGGAGAGCGTCGTGCCCAGAGAGACGCGACGTCGCAACGACGAGGAGAACTTTTTCAAGTGGGACGAGTACTTTGGCGACAACGCCTTGTTTGTCGTGGACGCCAAAAATCGCGGGAATATTGGAAGGTGATTGTATTTTTATTCACAGATTTCTGAACTCAATAGTCACTCTCAAAAGGAAGGTTATTCATTTTTGATTCCCGGGTTTTAGAGATTTTGAAAGCTTTTTTAGCTCTCTCCAGAACAGCCAATTATTTTTTTAAATCAAGTTTTCCAGATTTTTGCCAAATGTGTATGTACTTATTAGCAATTTCCGGGTTTTAGAAATTGTGAAAGCTTTCTTTAGCTCTCTTCAAAACAGCAAATTATTTTTTAAGTTCAAGTTTTCCAGATTCCTCAATCATTCCTGTGAGCCGAATGTGTATGTACAGCACGTGATGTACGATACTCACGACCTTCGACTTCCTCATTTGGCCTTCTTCTCTAATGAAAATATCAAGGCTGGAGCTGTGAGTATGCTCTTCTAGAGACAAAGAAAAGTCAGAAAAAATTTTGATTTGAATTTTCAAAAATCTTAACTTTTTTTGTTTTCAGAGTTTTTTGGTTTTTTCCTGACATTTTTTTAATTCATAAAAAGTTCAAAAATTTTAGGAGCTCTGTTGGAACTACTCCTATGAAATAGACGAAACGAAAGAACGGGTGAGAAAAAAAAAGTAATAAACATGAAAAAATATAATGTTTCAGATCATGTGCAAATGCGGTGCGAAAAACTTGCCGAAAAGCGACTTCTTTGAGAAAATATATGTTTTTTTGATTTTTTTGTAAATTTTTACTGTAAATTATTTGATTTTTCTTCTATTTTTTTCATCACTGACTTTGATTTTGATCTCATCCTGTGGTTTCATTATGAGTATTTTATATATTTTTCGCTTTATAAAATTTTACGAACTTTCATTTTTCTCCGTTTTTGTGCTCATATGTTGATTGAGCTTCAGATTATTTATATAGTTCTTTTTAAAGATTTTTATTTTTTTACCTTGTTCTCCTTTAATCAAGTTACGAACAGATTATCGAACAGAAGGGATTTGAAAATGATTTTTTTAACGGAAAAATTAGCTCCTGAACCGGTTTGGAAGAAAGATTGTGTGAAAAAGAGAGAGACCTACAGAAATATACGCTTTTTTTTAATCGTTAGCCTAACTGTGCAGTTTATTCTGATCCCTTGAACTTGCAAATTTTTTTAAATTGTAGTCCAAAAACTTGCTTGGGTTTACGAAAAATAGACTTATATTTGAGAAATTTGATGAATTTAGAGGTTTGGTAATTGATCAAGAATAAAAATCTTGAAACGATTTACATAGAAACTCAAATTTACTTGAAAATTAAGAGAATTTGTTGCGGTAACTCGAAAAAGTCGAACTTTGGTCAGGAAAATGAATATATTCAGGGTTTCCAGTGGATGAAACGGTTATTATCCATAACTTTGCGATATCGTCCCTCAAGGCACAGATTTTTGCCGCATCGAACTTATTTTTCATCATTTCTAACCTTAAGAACTTCTGATATCAATGGGAGAGTACAATTTAGTTCTTCTACGCCTTCTACAAGTGAATTTGGTTGGTTTTTTGTAACCGTTATTCCAAAAAAAAAAAATTGTTTCGATTTATTTTTAACCGCTCTGCAAGTCTATTTTTACCAGAATTTTTAAAAAGTTTTTCTGAAGATTTTTGAAGCTTTTTACCTTGAAGATAGCTTTTGACAAAGTTCAAAACTCGATTTTCACGAAAATGATTAGTTTAAAAAAGTTTTCTGATAGCAACGGCGAAGGGATCGATCTGTTTCATTTTATGGTTTTTTTATCTATAACTTCGATGAAACGTATTTGATATGGTCAGAAGTCATTTTTCGAAACAGTTGGAACTTGATGACATCTTATGACTTGGTGATGTTCATGGTGAAATTTACATATTTTTTTCAAATAAAATTTTTTTGGATCTGAAAAATTTCAGTTTTTCTTTTTATGTCCTCGAGCCTTGGCCATGATTCATCCATTTTAGGACATTAAAATTCATTGAAAAAGTAAATTTTATATAGCTTCTTCCTAGAAGAAATACCAAACGATAGTTGAAAAAATTTTGGGCAAACGTTTAGTTCACAAAAAGTGGATTTTTTTTTTTTTGAAAAACCTCGCTTTTTCTGTTTGAAAAGTTGTTCTTTCTCTTCATTAGCAGTTCAATACTTACAAGTGGCACAAATTCAATTCCATAATAGTTAAATTTTAAAAAAATTCTTGCAATTTAGTTCGAGAAGCCGCGAAATACGCTCGAAAATCGCCAACTGAACAAATTGTGAAAAAAATTCTTGCAATTTAAAAAAATTGTGAAAAAATTCTTGGATTGTGGACCGCAACCCGTGCCGACGACTAACTCTTCGATTATACCATGATTCAGCAGAGATTTTTTTTTTCTACATCTTACTCTGAAGACTGAATAAATTGTGAAAATTGTGAAAAAAATTCTTGCAATTTAGTTCGAGAAGCCGCGAAATACGCTCGAAAATCGCCAACTGAACATGTTCTACTACGACCGGATACATATATCGGCGGAGTTGGGATGCGAGAAAATGAGGTTCGACAAAAGGGAAGAAAATGGCTTGAGATAGAAATATTGATTGAAGAATCCTCGTTAAAGTCTTTAAAGAAGCATAGTCGAATTTCATGAAGGTTCTCTAGGCGAAGAACCATTTTTAGTGTGCTTTTTTTAATCGTAAATTTTTTTTTCAAAGCAGAGACTGTTCAAAAGGCCTTAATTTTTTGGAAAACTTAAATAATTCATATTTTTCGGTGATTTCAAATGACAAGATTGTTGAGGAAATGGTTCAAAAATTGTTCAGACGGTTGAACAAAGCCTCAAAGTTTGAAAAATTTTGCTAGTTTTTCTTCAGAGAGAAGTTATATTTTGATTAATAAAAAAACCTACTTTTTAAGGTCGATTTTCGAAACTTTATTCAAGAAGTTTTCCTACCAAAGACATTAATTGGTTTTTTTTTTTCGAAAATTAGCATTCCAACGCATATTAATATTCTAAATAAATCTATTTTCAACTTTTCAGACCGCCTGGCTTTTTTTGACAGTGAGAAGCAAGTCATGTACTCCCGGTAAACAATGAAATTTGCCCGATTTCTATAGTATTTTCACACAGAAACGTGACATACCCGCCTGGTCTGCTGAAAATCTTTGATGAGATTCTCGTCAACGCCGCTGACAACAAAGCTCGAGATCCGAAAACGATGAACGAGATTCGCGTGGACATTGATAGGTAAAAAAAAAGAAAAAAAAAGTCTAAAAAATGTCTAAAAATCGGGCTTTTTGAGTTATGATGTACATAGAGACCCTGAAAATATCAACCATTCTTCACTTTCCCCAAGATTCAAGTCATTTTTCGTTATCAAAAGGTTATTAGCCCCTTTGGCGCGGCGTATTGTATTGCCCTGACTCTACTAGACCACACTCTGCATCGTGGCGCAGCAGGCAAGGCGTCCAGCTGTCGCCCGCGAGGTCACAGGTTCGACCTCCACGCCGGATTTACCAAACGTGTACGCGTCATTTCAGGCATGCACGAAAGGCTCCAGGCGAATATAAAAGGCATCCCCGAACTTCCACCTGTGGTTTAACGCCATTTGTGGTTAATATTGGGGTGCTAAAGCTCTTTTTGCTTTTTTTCTTTTGAATTAGAGGTTCGGCGGCTTTTCAGGACCTTTAATGTATTTTTTTTTGTATTTATGCTTTTTCGACTGAAAAAATAGACTTTTCTTTAACTTCTGTTAAAAATCTTTGTTTTTTAAACCCTCGGTGAATTATATTGGGTAGGTGCCAATTTTTTTCTGCAGTTCAAGAAGTCCGACAGCCCATTTCAATGTATTTTTGTGATCAGAAAAATAAGAGATTTCATGATTTCTTGGTATTTTGTAGATTTGACTCAGGTTGAAATATAGAAATAACGAAAAAAAGTATTCAGTAAATAATTATTTTCCAGAAAAAAACGACACGATTTCAATTTGGAACAACGGTAGAGGCCTGCCTGTAGAATTGCACCCCACTGAAAGTTTTTTCGTTTAAAATTCCAAACATATTTATTATTTATTTGAAGAAATTTACGTCCCAACCCTGGTCTTCGGATCGCTATTCACTTCTTCGAACTATGATGATCAAGAGGTCAAAATTGTAGGTATGAAATTTAATTTTCTACAGAGTCCTGTAAAATGAAGTTTTGGTCCTATTTTTAAATAATGGAGGAAAGTTTTAGGTGGTCGAAATGGGTACGGAGCCAAACTGTGCAACATTTTCTCGAAGGAATTCACGGTTGAAACGAGGGATTCTCAAAGGAAATTGCATTTTCGACAGGTTAGGGGAGAGAAGAAAAAACTGTAGATTACACCAGGATTTACTGTAACATCTGCGATGCAATAAGAAAGTTGATAATTGCTAAAAAAGGGTCGCGGTTTTTTTTCGGTTTACTCAAGAGTTCAGTTTTTAGTAGCAGAAAAGTAGCCACTTGAAAAGAGCTAATACTCCTTGAGTGATCCATAAATCGCTAAAAACTACCAGAAAAGACACCAGGCGATTTCCTCTCCAGTGTATCCGTTTTACCATTTTTCTGAATTCCGACATATTTTTTTTTCCAAGCAGTTTCGAATATATTCAGCGATGGCACGAAAATATGCAGAAATTTGACGAACCGGAGGTGAATCCAGAAGTTACCAAGCTTGCCGACTTTACCAAGGTATATTTTTTCATTCGAATATCGATTTTTATAATCAACTTGCTAATATGAAGTATTTGGTATTTGAGAGGTGGATATTATGAAATTGTTTTGAAAGAGAAAACTTTATTTTATCAATACATAAATACAATAATTATTTTACATGGGGAGTCGAGATTTTACAACTTTGGTGAGATTACTGTAGGCTGAAACAGCGCATTTATTGGTGTCTGTGCTCGCGGAGGTTGGCGAGGTTGGGCTGCTCCTTGAGCCATGGCTTGACCTGTGTGCCGCCCTCCAGGACGTGTTTCTCTGGAATTCCATGAGATGAAACGGTTTTTTTTTCGCGAGTCTTTTCTACAATATCCAATCAAATCAAAGTTATTTTATACTGTAAAACAGTAGATCGAAAAAATAAAGAAATAAATAACTGACCATCGTTCTTTCCGCTGAGAGCGCGGCCGGCGTCAGAGTCTGCAAATTTTCAATTTTTAATAGGATTTTGCGAAAAAAAAGCTGGTTACTCCGCTTGACGAAAAATATTGGGAGGAAAGCCGCCAAAGGTCGGGCGCAGTCAAAAATAAAGATGAAACGTGAAGTTTTACGCTTTTTCATGTGGAGAATTAGCGGACTTTTAACTTTGCAAGGAAAAAAAGTTTTCGTGAGGATGACTATTTTTCTTCCTTCAAGTTGACTTTTTTCTTTAATTTCTAGGCTTTTTTGTATACCTCATAAAAATTTTGAAAAAAGAAACTTACTCGGGTGAGGTACACCTTTTTCCGATGATTTCCTGATGATCTCCGCTCAGGGCGCGACCGGCGTCTGAGTCTGTAAATTGGATAAATTATCTTAATATTAGAAAAAAAAATAAGAAAAATTATTATCTTCATTCTGAAAGTTCCTTTTTATTCAACTTCTGCTTTTTTTAAATTTTTTTGAAAAAAATGGTTTGGAACCGATCATCCCCTTACTGAGGAAGGTAATATTTTTCTTTGCGGTTGATTAAAATTGATAAGAAAAAAAGTTGAATCTTTTTGGCAGTCCCAAGTTTTATCGAGCTGAAAATTGGCAGTCCCAAATTTTTCCGAACTCAAAATTGGCAGTCCCAAATTTTTTTCCGAACTCAAAATTGGCAGTCCCAAGTTTTTTTAGGCTCGAATTTCTACAGAATTTCCAGATAGATTTTTTTGTATGTTCTAAAGAATCAAATATATAATATAAATATTCCTAAAAACCCACTGGGGTGAGGAACTCCCTTGCCGATGGGCTCTTCGATGGGCATGGCGATGACGTAGGCTACAACGACGGCAACGATCAATACGCGCATCATCATTTTCACGATTTTCGATTTTTTGGATACTGATTTATAAGAGGAGCAGGAGAAGAAGTTCTGTAACAGTTGTACAACTTGTATTCTAATTTAAATTGTTCTTTTTTAGGTTTACGCGATTTTTCGAAGTTTTCATGTGAGAAGGGTCGACATGATCTTGGGTTTTTTTATCCGATAAATATTTAACAGCCAATAAATTTTTTTGAAATCTTCGCATAGAACAAAAAGTTAGAGTGAAAAAAATTGGTTATTCAGGGCTTTTTGAATTATATTATATTAAACTATCGACTTCCAAGTGAAAAAAATTCATTATTATTTTTTTCAAATCATTTTTTTACTCGATTCTAAGTCAAAAAGCCCAAGATCTCCGTCAACTCGCAACTCTACGAATCATACAGAAAAAAATACATATAACTAAAAAAATCCACGCCCACACAAAAAAACCAAAAATCTTTTTAGTGTTAGTACAACCGCCACAGAACCCGTAAAATGTTAGAAATAAGATCGACAAAAAGCAGAACAAGACAAAAAAGCCAAGCCACAACACAGAATCCAAAAAAGAAATGGGACGATTGGAAGAGTGAAGAAAAATAAACAGAGAAAATGCTTTCGAGAGATTTTTTGAACCGATCGGGTGATAAAAACCGATATCGTCAATATTTTGTTTGCGGTTTTCAGTGCTTATCAGCGAAGGCGCTCTTTTTGATGTTTGATTTTCAGCTTTCTGATAAAAAAGGAAAGAAATGGTCCTTTTTGAACTATAGTCTATCCATCTAGACCTTAAATACGCCCTAGGAAAAAAACGCTTTTGAATTATAACTCATTTGGAAATTCTTAAAAAAACTAAAAATTGGTGTAAACTTTATAATCAAATTTAAATAAGTTTTTTTAAAGTTTCAAATTTCAATAGGTATTGTTGATTTAAATGTCTCTTAAATGATACCTAAAAAAAGGCGCAAAAAAATTTTTTTTTGAATGGAATCGTCACGTCAAAAAGAGTTATGTAAAAAGGAATTATCAGGAAAAATTGAATCCGGCCGTTTTTTCAAGACGAATTTCAGAGACCATTCGAAAGTTTCTCACCAGTTTAGCATTGGAAAAGCTCTTACTGAAGTTTTTTAATCGTAGAAAACTTTGAAGATAAAATGAAGAAATCGAAGAATTTTGTAACGTAACTTCAAGCTGAAACTTTTGAATTAAGTTTTTGAAAAAGTATTAAAAATAGGAGGTTGTTCAAAAAAAAAATAGAAGGAGAAGCCTTGGAATGTTGATAAAAAGCCGGCCGTTCACGTTTATATATACGATGGCCTGGTGTCGGAATCGGACACCTCGTGATGAGGGGCGGGGTCGTTCTTGTGGGCGTGGCTTTCGCGTTGATGTTTACCTTGAGCTTTTTCGGCTGAAATAAACACGGATTTTTGGTGGTTTTTTGAAGATTTTCGAAAAAGTTTACAAAGGAAGTGGTCTTTTTTATGACCTGAGAAATTTTGTAAATAGTTTGAATTGAGAATCTACGAATTTTTAACGTAATTTGAAGCTTACATTGATATATAAACGGTTTTTAGTGATGATTTGATTTTCAAAATGGCTTTAAACTGGAAATAGCGGTTTTCGTAAAGTTTTCTGTCTTTCGGATATTGATAGAGCTCGAGTTTGGAACATTTTAAGCCTTTTTTTGGTCCCGGAAGCGATTAGAATAGTTAAAGTTTGCTCTATTGCCAAATCAGTGTAGGTTTTTTGAAATGATTGATAGTTCGCTTCACGGATAAATAAAATATCTTCTTGGACCTTCTCGGACATTGGTAACGCGAAACGGAAGTGCTGCGGACGATTCTGGACGTTTCTAGTGACCACTTCAGTAACGTCAGGACTTAAGTGATCCCTAGAATTTCACAGAAACGAGCGGAACGCGTCCGGATTTCGTTACCGATGTCCGCTTTTCTTGGAGAAAATCCAAATCTTTTGGAAAAGTTAATTTATTCCAACTGTTAGCTTACAAATATTTATTTTTGTCATGATAAATAGCCCAAAGGATCAGTCAGAGTTCAAGGAGATCCGATTTTTTTGTTTGTTTTCCTACAAAATCGGCGCAAAATGCCACGTTTGACGGCCTGACAAACCATGACTCATGAGGAAATGTCTTATTTGTGGAAGTTTTGGGCCATTGAGAGATTTTTACCTTGAAAATTTTATTTCAAAAAATCTGGATCTTTGGTGGTTCAGAATAGGGGTGTTCAAATTTTCAAAATGAGCGTAGAAAATTCTATTTTTTAAAGTATGCAGTTTTACTTTGATCGTTTCACCGAGATTTTCAAGCAGGAAGAAAATTGAGAAGAATTATTGAATTTTGCATAGTACTTTGTACTTCAAATTGAGAAGAATTATTGAAACTTTGAATAGTACTTTGTTCTTCTTGGACTTTAAGCTACCGATGAGTCATTCTGGTGTTTCTCGAACACTTTCGAGGTCACGGGACGATTACAACGCTTTTTATGAGCCGCCAAGAGATTTACTGCCTCGAGTCGAAGATGAGAAAAAAAATCGTATCCTTTTCGAAGTTTTGTGCTATTTTTAGAATTTCTGAATGAATATATTGAACGTTCAAAAGGCTTGAAAAATGAGCTGATTTTATGTACTACGATGTCTTTGTGATAAGAAGGCACTTTTTGATCAACTAGATCAATATTTACTCGAAAAGTGCACTATAATATCATTGGAACAAGTAAACAAGGAGTTTCCTGAGTCGGTGGTTTTTCGAAAACAGTTTCAGGGAAGATAAAATGAATCAAAAACCTTAAAAGAGTTGGATTTTAGAATAGGAAGGTTGCAGAGATAGCTCTTTTTCGAACTAAATTTTGAAAAAACGTGAGCTTGTAAAGGATAAAATAATTGTTTTTTATCAAACTGCTGTGTCCAGGTTAAATTCAATTTTTGTAATGTTAACAGATTTATTTAAAATTACCCTTCCTATATTCTGAGGTGGAAAATTTTGATTCTACGCATAAGAACCACTTCTCATCGAGTTTCACAGAGTTTTTAAGCTTACCTGAGATTTAATGATTCATTGGTCGTGTGGTAAAACGCTGGAAAGTCCTGCAAAGAAGTTTGACAGGGAGAAAAATCAGTTAAAATGAGTACCATTTGTTTTTTTTTTGAAAGGAAAAAGAGCAATTCAAAAAACAAAGAAAGCAACCAGAAAAGCTCATTCTTTCCTCTTTTGAGCGTTTTTATATAAGCCACTTGTTTTCGCGCTTTTCCTTTTGTTTTCCTACAGTACATTTTATTTGTTCAGTTCAAAAGGTAGGTGTTTGAAGGTACACGTAGGGCGAAAAATGGGAAATCAAACAAAAACGTTTTTTTCTTTGTTTTTGGGGTTTTTTTGATGATCCGTGGAATTTGATGGATTGTGTGCAGGAATTATTTGAACAGGTGTCTTTTTAAAGAAACATTGATGATTTGAGAAAGTTAAATCATAAAAATCAGAAAAATTTTTATTCGATTTCCAAGGTTTTGGCGCTGAAAAACAGTGAAAAAGGCAAGGAAAAATTTTTTTGCAAGCGGATAATCTTTCTTTTCAAAAATAAAATATTGGTTTTTATTATTATTTTTTTTCTTTTGTTTATGGGAAATATGTATTTCTTGCATACGATATCTTCTTGAATCAATTGGGCTGAAATTCCGGAATTTATTGCTTCTTTATTGGAATATTGACTTTTAAAATGACATCACAGTTCTCCGAAAATGATGTCATTTTTCCGGAAAAACCCTTCAGGCTACCTGAGGAAGAGCACAAATAAACGCGCGGCTCCTCATTCCTGAACTGAACACTTTTTTTTCTTTTTTCTCGGCTGATAACACCACCTACGTCAGTGATCTGTGTGCGATTTTAGTGTTGGAAAGCGGAAAAAAAAAAACCAAAGTCAATAGAAAAATAAATAAATCATGACTCATTTGGTTTTTTTATTGCGGTTTTTTTGATAGCAAATGATAAGACAGTGAGAATGAATTGTTAGCATCTCTTTTTTTGAGGATGAGTCATGAAAAGCGCCAAAAGTATAAAGTACATTGGACTCGAGCTTGAGAAATGGGAGAGAAAGATTAGAAGTTTTGAAGAGACGCCAGAGAAGTGGCAGGACTCTCGTTGTCTGGCGTCTCTTAAGAGTAGCGCTTCTTGTTTCCACTGTGAAATGTCCAAAAAGGCCTGAAAAGGTATTCCAAATCAAAATTTCTTTGAGAATTTTCTGACGTCATTTTAAGAAAAATTCTGAAAACTCCTTGTAAGCCTTCCGTTCCATTTCGATCTTTGGATACTTTTTTTCTGGATATAATAATTCTCAAAAATGATCAGAAAATAGATGTTCCATTTCAGGTAACCTTCCGACCTGACTTGAAACGGTTCGGCCTGAAAAACTCTTACCGATGACGTCATCGATCTTCTGAAGCGCAGAGTTGTCGACGTCGCGGCAACCCTCCCAAATGACGTCAAAGTCTTTTTGAATGGAGAAAAAATTCAGGTTACTTTCAAGATTTCTTCAAGATTTTCTAAGAAAACTATTGCTAGCCTTATTTTTCCCAAACTTTGCAGATCCGCGGCTTTCGCGAATATGTCCAAGCGTTTTCTGGCGCTTCAGCCTCCGATATTTTGTTCCGAAATCCGTCGAGCCGCTGGAACGTCGCTGTTTCTATGAGAAATGCGGATTCTAACCTGCCTGGAGCCGTTAGCTTCGTTAATAATGTCGCGACTACTAAGGTTTTCCTTCAAACAGAAGCTGGTTAGGGAAAAAGAGCCGCAAAATGGAATTTTGACGGTAGTTTTTTTTATTAATAAAGGCAGAACATCACTCGAAAGAAACAGAATGAATTAATTTTTGAAGCTATTTTGGAGTAGTATTTGCGCACCAGGGGTAACTCTGGACAGTAAATGAAAAATCGGCTAGAAGAAATGTTCAGTTCGCATGGTTTAATAGTTCTCGAACAGAAAAAATGAGGAGGATACAGAGCCTGACTCGAATTGGTCGACTTTTATGAAATTTCATTTTCAACCTTGAAAAAACGCAAATGCCGAAGTAACGGCTACTTTTTTGAATTTTTTTTAGGGTGGAATTCATGTTGACTACGTCATGGATCGATTGATCGAGATTTTGAAACCGGCGATCGATGAGAAAATCAATAATCCTTCGAAAAATGACACAGGAAAGAAGACTGGAGTTAAACCACTCATGGTGAAAAGTTCAATAAAATTGAAAATCAAAAATAAAAATAACAGATCAAATCGAATCTGTCGCTTTTCGTCAATTGTTTCATTGAAAACCCGTCGTTCGATAGTCAGACCAAGGAGGTTTTGACGACGAAATCCAAAAATTTCGGGTCGAGTTTTGAGTTTGACAGGAAGGTTTCAGAATTTTAAAAAAGAATTGAGAGATAAAATTAATTTATAGGAGCTTCTTACTTGGGCGAATCGCAGTGGTTTTGTCGACTCCATTATTGATCAGCTGAAAAATCGAAAAGTTGACGTTTTTACTGATAATATAAAATTCATGAAAATAAATTCTAGATTACTCAAAAGTCAGTCAAATCCAAGCCGGAGTCTCTTTCGGATATCGTCAAGTTGGAAGACGCTGAATGGGCCGGAAATTCAGATGCGAAAAAGTCGAGTCAATGTACTTTGCTGGTCACGGAGGGTATAATATTATGAATTTTTGAGAAATCAATAAGTTTCAAGCTAAATTTTTGTTTTCATAGCCAAATTCATCATAATTTTTACAAATACGATAACTTACAGAATGGCTAGATTTCTGAGCAAACTGGAAAAATGAAAATATGAGAAAAATCTTGAATTTTTTTTTGTGTTCCTGAAAAAACTTCAAGCACACATCTTTTCAGGAGATTCGGCGAAAGCTTTGGCTCTTTCTGGTCTGGAAGTCTTGGGACGGGAAAAATTCGGTGTTTTTCCACTACGTGGCAAAGTTGTCAATGTTTCACAGTTGGATGAAGCCAAAGTTTATCCTCTTTTAAATTTTTTTCCCAAATTTTCCATGATTTCAGGTCAGGGAGAACGCCGAAATCAATAATTTGATGCGCATTTTGGGGCTGAGATTCGAAGAAAATTATGAGAGCGCAGCGTCGCGGGAAAGTCTGCGCTATGGGAAATTGATGATTCTGGCGGATCAGGTAGGAAAAATGAAATAATAAAATGGAAAAAAAGTAAAACGCTATCAATAACTTGAAAAAAATGTAAAAATTTTTCAAAATTAGCAAGAACAATGAGAAAATTTTATTTATTTTTACAGTCACCTACCCAAACTTTTATTAAAATTGAATATACCAAAGTTGAATCTTGGGAAAATATGGGACTGCCAATTTTTGAGCTTCGAAATTTGGGACTGCCAATTTTACGATAGAAATTTTGGGACTGCCAATTTTTAAGCTTTGAAATTTGGGACTGCCAAACTTTAATTTTGAGAAATTTGGGTCTGCCAATTTGTGAGCTCAAAATTTTGGGACTGCCGATTTTACGGTAGAAGGCTTGGGACTACCAATTTTTGAGCTCAAAATTTTGGGACTGCCAATTTTTAAGCTTTGAAATTTGGGACTGCCAATTTTACGATCGAAAATTTGGGACTGCCAATTTTTAAGCTTCGAAATTTGGCACTGCCAAATTTTAATTTTGAGAAGTTTGGGTCTGCCAATTTGTGAGCTCAAAATTTTGGGCCTGCCAATTTTACGATAGAAGGTTTGGGACTACCAAATTTTGAGCTCAAGGTTTTGCGACTACTAGACTTGCTATTTTTCTTTCAAAAAAAAATGACAAGATGTGTTTTATTTCTCAGGAAAATATAGAAAAATTTGAAATTTTTTTTTTGAGCCGTGATTGTTAGTTTTTTGGTCACCATGGACAATATTTTCTTATTTGGGGTGAGAGTTATTCCAAAACGCTCTGAAAAGTGGCTCCAGCAAGGCAGAACCTCAAGAGAGCTAGCCTATCGAGAATTCACTCCAAACTTCCAACTAGAGAAATGTTTTAGGACGAGGACGGCAGTCACATCAAAGGCCTCATCATCAATTTTATCCACAAATTTTGGCCGAAACTCCTCGCCACCGAGTTCATCTGTGCGTTTCGAACGCCTTTGCTGAAGGTTCCAAAAAAAAAACCCTCTAAATAAACTTTATACCATTTTTTCAGGCCAAGAGAGCCAATGAGACAATCCCCTTCTATTTTCTAAGGGATTTTCGCAAATGGCAGGAGAATTTGAACGAGAAGGAGGCTAGAAAGTATACTATCAAGTATTATAAAGGATTGGGTATTTTTCATTCATTTATCCTTTACTGTTAATTTTTTTTCAGGAACTTCAACGGCCGTCGAGGCGAGACAGTACTTCTCGAATCTGGATCATCATGTTGTCAAGTGAGGCAGTTTGAATATATGATTGGAAAATTGGGAATTTTAAAAGAAATTGTTTTCAAGAGTTAAAGAGAGAGTTTTTTAACCTAGAAACTTCTGATGAATCATTCTTTTATCTTCTTTTTTTCTTCGAAAAGGAACAAGGGATTATTTTTGATTTATTCAATTTTCAAACAAAAATATGACAATTAAAAGCCGAAAAATGTTGGTTTAGAGTAAAGTGAAAAGAACTAAAACACCGACAGAACCAAGTACGTCAAAAAAGTCACAATTAAATTTCACTGGGGAGGGAGTTTAAAAACTTAAAAAAAAGAAAAGAAATATCACCAAGAATACAAGTTTACAGTTAGAAGACTATAAGCGACCGAAAATATTAAAAAGTCAAAAAATATCGGAGATATTGAGAAAATTAGAAGGAAAACAAAAGTACGAGTCAGGCTATCAGCGACTAGAAAGACCAAATAAGTGAGCAGAATGAGAAATTATAAAATAATAAAGCAGAACTACGGTTTGGATATGATCAGTTTCGGGGGCCAGAAGGCATCTCGATGAGCGTCACGACCAACGACTTCATGGCATTCGGATTCCAGTTTGCGAGAGAAAGAGCAGAAGGCTGGACAGATTCTGAAAAAGAAAATCCCATTAGTGGAAGTCGAATGAGGTTGAAAAGTTACCTGAAGAACGGCGACTCTCCCGATTTTCCCGAGTCTTGCGGATCGGAGCCCAAGTCACACGTTTCGAGGCTTTCGGAGACATCTTGCTGCGAGGCGGAGTCTTCAGGATCCCAGAAGGGGCTTCAGGAGCGCGGAAGGCTGATTCTGGAATATATATTCCATTAGTTGAAGTTGACAGAAAATGTACCTGAGGAACGGCGAGACTTTCGGTTTTCACGAGTCTTACGAATCGGAGCCCAAGTCACACGTTTGGCGGCCTTCGAAGAGATCTTGCTGCGAGTTGGAGTCTTCAGGATCCCAGTTGGAACTTCTGGAACAGGCTTGACGGACTTCGGTAGAGCGAGGTCGAGCGAAAAGTCGAGGCTTCTGCGAGTTCTGGTTGTGGTGTCTGCAAAATGAAAGAAAGGTTAGAAAATGCTAAAAGTACAAAAACTAACCCAAAGAACGTCGGATGTTTTCGCGTAGAGGCGCATTTGCCAGAATGTCGAACACTTGAGGAGCTGGAGATGCTCGAACTGGGCTCAGAGCGTTGAAGTCGAGACTTCTGCGGGTTCTGGTGGTGATGTCTGCAAGTACGGAATTTTTAGAGATGAATCAAAAAAGAATATTTAGTATGAAAATCGAAGTGAAAAATAAACTAACCCAAAGAACGGCGAATATCCTTCCGAAACGGCGCATTTGCCAGACTGTCGAAGCTCTGAGGAGCAGTTCGGACAGGGCTTTGAGCAGAAGAAGCAGAGTTCATCGTGAGGAACAGAGGTTCAGCGACAAAAGTTAGCTCGAGCTCTTCGACGGCGGCTATTTAAACCCAAAAGAGGCGGAGTTAGTCGGTCCACAAGCCTCAGGCGTCCCAAGTGTCAACTTGGGAGCTTGGGCCGCGTCTCACACCTTGTCACTGATCAGTCGGAACTGGCGTTGTCCGGGGTTAAATGTGTCAATCGCTTGGTTGGTTTGTTCCCAAATCGGAAATTGGCTCTTAAATAGTGTGACTCGTCAGTGACCTGTCGAAAGGTGTCAGTTGCCTGTTTTGTAACCAATACTTTGGTGTGAATTACTTGATCGACAGTTTTGTATGCTTCCCAGACTGAAGGTTGACCATGAATAGTTTAGGGAAGAAAGTGTGAAATATTATCAAAACATGTTTTCAGTTTGAAATCTCAAAAAAAATTTAATGGAAAAGAGCTGTTTACTAAAAATCTTTAATTCCCTTGATTCTGTTCTTCAGTAGCTGGAGACTACACGAGTTATGTTGTTGTACCTGAAACTTTGGTGAATGAACCTATGTAAAGTACCGTCCAAAAGGTTGTGAACTTTTAGTTTTTTGGTTTAGTCCTAACTTTTCCCTTAGTAAGGATATTATTTTGAAAATTTTTGCAGGGCATCTTGTGGGATTAAAATACATACCCACAAAATTTCACAAAAAGTATGCAAGAAAAAAAATGTTGTGTTAATTTTTCGAAATTTTGTACATGGCGAATTTTCCGGATATTAAGTTCAATCCACAATTTTTTTGTAAATAACAACATTTATTGAAGGAGTCAATGTGTATATAGGTTATACAAGTCTAATGCTTGGTTGCAAAACCCCGAAAACTAATCACAGCTTGGCACCGACGAGGCATAGAGTTCATCAAAGTATCGATAACCGACATCAGTATTTTCTTCCACTCTCCACTTAAAAATACTCTACACTAACTCATTAATTAGTGCTTCGAAGTTCCAGAAAAAATTTAATGGAGTTCGGTTGTTTTTTCAGCGCTCTAGGCCTGAAAAACTAGTTCACAACCTACTGTATATTAATCAAAGAGAAAGAAGAAAAATTAAAGTGAAAGACGGAAAAAAGAGGAACTGGGAAAAGTGTTCGCGCGGCTGGCTTCTGATTCTAGGACAGAAGATAACAAATTTTCCGGTGGCTCTGAAGACGCCTAAAAGGTTTTTTTTGTTGATTCGAGAAACGTTCCGACAACGCTGAAAATGTTCACTTTCTATTAAAAAAAAATATCTGATAGCCTCGTTTTAAAAGCATCAAGAACGCCTTCTTTCGAATTCCGTAAGCGATAGCTTAATTTCTCACATTTATACATATTTTCAGTCTTCATAAAATATTCTCTGCTGAATCATGGAATAATTATAAAGCTGTGGTCGGTTTGCGAAACTGTCGTTGATCCAGAACGGTATGCAGATCATCACGCTCTCTTTGTGGAAGTATATAGAAGAGTTCTAAACATTCCGACAATTTCTGCTTCTTCATGTAGGAACAGTACGACGCTTGACGGTAAGTATAAAGGGAAATGATCTGGGTTACTTCAAGAAATATAAAATTAAAGAGGGAGAACCTTTTGAAACCTCATAAGGAAGGTCATTCTACTTTGCGGTTGGAAATTGGTCAGAACATTCTTTAATGCACCAAAAAAGGTTCTGAAAGCAAAAAAAAACCTGCACAACTTAACCATTTTTGAGAAACAAGGGCCCAAAATAGTCCTTTCAGTGAATTTTAAAGGTTTTCTTTATTTTGAGGTGTCTTTCTCAAAAAATCGGAAGTTGTGCAGGTTGAGAATTTCAGGACCCTCATCCGGTACATCGAGGAGCGTTCTGGCCAACTTTCAGGAAATTCTCAACCACAAAGGGAAATGACCTTCCTTGTGAGCTTTTACGTCAGATCAAACTCTACACTTTGTCAATTTTCTAATGAATTTTTCTGCTGATTGTTATTTTATAAACTTTTGAAGCTACAAGTTTTTTGTTTCAAATTTTTTTCACAAAATATTCAGGAATATCACCATAATTTTTACGTAGAAGGGAGTGAACCTGAAAGCGAAGATTGACCGAGTTTCTCGAATTTTTGAGCTCCTTTTTGTATTCTTTCGTTTTTTTTTACCAGTAAGAACAAAGATTTAATTTTTTTTTTGTTTTATTGACTTTTAAACAAAAATATAACAATTAAGGACGAAAATTTTAAAGTAGGGTAGAGTAATAAGGAAAATAATAACACCGAATAGACAAAGATCATCAGAAACCTAAGAAAATAATCACTGGAGGGGACACTTACGACAAAATAGTTAAGAAAGTAGTACCGAACAGAGTTAGAAGACTATATCAGTGACTAAAAGGGACCAGAAAAATTATGAAGTGGAAATATGAATGAAATACAAGAATGGGGAAAGGGAGTAAAACATCAAAGTTAAAAGGTCAGCGACTAAAAAGCTAGAAAATGGGAGATTAGCGGATGAAATCAAAAAGTAAAATCAAAATTACGGGTTGGAGATGATCAGTTTCGGGGAACTGGACGAGAAGGTGTCTCGAGGAGCTTCACGACCAACGACTTCATGGCATTCGGGTTCCAGTTCGCGAGAGAAAGAGCCGGAAGCTGGACAGATTCTGAAAGGAGAATCCCATTAGTTGAAGTCAGATGAGGTTGAAAATTTACCTGAAGAACGGCGACTCTTTCGATTTTCCCGAGTCTTGCGGATCGGAGCCCAAGTCACACGTTTCGAGGCTTTCGGAGACATCTTGCTGCGAGGCGGAGTCTTCAGAATCCCAGAAGAAGCTTCAGGAGCGCGGAAGGCTGATTCTGAGACACATATTCCATTAGTTGAAATCGACAGAAAATGTACCTGAGGAACGGCGAGTCTTCCGGTTTTCGCGTGTCTTACGAATCGGAGCCCAAGTCACACGTTTGGCGGCCTTCGAAGAGGTCTTGCTGCGAGTTGGAGTCTTCAGGATGCCAGCTGGAGCTTCCGGAACAGGCTTGACAGACTTCGGTAGAGCGAGGTCGAGCGAAAAGTCGAGGCTTCTGCGAGTTCTGGTTGTGGTGTCTGCAAAATGAAAGAAAGGTTAGAAAATGCTAAAAGTACAAAAACTAACCCAAAGAACGTCGGATGTTTTCGCGTAGTGGCGCATTTGTCAGGCTGTCGAACACTTGAGGAGCTGGAGTATGTCGAACTGGGCTCAGAGCGTTGAAGTCGAGACTTCTGCGGGTTCTGGTGGTGATGTCTGCAAGTACGACATTTTTAGAAATGAATCGAAAATGAATATTTAGTATGAAAATCAAAGTGAAAAATAAACTAACCCAGTGGGCGACGGATCTCGATCCGAAGGGGCGCGTTTGCCAGACTGTCGAAGCTCTGAGGAGCAGTTCGGACAGGGCTTTGAGCAGAAGAAGCAGAGTTCATCATGAGGAACAGAGGTGCAGCGACAAAAGTTGGCTCGAGCTCCTCGATGGCGGCTATTTAAACCCAAAAGAGGCGGAGTTAGTCGGTCCACAAGCCTCAGGCGTCCCAAGTGTCAACTTGGGAGTTTGGGTCGCGTCTCACACCTTGTAACTGATCACTCGAAACTGACGTTGTTCGGGGTCTAAATGTGTCAATCGGTTCGTTGGATTGTTCCCAAATCGGAAATTGACTCCTAAATAGTGTCACTCGTCAGTGACCTGACAGGAAAAGGTGTCAGTTGCCCGTTTTGTAACCAATACTTTGGTGTGAATTACTTGATCGACAGTTTTGTATTCTTCCCAACTTGGAGGCTGACTATGAGACGTTAGTTGAGAAATAGTGAAGTGGTGGCCAAACTAAACATTAGGGGATTGATATTCTTTTTTTCCAACATTTTAGCTCTTGAATAATATTCCTTTATCCAATTCAACTCAACAGCTTTCAGCTACAATAAAGCCGATGAAGATGACGAAGCGTCCATTCGGATGGCTTTCGATCGGGAAAAAGCAGAGGAACGGCGACGTTGGATCGAATCCGTGCCGGCGACGTCTTCTGAAGACCTACCTTCGGATGGGAGTTCGATGTCTTTCAAGGATTTTGTCGACGGCGAAATGATGCGGTTCGGGCTGTTGGATTTGCAGGTAAACTTCTTGGGACTGCCAATTGGAGCCTCCATATTGGACTGCCATTCATGGAGCCTTCCTATTTGCATCAAAAAAAAATTAATGACACGATTAACTGATTTTCTATTGAGTTGAGTACTTCAAGCTTCATTATTTTAATACAATGAAGTTTTCAGAGAATGACCAAAGTTATAAGAAGCTTCAAATTAATATTTAGGTGGAGAATTTCGAAAGGTTTCATAAGATTTCTAATGAATTAGCTACTGCAAAAATCTTATAATTTAACAAAAATAAGAAAAATAAGAACAAAAATTCCACTGTCAAATTTAACCAAGCCGCTCCAGTCGATTTTTTTTTCACAAACAAGCTTAATTTTCTTTTAAACTCTCAGGCTTAAAGAGTTAAAAACGCTTTTGAAATCGATTTTCCGTCCGAATTAATTCTTTCTTCTCAAATTTCGAGTTTCAGAGATCGATCCCAAGCGTGGTCGATGGGCTGAAGCCTTCTCAACGCAAAGTTCTGTACACTTTGTTAAAGCGGGATAGTGATAAAGAGATAAAGGTTCATTTTATCTTGTTAAGAAACTCGAGAAAATTCCGTTTTTTTTTCAAGTTCTTTTTATTTTTGGAAGTTTAAAGAAGTCCTGTTATTTTTTTGTTTCGTTTTTTTAAATATTCATTCTCAGGTCTCTCAACTGGCTGGAGCGGTCGCTCACAGTCAGGCCTATCATCATGGGGAGGTGGATTTTTTTTTTCGAATTCACTGAATGGTAAAATTTATCAGGAAGCCCTGGTGAACACAATCGTCCGGATGGCGCAAAACTTTTGCGGAGCCAATAATTTGGCCTTACTGGAACCGATCGGACAGTTCGGAACGAGGCATGAAGGAGGACATGACGCGGCTTCGGCTAGATATATTTTCACCAATTTGAGGTTTCCAAATGGGTCCTAAGGGTGGCAAATCATGAAAAATTGGTTGGTTTTTCGAGAAAATCTTGTCATCACTATCTTGCAAGGAAGGTCATTCTACTTTGCGGTTAGAAATTTTTTGAAAATTTGTCAAAACACTCCTAGAGTAACAAAAAAGAATTCTGAGAACCTCGAGTTACATAACTTTCTAGTTTTTAAGAAATGAGGACATAAAGTCGTAGAAAACCTTCAAAATCAGTAGAAAAGGCTATTTTTAAAGATTCTAGCCTTATTTATTGATAATTAGAAAGTTATGCAGATTTAGACTTTCAAGGCCTTATTTTGGTATCTTAAGGGATATTGTGACATACTTTCAGAAAGTAAAACGACCTCCCTCCTTAAATTAAAAAATTTTAATAGTTTTGCTGAGCTTTCTATAAGTTTTAATGTTGTTTTATGGTTAGTTTGATGAAAAAAATATAAAGAAAATGGGGTTCTAAATTTTTTTGGACAAGATCTTCGACCGAAGTGTTTCAAATAAAAACCATCAATTCCGTTTTACGAGATCACGAAAATTATCATATTCCTTTTTTTCTGATTTTCAGTCCCCTGGCAAGAATCCTCTTCCCTGCCGAAGATGATCTTCTCTTGGAACGGCTCCAAGACGACGGCCAACTCGTTGAACCGAAATGGTCCTTTTTTTTTAAATAAAAGTGTTTTTTGTGAAAAAAAAAATAATGAAAAAAATTTCAGGCTCTGTCCGATACTCCCCCTGGTGCTGATAAACGGCGCCGAAGGAATCGGGACCGGGTGGGCGACGAAAATCGCCAATAGAAATGTCCAGAACGTCTGTGACGCCGTGAAAATGATGATCGAGAAGGCGGATCGAGCTGATGTTGGAGATTTATTGGTAAGACTGAGGAGGAAGACATCATGAAAATGGCTTCAAAAAATTATGAAAAACTTAGCATGCATAGACAATGTCGAAAAAGGTCAACAAAGACTAGATAAATGTTCCTTTTGGGTGAGAAAGGCTCCTTTTTGCCGCATTTTTGCGCCATTTCATCGACTGTTATGCACCATTTTTGCTGCCTCTTTTTTGAGCCTTTAAAATCCCAGAATAAAATGGGAGGCTTGATGAAGGGCCCCTTTTTGCTGCCTTTCTACGGCCTTTTTGAGTCTCTCCCTTTTAGCGGTCATTATCCACTACTACGACTTCGCCCTACGGTTTGAAATTGTGTAACACATTGATAAAATTATTGAATAATTAGTTCTCATTCTATCACTTAGTTTCCTGAAGCTTTAAATTTCTTACTTTTGCTCGAGATCGTCTCCAAAAAACGCACAACTTTGAAAAAAAAACACTGTTTTCCTTCTCATGAGGTTTACAATTTCAGTTACCCCACTATGAAGGATTCACCGGCCAAATCCAGAAATTGGACTCGAGACGTTATTTTTCAACAGGAAAAGCTGAATTCGCCAAAACTTCCCGAAAAAATGATCTATGGTAAGTTTTATCAATAAAGACCAACAAAAAAAAATTTTCCAGTGTGAATATAACTGAATTACCGGTCGGTGTCTGGACCAGTAAGTACAAGGAAAAGTTGAACACGTTTCTAAAAGACGGGTTGATCGGGTTGGTTTGAAAGTACTTCCATTCGAAAAAAATTTTTGAACATTCAGAGGATTTTCTGAATCTCATACCGAGAAATCTGTCAGATTTTCTGTAGAAATGCTTGGAAAAGCGACAAGAAATCTGGATTTGCAACGGTTTTTCAAGCTCCAGTCCACCTTCACTGAACATTTGGTTTTTCCTTCTCCATATTTTAAAAAAGTGACTTTTTCAAGGTCTTATTCAATGCTGAAGGGGTTTTAAAACGTTATCCGAACGTTTTGGAGATTGCTACGGAGCATTTTGTGACCAGAAAAGGCCTTTATGAAAAAAGGAGGGAGTTATTATTGAGGGAGAGCTCGGCCAAGTTGAAATACCTTGAAAATCAGGTAAATTTCAAACTTCCATTGAAAATTAATTCGGATTTCAGGCTCGATTCGTGGAAAATTTGGTGAATGGATCATTGAAAGTTACTGGGAGGAAACGAGAAGAAGTCGAGATTCAAATGAAGCAATTTGGCTTTGAAACGAATCCGGTGAAGATTCTAAAGAAACAGGTCAGTTTTCGAGTTGAAAATTTTTTCTCAAAATTTAGCTCAAAAAATTAATTTTTGTGGCGATTTTCAGTTGCCCATCGATCAGCTCGACTTCGCCTATCTTCTAGAAATGCCGATGTCCCGATTGACAAAAGAAGAAATCGAGAAACTCGACGAAAAAGCCCAGAAACAACGAAAAGAACGAGACTCCCTGGACAAGAGCCAGTGGCAGCAAACATGGACCACCGAAATTGAGAAATTTGAAAAGTTTTCCCGGTTTTGAAATTTTTTTGGTGTTTTTTCTAATTTTTCAGTGCTTTCTTGTGTTATTTTTGTTGTGCATGTTGTACTATCTTGAAAAATAGGACATTACTCTAGAATAATGCGGTTTTTCTTCAATGTTTCTCAAACTTTTCAATCATTTAGTTATTTTGGCAATTTTCGTAGTTTGTTAGGGAATTCCTCATGTTCTTTCCTATGTAAAGAGTGTAGGAAAAATAAGAAAAATAGCTTCTCTATCTCTGGAAATTTGTGAAATTCATTCATTTTACCACTTTCCTTGCTAAATTATGTTCTTTTTTTAAATTTTTTTAATCTCTTTTTTTTATAAGCGTGTTTATTGGTTGAAACGGAACATGTCTTGAAACTCTTTAAATCCCTGATAATCGTCTTGTAAGAATTATAAGCTTATTTCACGGCTTCTTCCGTTTCCCCATTGAAAGGGGCATTCAATTCTTGATTTAAAGTTTTTTAAAGGATGCTTTAAAAGTCCAACTTCTTATTTTTATTGTGCTTTACTAACAATTTTCATAGATATATCTACCTTTCGGTTATATTCACGGGTCTCAAATGTCATAAACCTTTTTTCTTAGTCTTTTCTCAATCTTGATTTTGAAATTGACTGTTTTCTTCGAATATATTTTCTCAATGAAAGTTGAAATCGCACTCAAAAATTCAAAGGTTCTCTGATGGATGGTGAAAGAACATGTTATGTGGCGTCCTTTAATGATAAAGTCACTGATGATCTCCTCGAGGAACTTTTTACACAGGTTTTTATTGCCTATTTTGAATATTTTTGTCGACATTTATTCAGGTCGGACCTTTGAAAAAGATCAAGGTTTTGAAGCAGAAAGACTCAGAAATCCGGTTCGCTCTGGTCGAGTTTGAAGTTCGTGGAAATATATGAATTTTGGTTGGAATCGAGAATTTTGAGGATGAAGAATCGGTCCAATTTGCGATTGAGACATTGGACGGGATCAAATTGTTCAATTTGCCTTTGACTGTGAAACCGAGGAGTAAAACCAAACAGGTTCGTTGTGGAAGTATTTTTTGGGAAGATGTATTTGTATTTTAGCTCGTTCAAAGGAAAAATCAAAGTTTGTAGTTGAGGTTTCAAAACAAAAAGTGTACTCTTCCGAACTAACTTTGGAACCTTTTTTGAACTTTTTTTTGCGTTTAGAATCATGATCCTTCCCTCCGATGAGCACATGATATTTAAAATAAAGAAAATTGAATTGGTTTTATTTTGAAATGAGTACTTTTTTCAAATTCTATTTCAGTTCGATAATTTTTTTCTCATTTTTTATCTCAATTAACAAATTTTTTTCTAAATTCGAAGTTTTTCTCAGTGAAATTTGAAGTATCTTGGTCAAACTTGATGTTTAATAAAGACAAATTTCGCTGGGTAATTCGGAGAATATTAAATTTAACCAATGTTGTTTTTTTCAAAGAGAGGCTCAGTTTTTGTTCTATTTATAACTTTTTGATCAACAATTATTTTTCTTGTAACTTCCCGGGTTTTTGTTTCGAGTATTTTATTTCGAAACAATCTTAAATTTTAAGATTTTAAGATTCGATTATTTTTTTGTAAAAAGCTAAAATTTTCAACATGTATTTTCTACTTTTTAATATTTTTTTAAGGATGATTCTAAGCTATAAAAGGGAATATTTGTTTTTTTTGTATTATATATATTTTTTTACAGGAAGAAATCTGGAAAGCGACGAGATCCGAACGAGAACGACGCCAAAATACGAACACTCCAACTACGACGCCTTCGTCTTCTTATCGGAATGACCGCTCACAACCCGCCTACTCCACCAATTCCTATGAACGGAAACGCGATAGTCGGGGGTTCGGTTGAAAATCTTTTGAAAGTTTATTGAATCGAAATGGATAAATATTATCGAACACATCCGGTAATGCAGCAAGCGCAGCTGCGGCCGTTCGATGAGACGAATCCTGAGGCGGCTGACTAAAAAATGGAAATTAGTAGAAAGTCAATATTTTTCTTGAAATGATTAGAAAACTCGGAACTGTGTCTTCTAAAAAAAGAAGTTAGAACTAAACCCTAATATTTCTATGGCTCATGCTATATCTATACTCTTTGACTGCGAGAAAACGGCGAAAAATCATGCGGTAGAGGAAAAATGCGCCTCGAGGCCCTAGTTCAGAGAAGAATACGTGTGGAAAAAAATCGAATTTTTAATAGTTATGAATCTCATTTTTTTCTTCCGAGGTTTTTTTAAAGTTTTAACAATTTTTTTCTCCTGAAATTTTTTTAAAAAAAGGAAAAATTTTTTTCCATTTTTTTCAGGAGTTTTTTTGTAGTAGTTGCAATCTTTAACTAGATATTAACGTTCAATATAGCTTGCTAAATGATTTTATCGATTATTATGACTTTTCAGAATATTTTTTTATTCGAAAAAAATTGATCAAAAATTATAATTCTAGAGAACATTTTCAATTGGCAAATCTTGAAATCTTGTATCATCAAAACTCGTATCTTTCTTAACCTTAAGAATATGACAAAAAAAAAGTTGAAAATTTCACCGTGGGAAGGCCTGCGGACAGAGCGACGGCCTCGCAGCAGCCACTGCAACGCGCCGCACTTTGCGTACCGTCGCTGCAAGAAACGCTGCTCCTCTGGCCATCAATCACGGTAGAAAATCCGGCGCGTTGTGAACAGCCTGACATTTTTCATTATAAATGAGCAGTTTTGAAGGAAATTTTCAATCTAGGCCTTTAAAATCATTGATAAGATAATATTGGATCTTCACAAGTTTTTTTCTAGTCCTCAAAATCATCAATATCTCTTCATCAAGCTTTTTACAATCAACAGTAAAAAAATATCAAATTTTAAAGATCACTTACTGAAGCCACATGGAATACGATTGCTGTTGCCGAAAGTAACCTAAAAAAATTAGTAAAAAAATACTACTTCAAAACACTCACAGAATTTTGTCCCAAGACTACCGCTCCAAGGGCTAGGAATACGGCGAGTTTCAGCATTGTCACCTTTTTTTCAAACAAAATGGCAACTTGATTCAGTTTTTGTACGCATTTTCATTATGTTTTTGATGAGTTTTGTTGCTTTTTCTTGCGTCGACGTTTTTATTCGATACGTTGGCTGATTTTTGATACTTGGGTTTCCTTTTCCTTTTTTGTGAAGTTTGGTGACAAAAATAGAGGGACCAAAAGTTAGAAGACGAATGAAGTAATTGGAAGAGGAAACATCTCAGAAATTCTTTAAAGTCATCAAGGAAGTTTTGAATTTTCGGCACATGAACAATAATCGTCAATACAACAAGACAGAAGACTGGAAAAATTTTTAGTGACCGCTATAGGGTTTTGAAGTTTTAGTGGCCACTTAAGGGGTTAAAAATTAGTGGCCACTATAGAGGTCAATAGATCAACATAACTGGTCCAATTGTTTGTTTTAAAATTATCAGAGTTACTAGAAGGAATACTGGATGAAAAACTACTTAAGTGGCCACTAAATGGAGAACCTTTATAGTGGCCACTTAAACGGAAAATAGTGGCCACTATAGAGGTGTGTTTAGTGGCCACTTTAGTCCTATATAGAGGCTCGCCAAGGACTTGGAGAGGAAACTAACGTGGCCACTAAAAATTTTCCAAGGATAGATTCGAAAATCCAATTCAAAATTCTGACGATCAGAATTCGAAAGAACTCAAAGAAGAAGTTTTCTGTGCATATTTTTCATTTTCAGGAACCAATCCAGAAGAAGCGACGAGTACAACAGAAACGACAATCGGACCCCTCATCGACCTCATCAACAGCACCATCATCACCATCAACATCGTCAGGATCAACGGTACGCGCCGCCGCCGCCGCCACCACCACCACCTCAACCACTCTTCTATGCGTCCTTCGAAGGGCTCCCGCCACCTCCTCCTCCGCCTCCCCTTTTTCCGGACCGTCAGGGACCTTCAGACGTCCCGATGCATGTCCAGTTCATCACCAATCACTATCGGGAACGCGCTGGCGCGAGACAGCAGACCAACCGAGGTTTCTGGCTTGGAATGACAGAGAAGCGCAAGATTTGCGGAAAACATGTTCAAAAATTTAATTTTGTTCGTTTAGAACAGTATTTCCTTACGATTTCGAAGCATTTTTCCTTCATTTTTGCTTTATTAAAGCTCATAAAAGATTTTCGAAAAGTCTTTTCTAAGAAATTTCGAACTTGTAGTTAGGAACTCGAGAGTGGTCCCTATAGGGACAATCTTAGCGACCCTTGGAGGATTTCCCCTAAAACCAGTTTAAAAAACCCTACAGGGGCCTTTGAAGCTTGCAAAAGTGGTCCCTATAGGCGTTTTAGTTAGTGGCCCCTGTAGGGGCATGCAGAATGTACTCTATGCTAAGAAGCATTTCCATGCGAAAAATTAAATAAATACGCGTTTTTAAATGAAATCGAAAGAACCCTATAGGTATCACTCAAGCTTTAGGGGCTAAGTGGTCAAAACCCTTATAGGGAATTCCTTGATTTTACTCCTATAGGATCAATTTTTTAGCCCCCATAGTAGCTGTTTTTTCCCGGTAACCCATATAGGGTCCATTCTGGAATTCCTAAGTAGACTAAGCTGGTTGATTCCTTTGCTGAAATTGAAGTTTTTTTTCTGTAAAAATTTTTTTAATTTTTCCCACCAAAAAAATTTTTTTATAGGCGACGCCTACAGTGCCCCAAGACCACATAGACAAGACGATCGAGGAGGGAATCGAAATGAAAAAAATCGAGAAGATCCGCTCCAACAGAACAGAGGTGGAATGATAGAAAAACGGTGGGTTTTGGAACAGAAAAAAAGTAGAAAAATCAAATTTCAAAAAGCTTACTTTTCAGTTAGAAAAAAAGTTTTTTTTAGTCCAAAAAAATTATTTTTTTGGAGAAATTAGGCTCATTTTTTTCTCAGATCTGACGGTAACCAAGGCGGACGGGGCGGATCTTGGCGTTGAAATTCGAAATTTTTCCATTTTTACTATTTATTTAATAATGATCGCTCAAAAATTGCGTTTTTTGTTGTCTTTCCTCTCATTGTTTTACCTCTTTTTAATGTAAATTTTGCCAAATTCTAATATTTTTTCCTCCATCAATCAAGTTCTATTCTCGGGTATTTTACCTCCCAGTTTGTGCTTTTTGTGATTTCGGTGAATGAATAATTTCCTTATTTGTTTCTCTTTTTGTGTTTGTTTCTGGCGACTGGCGCTATTTTATAATTCTTTTGAGTTTCTTTCTGGAAGATTATTGAAATGAAAAAAATTAGGGATTGAATAAAGGTGGCCATGCGCTCCTTCATGATGAAATTCAGTTTTTTGAAATTGTTCGATTGTGGAAGACCATGTAAGGTTAGTTATGTTGACTCTGAATTCATGTTAGGTCAGAAAAAAAGCGAAAAAAAAAAATTAATTGAAGGAAATAAGCAGAAACGAAAGCACGAACGGAGCTGAATTTTGTGAAACCGTGACCATTATTTACGGCGATTTTTTTAATTATTTTGGTAATTTTTAGTTTTTTTGTAGTTTCTTTACAACAAGGATCATACCACTAGCGGTTGTGAATTTTCTGAAAATTGGTCAGAATATTTCTATTCTGATAAAAAAATGAATCTCGAAAGTCTAACCCGAATAAAATCCCAGTTTCAAGAAATTAGGGCTTTGAGTCAGATAAAACCGAAAAAATCAGTAGAAATATGCCTTTTGAAGCTTTGAGCCCTGATTTCTCAAAAATTAAAAGTTATCCAGCTCGAAACTCTTTTTTCTGGCGCTTCAAGGAGTGTTCTGGGCTGTTTAAAGATATTTCCAAGTGCCATTAAACATTGCTGGTTAGAAAGTTATTTCGAAAAGATGTCATTTCTTAGCTCAAAAATCTGAGACTGCCAAGTTGTTGCACGCATCAGAAATATTCTATTTTCTTCAAGGAAACTTCTCCTTCCGAAATTTCCTATTTTTCCACATGTATTTAGGTACTTTGTTGTGTAGTTATCATCAGAATAATGGAGGTTTCAAGTCAAAAAGAAGGCTTATATTGTCCATATCCGGAAGTTTCGTGTCTGCTCCACCTGCCGGTCTGCGTCCTCTGCATCTTTTCCCACTCTGCATTATTCTTCCAACAATTTCTTCTCTTTTTCTTTATTTTGAACCTTTCTCTATACAGTTTGTGTCGTGAAGAATATTATCATTGCTTTTTTCTTGAATATTGGGAGCTTTTTCCATCTTATGTTCGTTTTTTCAGTCCTTTCCCCGCTTGACCTTGCTACGCGTCCTTTATCGATTTTCTTCTCGTCTTGCTCTTTTTTCCTTGTTTTACTTGAATTTCTTCTATTTATTGTTCATTTATCGATTTCAGATGATCACCGAGCATAATTATACCGAGTTGATGAAAAATTGCATAAAATGGAACACGAGGACGATGAGCGACAGGAAGAAACGGTTGGAAAATGGCTTGAAATTGGAAAATGAGGATTTTTCGTTTCTTCATTGCATATGTCATTAGAAAGTGTCAATATTGTAGGATTTGAGTTTTTTACAAATAAAATAAGAAATCAGTAAGGTTTAAAATAAAATAAGCGTTGCATTTATTTGTAAAAAATGTATTTTTTTTAGATTTATTCTTTTCAATTCCTTTATTATTTTTTTTTTCAGGCTACGATTCCCGTTCTACGACCACCAGACGGGAACGGCTCAACGAGAATCTCATGTGGTTAACAGGAATATTGACCAGAGGCATTCGTCGGCCGATTCTAACACTGTAAACTTTTATTCTAAAGAATTTTTTTAAATATGATCCTACACTTATTGAGTTGAATATTTTTTTCAATATCTAATAACCTTTTTTTACATTATTTGCGCAACAGGAAACATATTTTATTGATAAAGAAATTGTAGAAGCCTCTGGGAAAATTTTTAGTGGCCACGTCAGTAGTTTTTCATCCAGTAATATTTGCAGTAACTCTGATATTTTAAAACAAACATATTGTACCAGTTATGTTGATCTATTGACCCCTAAAGTGGCCACTAAAATATTTAGTGGTCTAGCACTTAGACCTCTATAGTGGCCACTGATTTTCTACCCCTTAAGTAGCCAATAATTTGGCTATTACTACTACCACTACACCACGTCGCCAGTTCATAGTGGCCACTAAAACGTCAAAACCCTATAGGGGCCACTAAAAAGTTTCCCAAGCCTTTGAAGACTTCAACCGAAGCGAATTTTTCGAAAATTTCATTGTGTTTCCAAGTAATATATTCCACAGGCAACTTTGATTTTCCAGGTGATTGCCTATTCGAGCGAACGTTGGCGCAAACGCAAGGATTTTCCGCCGAGCGACGCGATCGAAACAAAAATGTTCCTGCGTGATAATCCGACGCTGGAATCCGCGATTAACCACATCACGAATCCCAATTCCATGGGTTCTTCTGGTTCTTCCTTGCAGAGTTCGTTTTTTGGATTTTTTCGGGCTAGCTTTTTCTCAAGTTTTATAAAAGAGAAATTCTTAAATCCGAAATTAGGAGCTCAAGAATAGCACCACGGCATTCCTAATGGGGTGAGGGAAGGTGAGCGAGGCGTGGGGGAAGGTGAGCGAAAGTTTCTGAACTCACAAAAAAAAAGTAAGTGCGCGATCCAGAAAAAAAAATGACGTCATTCTACGTCAAAAATTACACGGAGTATTCAACGTTGATAACTTGTTTGTTCGATCGCCTTTGGCTGCGTACTTGAGACTTCAAATTTCGCGCCAAATTTTTTTGTTTTGTTTTGAGGTCTTCCCACCCCGTTTGGGAACGCCTTGAGCACTTCCAATTTGGAATTTTTGAAACGGCAGTCTCAATTTGGAACCTTTGATAAATGTTAGTTCCAAATTTAAAGCTCAAAAATGGCAGTCCTAATTTAAAACGTTTGAAATGATAGTCCCAAGCTCTTTCGGAATGTTTAGACAATTTTTCATGTGATATTTATTTTTAAAGTTTCCGATGGCTTCGTTTTTTTTTAAGTCCCTTTTCAGATAGTCCTCAGTTTTTTTGGGATGTTCTATCAGAAAAAAAAAAATGAATTTTGAATCTTCTTGATGATTCTATAGAGTTTTTCTTTCCAGATATGATCTCTGATACTTCCAACGACTCGTTCTCCTTTGGTGGCAGTACCAGAGGAACACCCAAAGGAGCTGTGAGTTTTTTTAAAAAAATAGGATATGAAGTGAAAAAAATCCTTTTTTTAAAGAATTCTTTCGCTCCGGAACCTCGTTCCTCGACGAGATCTTCACAGAAGGGGAAGAATGATCCTTGGGTTGGTTCTTTTCAATATTTCATAAGTTTTTAAAGTAACCCTGATCAAAGTTATCCATATATAAATAATAACGGTCAATCTCAACGTTCAATTTGTGTCAGATGCGCGACGAGTACCGCGACGAGCTTCTACTGGACGACGATGGCTCGCCGGAAGAAGGGGCCAGCGACGAGGACGAATGGACGTCGAAGAAGCGGTCCCGGAAGTCGGCGACGTCGAAAGGAGCTGGCGGCGGCGGTGTTGGCGGCCATGGTGGCCATCACGGCGGTGGCGGTGGCAGCAAGAAGAAGGCGAGTGGTGCGGCGCGGAGCGGCGGCAGCGGGGCCGTGCCGACCGCTGCGAACCCGCCGCCGTCGTTTCGAGAGCCATCCGAAGGCTCCTCGGCCGACGAGAAACGCCACGAGTGCCATAGTGAGTAGGGCAGTGAGAAGGAGAGTCATGAGAAGGCGCTAAGGTGGTGGAAATAGTTATAATTTTACAAGAAGCTAAATTACTCAAAATACAGAAAAATATTCAGCAAGTAGTTAAAAAAAAAACGGAAAAGCTATGGTTAAAATTAAAAAAGCGTGGAGCTTTATGTCTATTTGGCGAATAATGGGATTTTTCAAAACTTAGGATCTCAAGAGCAGTGGAAAGAAGCGAATTTCAGTCTAAAAGTGGTACATTTTAAGCTTTGAAATGGTAGTATCGATTTTTTTTTTTTGAGCTACCCCGGATTTAACAATACAAAAAACCATTATATTTCTATATTTTTTTGCTGACCTATAATGGAATTTTATCTGAACTTTCATGTTTCCGGAAAAAAATTTTTAAGTTTCTTAAAATTCGTCTTTCTCGTTGATAAATAAGGCTATTGTAAATTTTACTGTGTAATTTTTTTAACATATCAAATTTGAATTGCTTTTTGAACCGTTTCTTGAAATCCGTGGCCGAGAAGGTTTATTCTGACAGGCAATTTGCTTAAAAGGATAATTTTCGACTTTGAGCTCTCTGAACTTTTTCTCGCAGATCTTTCTGGCCGTTTTTGAACACTGTTTTGGAATCAGAGTGAAGAACGGCATTTAGTGGGATTAAACGATTGAAAGAAAACGGAATTTTTGAAAAATTGGAACTTAATTCATTCATATAAGTTTAAAAGCGTTGAACCGTCTTTTCTGAACTTTTCTCGGAGTCATTTTTTTCTATTTTAGTAGAGCTTTTCGCCTTTATAATTTTTGTTTCAAAGAGATTTTATATGAGCCAGTTTCCCAAAATCAAACCAGAACAAGAAGAAGTACTTTAGTTGAAGTTTCCGAACGGCAATTTCGAATTTTAAGGCTCAAAAATGGCAGTCCAAAGACCAACAAGCTGTCCTCTAGATATATTATAAACTATTCGATTTTCAGGGTGCGGGGCGAAGTACAAAAGCCTCGCGGGTTTGAGTTATCATCTGGCCTACGTTCACGAACAACCTTCAGCACATCCTACACATAAACGTGAAACGAAACTTCGATTTCTGTCAAAAATCACGATTTTTCAGTTCTATCCCCAAATATCCAAATTTCCGACTTCTGTGATCTTTGTCTCGGCAACGCGTTCATCAACAAAAATTCCAAAAAACCAGAAGATATGGTTACGTGTCATGACTGCGGTCGATCTGGTGAGGAATTTCTTGAAGTTTCAAAAAAATATCAAAATTCAAGTTTTTGGAGCGAAATTGCACTCGTAGAAGTCTTTTTTCAGAATTCATAGGAATTTTGAAAAAGTATTTTTTTGACTGAAAAAAACTGATTTTAGGGGTTTTTTTGATTGAAATCTTCTCAAAAATTCGATTTTTAGACATTTAATGATGATTTTAAACGCTATAGTCCGTTTTCGCGGCTTGAAAGGGCGGCATTTCTCTGTTCTCGACGTTCCTCTCGTGTTTACGTGCTATTTCCATGTTTCTCTGACCTTGCTGGTGAGAGAACAGAGAGACGCAGACACGCGAAAACTGTCAAGTCGCGGCGAACGGACTATAGCTGATTCACAGCTAGCTTGAGTCAACGAAAAAATGGTCCTGACACGATAATGTACGAAATAGCGCCTGGCTCGTGGAGAGCGCAGACAGGACACGCCCCCTTAGCGTCCCAAGCTGGCCGTGAATCATATATGTGTTATATTAGGTATCGAAAATTCACTAATAAGTTCTTATAACATTTTAGAATCCTTTCAAATATATTCTGTGTCGTTTTCAGGTCATCCATCGTGTTTATCCTTCAATAATAACGTAACGGTCATCATCAATCGATACGGGTGGCAATGTATTGAGTGCAAAAGCTGCACCATCTGCGGCACTTCTGAAAATGACGTCAGCAATCTTTTTTTTTTCTTTGCGTTCTTACAAGGAAGGTCATTTAACTTTGCGGCCGAAAATAGGCCAGAATACTCCTTGAGGTACCAAAAAACGGTCGTGAAAGTCTCAACCTGCTCGAATTCCTAAAGAAAGTACACCTCGAAGTCGAAGAAAACCTCAGAATCCGTTAAATTTGGGTCTTTGAGCCATTGTTTCTCGAAAACCCGGTAGTTGAACAGGCTGAAACGTTCAGGATATGTTTCTGAGACATCAGAGAGATTTTCAGCCAATTTTCAAGAAGAAGTGACCTCCCTTGTAAGAAAGCAGTCATGCATACTTTTTCTTCAAAACCACAACTTTTCAGTAGTTTTGTTAAAACTTGTAGAAACAGCCCGTTTTTTACCAACATCCGGTCAATTTCGTACATTTTTGCAGGACAAACTGCTGTTCTGCGACGACTGCGACCGCGGCTACCACCTGTACTGCTTGAAGCCGGCGCTGGAGAAGGCCCCAGAAGACGAATATTCGTGTCGTCTTTGCCAAGTCGAGTTCGGCGCCAAGGCCAGCGCCCCGGCCAAGAAAACTTGATCCTCCACCTTTTTGTTTTGTATAACTTGCGTAATCTTGCATGATTTTCCTTTTGAGATCCTCAATGTTTGGTGTTTTTTCTCTGATCCGGGAGGCCTTGTCGCAGTTCACTTTGTCTCAGTTTTGCAGTTTGTCGCTCATTTTTCATTTTTCTTCTTTTCTGATTTGCAAACTTCCCCTAGAAAAATTGTAGTGGAATTAAAATCGGTTTCAATGAAATACAGCTTCGAGTGATTTGAAAAACACTACGACTTTACTAGTATTTTAAAAAGTCTTGTTTTTCAGCTCTTTTTTCTAGTTTTGTAAATTTTTAAGGGAGAATGTAGTGATTCCTGCCCTTTTCCATTAATTTTCTGGTTGTTAATTATTTTCAGCGTTCCTAGTAGTACTGAGAAATCTATAGGGACCACTACAACTTGATCAAAACCAGATTAAAGGAAAAAGACACGTATTTTTTGAAACCTTTTTCATGTAACATTATTGAAAATCCTGTTTTTTGATTTCACAACCATGTTTTTGAATGGATATGAATTTGATTTTATCTTCCTGTTACTCTTTTCATTCCCCTGTTACAACTTATTCAAAAGAACATAAAAATTTTCAATCAACAATGCATCTTATTTAAAAGCTCACAAGTAGACGGATTGATTGGTACAATAAGGTTGACTGTAGCTGCTCTGGGAGCCGAGTTGTGATCGTTTGAAGTTTGTCATTGATATTTCAATAGGCGTCAGATATAATGCATTTGGTGCACTGCACCCCGGTCAAATTTTCTCACGAAAAGGGAAAAGCTCAAAATTTTTTCGCATTTTCGGGCTTTCTTCTATATCAATCGATAGAGCAGCTTCTATATAGTACTGTTATCATATCAGTTTCGGCAGAAAATCTCAAAAATTGGGTGAAAATTAGGTTTGAAAAGTCGTAGTTTTCAGACTTCAAAGCTTCATATCTCCGTTCATTTCGAACCTACAGAAATACTAATTATATCAATCAATTTGTCTCAACATCAGCTTTCTAATGGTTTTTGACTTCAAGAGTTTCAAGCACTTTTGTCGTAAACGACTCACTTTAAAAAATCATAACTTTTTTTCTAGGAGCCTCAGAAGTTTTCTACCTTCATTTTCGGACAGAGTGCGCTACTTTCTATCGATTGATGTGAAAATCTCGGAAACTTTGGTTTTCGGGAAAATCGAAAAAAGTGCAGTCTAACCCCTTGGCTTTTTTTCGAGCTTCTGAAGTCATGGAAGCCGATCCAGACGAAATCTATATCAATCGATAGATCTCGACGAGAAAATAACCTGAGACCAGGTTTGACCTCTGTAGGTCAACTAGGAACGAAGTTATAAGCGATTGAACTTTCGGGTCAAAATTTTAAATTCGCTCAAAACCACATCAATCGATAGGGAAGATCGACGAGATCAAGAAAAAAACTAGGCCTCGAAGTTCCTAACTTTCTAGGAATAAAATTATGAAATTTCAAAAATGTCGAAAGTTGAGATTTTTGGATGAAGCTCAATCAACAGATATCATACATAATTGAAAAGCTGACATCAAGACAAATCGAATGATGTATTCGAATAAACTGTATCTGTTCTAAGAGCCGAGATATAAGCGGTTGAATTGTGTCATTAATATTCCGATAGGCGTCAGATTTAATGCATTTGGTGCACTGCACATCGGTGAAATTTTCTCGTGAAAAGGGAAAAGCTCGAAACTTTTTTCGTATTTTTGGGGTTTTTTCTATATCAATCGATAGAGCAGCTTCTATATAGTACTGTTATCATATCATTTTCGGTAGAAAATCTCAAAAAAATTGGGTGAAAATTAGGTTTGAAAAAGTCGTAGTTTTTCAGACTTCAAAAGCTTCATATCTCCGTTCATTTCGAACCTACAGAAATACTAATTATATCAATCAATTTGTCTCAACATCAGCTTTCTAATGGTTTTTTTGACTTCAAGAGTTTCAAGCACTTTTGTCGTAAACGACTCACTTTAAAAAATCATAACTTTTTGTCTATGAGCCTCAGAAGTTTTTTACCTGCTGTTTTGAGTACAGTGCGCCATTATCTATCGATTGACGTAATATAATCGATAATTTCGATTTTTGGGAAAATCGAAAAAAGTGCAGTCTAACCCCTTGGCTTTTTTTTGAGCTTCTGAAGTCATGTAAGCCGATCCGGACGAAATCTAAATCAATCGATAGATCTCGACGAGAAAATAACCTGAGACCAGGTTTGACCTCTGTAGGTCAACTAGGAACTGAGTTATGGACGATCAAACTGAGAGGTCAAAAATTGGAAAGTAGGGTCAAATTTGGGTATCAATCGATAGAGGAAATCAAGGACATTAATAAAAACTAGGTCTCTAAGTTCCTAACCTTTTACGGATCGAGTTATGATTTTTCAAAAACTTCGAAAAATCATAACTTTCATTCTAGAAGCCTCAGAACTTTTTGACCTAGATTTTCGTACTTCTGACGTCATTTCCTATCGATTGATGTAAAACTCGGAAACTTTGGTTTTCGGGAAAATCGAAAAAAGTGCAGTCTAACCCCTTGGCTTTTTTTCGAGCTTCTGAAGTCATGGAAGCCGATCCAGACGAAATCTATATCAATCGATAGATCTCGACGAGAAAATAACCTGAGACCAGGTTTGACCTCTGTAGGTCAACTAAGTATCAAGTTAGGAGCGATTGAACTTTCGGGTAAAAATTTCAAAAACGGTTGAGATCAGTATCAATCGATAGAAAAAATCGAGGAGATCAGAAAAAACTCGATCTCAAAGCCCCTAACCTCCTAGGAACAAAGTTATGAATTTTTAATGTTTCGAATAGTGAGCTTTTGGATGAAAATCAAAAATTAATTTAAACTTCTATAAGATAACCTTTTTAGATCACTATAAGATTAGGGGGCGGCATAGCTCAGCTGGTAAAGACTCATTTGTAAATTCCGCGGAATTGTAGGTTCAATTCCCCCGCGGTCGACCAAGCCTTTCATTCGGGGTAGATAAAATTGGGAGCTGCAACGAAACGACCTCTGTTGTACCTGATGTTCTACGAGCAAAATTCACAGCTCCTCTGCCTAAGCCACAGCTCCTGCCGCCGTTTAAACACAGTTGAAATCAATGAAAAGTCGATTGCACATGTATTCTTACATTGAAGATGCAATAAACAAAATAATCAAAACAAGATTATTATGAAGGAAATCAATTCACCTTTCTATTTTCTTCATTTTCTGCAGCATCGTTTTCTGACTTCTCCTAGTCGTGTTGGGAATGCTACAAAACTGTCGATCAAGTAATTCACACCAAAGTATTGGTTACAAACGGGCAACTGACACCTTTTCCTGTCGGGTCGCTGACGAGTGACACTATTTAGGAGTCAATTTCCGATTTGGGAACAATCCAACCAAGCGATTGACACATTTAGACCCCGAACAACGCCATTTCCGACTGATCAGTGACAAGGTGTGAGACGCGGCCCAAACTCCCAAGTTGACACTTGGGACGCCTGAGGCTTGTGGACCGACCAACTCCGCCTCTTTTGGGTTTAAATAGCCGCCGTCGAGGAGCTCGAGCCAACTTTTGTCGCTGAACCTCTGTTCCTCACGATGAACTCTGCTTCTTCTGCTCAAAGCCCTGTCCGAACTGCTCCTCAGAGCTTCGACAGTCTGGCAAATGCGCCACTTCGGAAGAATGTTCGCCGTTCTTTGGGTTCGTTTTCTATCTACTTTATAAAGTGTACCTCAAACTTTTTTAACTTCGATTCCTTCAAAACAGTGCCAAATTTGCAGACATCACAACCCGAACTCGCAGAAGTCTCAACTTCAGCGTTCTTAGCCCAGTTCGAGCTTCTCAAGAGTTCGAAAGTCTGCCAAATGCGCCACTTCGGAAGAATATTCGCCGTTCTTTGGGTTAGTTTTTCTTCTACTTTGAAGCGCTCCTCAAACTTTTTTTAAGTTCGATCCCTTTGAAAAAGTACCAAATTTGCAGAGATCACCACTCGAACTCGCAGAAGCCTCAACTTTAACACTCTGAGCCCAGTTCGAGCTTCTCCAGCTTTTCAAGAGCTCGGCAGCCTGGCAAATGCGCCACTTCGGAAGAATACTCGCCGTTCTTTGGGTTCGTTTTTTAACTCTGAAGCTTTTTCGAACTTTCTTCAATTTGCAGATACCACTACCAGAACTCGAAGAAGTCTCAACTTTTTCGCTCTCAGTCCTGTCCGAGCGGCCCCAGTTCCTCAGAACTTCGACAGCCTTGAAAATGCGCCCCTTCGCAAAAACAAACGTCGTTCTTTGGGTAAGTTTTTGTCTATTCTAAAGCTTTCTCCCGTTTTTTTTATTTTAATTTTGACATCTTGAATATCTTTCTAACTTTTTAGACATCACCACCAGAAGTCGCAGAAGTCTCAACTTCTTGATCGACCTTGCTCCTGCTCAGGAAGCGTCTGAAGCTCCAGCTGAGGTCCCGAAGACTCCCACTCGCAGCGAAATGGCTCCAGAAGTCGTCCAACTTCTGAATTGGGCTCCCATTCGCGAGAATCGGAGGATTCGTCGCTCTTTGGGTTAGTTTCCAACTTCTACTGACTCAAACTGATGGGAACCTTTTTCAGACTCTGTGCAGCCTCGAGTTCTTGTGTTTTCTCGGCCGGATTTTTCTCTAGATGTCTGAAGACTTTGGTAGTCCAGCTCCTCGTTGCTCCTGGTTCCTGTCGTAAACTTGCTTTCTTTTTTATTTCAAATCCCAAAATCCCTACCTTTTTGACCCATTCTAGTCGCTGATATAGTCTCCCAACTTTTCTTATATTCTCCAACTTTTTTCAGTTTTTTATACTTTCAGCACTTCTCAGTCTCAATGAAATTTCAAAATTTTCTTTTTTTTTCTGATCCTTATTAGTTTCTTTAACGATTTCAACTTCCCTCGGGACTATTTTCTTAACTAAAGTAACTTTTTAACTTTTCCCTCCAGTGACTTATTGTAATATGTTTGACGAACTTTGTAACTTCGGTGAACAATTATGATTTAATTCATTAGATTTATCTCTTCATTCCGAAAACCTTGATTAAAATTGTATTAATTTCGTTTGTAATATGAATAAAAGAAAAAAAAAACAATTGTTTTTCACGGAATGAACACAACGAAAAAATCAACAATGGACTGAAAATCAGCATTACTTTTTAACTTTCATTAAAACCAAGCACAGATTTGAAATCAGCGTGAAATTCTGGAGCAGAAAGACCTGCAACTTTGATTTTAGGGATGAAAATAAGAATATTCGATATTTGACGTCACTTTACAGGGTCTTCTGATGGCGGTAAGCTTCATTTTCTACTTTAACGAAAAATAAGCCCAGATTCGGAATCAGAGTGAAATTCTGAGTCAGAAAGAGTCCTATCTTCGGTTCTAGTGATGAAAATGAAAATATTTTATGTTAGACGCCATTTTTAAGGGTCTCCTGATGGCAGCGAGCTTCATTTTCAACTTTCATGAAAACTAAGCCCAGATTTGGAATCAGCGTAAAATTCTGGAGCAGAAAGAATTTTAAATTTGAGTCTCAGTAATGATTTGCTTCGATTAGAAATTTTCTTTTACATGCGAATAAGGCAAATCTCACATGGGAAAAGTAAAAAAAAAAGATACTGAAAATATTCAACTTTTTGAGAGTCGAAGGTCTGAATTTGTAAATATATAACTTAAAAAAATATTCCTGCTGGCGAATTTTTCAAATATTAATCTGAAACTTCCCACATACTGTATAAAAATTTCAAAAAAAAATAAGTTGAATTTCGACTTTTAAGAGGAGGGAAAAATTTGGAAACTTCACTGAAACATCTCCAGATAATGAGGCATTCGGGGGTACTAGTTGAAGGGAAAAGTTTGAAAATGCCGAAAAACGAAAAATTGGAATATTTTGTTTTTAAAGGGTTGCAGCTCGCTACTTTTGAGCTCAAATTATGCAGCAAGCTGTGGTATGTTGAAAAAAAAAATGAGAAACAAGACGGAATCCGGCTTTCACAAAAAATAGAAATTTTCGAAGGTTTTGCGATTTTCAAGTTGGCCGCGTTCTCCGAGATGGAGGTCAACTGGATCACCGGATTCAGAGTTTCTAGACTTTTTTGCTCTACTCACAAGACCCTAATGCGTCGATTGAAAAAATAAAAATCCAGGCATTCGGGGGCTCTAGTACTAGTTATGACTCAAAGACTGCGAAAATCGTCATTTTTTTAAAAACTTGAATTTTTTTTCTTCTGAAAGAAGTTTATCCGGGTCAGTTCTATAAATATAAATGTTCATATGGAAAGAGATTTTGTTTTAAAGTTGGTTTGGACCAGTTTGCTCCACTAGGAAAAAAAGTTTGGTTTTTACGGTGTTTTTTCTACAGTAAGCCTGAAAGTGGGCGGAACCTAATAAAACCTGGTTCTAAATGTTCAAGAGGTTGTTCACTATCTATGATAGCCAGAAGAGCTCTCATGAACATAAATTAAACTTTTGTACCAACGGTTATTCGAAAATCTCGGAGAACGTGTGTTAAACGCTAAAACTATTTTGTAAATTTCGATCTCCCGTCCCTATAGTGATCACTTCAAATCTCTACGATTCAAAAGCTGATCAGAAGAATATAATAAGAGAAATGATTCTTCATTACCCAAAAAAAACTTCATATTCACAAAATAAAAAAATTCAGACGTGCTACTTTTTTTCACGCAATTTTGACCTGCCACGTCTCAAGCCTCCATTTTTTTTCTTTTTTTGACCTTTTCGCAATTTCAACTGTTTTTATCGATTTGTCTTCATATTTCCTTGTTTTAAATGTTTTTCCTTGTAAAAATTGCCTATTTCGTCTAATTTTGATGCTCGCAGACTGAAAACCGCGAAAATTCGCTTTTTCACATCGCCAAACTTCCGTATAGATCAAATTTTGGCTTTTGTTGAGTTTTTTCGATTTTCCTTCCAGCAGCCCCTTTTAAATCTTAATAGCAATCTAACGCATTTGATTTGCCCGTTTTCTTTTTCCATTCTTTTCTATTTCGGTTCAATGAAATCTTTTTTTTTTCCAGAGTAACTTTGTTCTCCAAGCTAGCGATCGATCATCAGAATCGAAGTTTCCGAGCAATCAGCTCAAGCGAAGTTAGTTTTTCTATCCAATTTAACGAAGTTCTAAACAAAAATAAGATGAAGTTGCCAAAAAAACCAAACTCACAGCCTTATTAGGATAATGAATCATGGAATTTAAGACTTAAAGAAGCCCTGAAGTTATCAGAAAAATTTTCGAGATTTTTTTAATGGTCTTTGGCATGGAAGCTTGTGCAATGAAAAAATCCCAACTAACATGTTTGAAATATTTTTTAAATAAAAATGATTAAGAATGTCCTCAATGGACGAGAGAAGCGACCAAGGTCGCGATGGTGAAGAGAGAAGGCGATCGCCTTCCGAATCCGGCCAAAGCCACGTTGAAGAGGTTAGTTTTCGTTCTGACTGCAGTATTTTCGAGTTGAAAGAACGACCAGAATCCATTACTCAGTGAAAAAGATGCAGATATCTTGAAAACGAAAGGCTTACTGTATCTAGAGACCCTATTTTTTAGAGAAAATTAAAGGGTTAGCCGGATTTCCTAATGGATTGAGGGAAGACGAGCGACGCGACAAATTTTCTGAACTTACAAAAAAAGTAAGTGCGCGCTCCGGATAAAATGACGTCGTTCTACGTCACAAATTACATGAGTATTCAAGGTTAATAACTTGTTCGATCGCTTGAGTTTTTGGGAACGCCGTGTTAGGGCATCTTTGAATATCATCGAAGGAGAAATATCAAAATGCACAAAAAAATTTTTTTTTACAGGCACCAACCAGCCACCGCATGGTTCTGGGACAAGATGGGGCTCAAGAAGTAAATTTTTTCAATTTTTAAAAATATTAACCCATAGCTTTTTTTAGAAAAATGGACTTTTTGATGAAAGTTGGCTGAAATGAACTTCAGGCATACATGGGATAAGCATGACTGGGGACGCCTCCCCCTGAATCCAAAAAAAGCTTTTTTTGTTCCGATCACTTCTAACTAAGGAAAAAAAATCGGCTCTTTACAAAAATTAATGTTTGATTTGTTTTTTTATAAGATGGACTAGCACCGTCCGGCGCGCATCCTGAAAAATATTTTTTTACGGTTTTCGCCAACCCCCCTTTCTCGTTTTTTTCGCCAAGCCCCCCCTTCCTTTTTTTCAGGTCCTTCCGAGACTAACCCATGTATGACTTCAGGGCATCTTAATTTCAGAAAAAAAACTAAAAATTTCCGAATTGTCTGCAAATATCTCTAATAAGGCTTTTTCATTTGGGTATTTTGCGAGTTTCGAAAGCTCGCGAAGAAAAATCTATTGCGCGAAATTGTTCTTGTTTTGGAATCAGGTGGTCTTGAAGTCAGCCAAGTTTCATCAATAGTTCAGCCGGAGAGGGACAAAAAAGTTGGCTTATTAGTATTTTAAACAGGATGGATTACAGTATATATATATATATATTGTTTAATGATCTCACTAATTTGGCTTCATTCCAGCTCATTGACTTCTTGACCCGCAACCGCACGGCCCGCGGCGAGGCGACGCCACTCTACCAAGTGGCGGTCAACACAGATGAAAGGGGCGTGGCTGTGAGTTATTTTGCAACTTCTTTTCGAATTTTCTCTCAAGCCTTTTTTATGACTTTTCTGATGGGTGACTCAATATTCGTTTTCGGACGAAGTCGGAATGGTAGAGAATGGTCGCTAAAAGGTGGCAGGCTCAAAAAAGGTTGCAGAAAGGTAGCAAAAAGAGTCCTTTTAACGAGCCTTCCATTTTTTCTGGGATTTTTAAGGCTCAATAAATGGTGGAAAAAGGGAGAGGCAGCAAAAATGGTGCATAAAAGCCGAAAAAATGGCGCAAAAATTGTAGCAAAAAAGGAACATTTCTATAGAGCCTTTTCCTATCATTCCGACTTTGCCTATGTTTACAAATTTTTGAAAAGGAAGAAAAAAATTTTCTATTTTTTCTACATGAAAATGCTAATACTTTTTTGAAAAAGTTTGTTCGAGAATCACCTTTAATCTAAATTTTGGGTTCTAAAACACTCAACCTTTTCAAAACTGAACCGATTCGCACAACATCGTAAAAAAAGGAGAGTTTCGGTCTCAATTGCCATTTTATCGGGCTCCGTAGGACATCGATCATGTCAAATCAATGATAATTTGAAAAATTCACAACCAATAACAGCCCTACAAACCTCGCAAAATAGGACAAAATCAGATTAAAAAAAAAAGAAAATTTTTCGTTTACAGCACATCGAGCTCACCCTTTCCGCCGCCGTCACAAGCCCAGAGGTCCGTTTTCTTTTTTTTTTTTTCTTCAAATAATTCTGAATTTTACCTTAATAACAAAAATTATCGAGCCTTCTGGAACCGATAGAATGGAAATTAATTAGGAAGATCTCGACATAGTTTTCTGTACTGAAGAAATATAATAGCCGGTCAAATAGCGCTTCAAAAAAATCTCTCAAAAAGCGCCATTTAATTCTTCCAGCCTGAAAAAAAAAAAAGAATATCAGTTTCCTCGTGGATTCGAAATTTTAAAAGCTTTTTTTCTTTTGAAATTCTCTTCCAAACTCATTTTTTTAACCTCTTCTTCTCATTTGAGATTGAATCACCAGACAAGAAAAAAATATCCAAAAAGTATTAAAATTTCAATTACCCTGAACAAAAAAATGAGACAAAATAAAAGAAATTAAATTAACTTTATTTATGTGTCTATATTTCAGGATCTCGTGGTGGAAATCCCAAGAGGGGACGAGGTTTTGGAGGAGGAAGAAGAAGGAGAAGAGTCCAGAACACCGGCCCTTTCTTCTCCTCAAGCTGAACAAGTTAGTTTCTCTTTGGTCCGATTTCAATGAAGCACTGGAAGAAATTCACTATGTACAGATTTCCACTAAAATCCACCAACAAGTCAAATTTACAGGTAGCGGCCAACTCGGGTTTCCATGTGACCTCGAGGAAGCGGTATGCATCGCAGAGCCGTTCGGCGATTCCCCCCAAGGTTTTTTTTTGGATAACAAAATTATTCATTTTCCAAGCTTCGTGTGTCAAAAGTTATCGACTTTATCAGAAATTAGAGCATAGACAAAATCGGAAAGAGTGGATAAAGGGTCCATAAAATGTTTCCTTTTAGGGTGAGAAAGGTGCATAAATAGGTCAATTTCTCGCAGTTCAAAACATAATGTAAATAAAAGTATTACTGTGGAAATAATTGAAATTCAGAGATATCTGCCCGGTCCTCAAGGAGTTGCCTCCAAACGAGAGGGCGGAGTAATGGAAGAGCCCGTTGTCAAATGGCACTGTTCCGACGTTCGTGATTTTTTTTTTACTTACTTTCAAGATATTTCATCGATAATCTTGTTAGAACAGATCAGAGTCCACTCTTTAACCAAAATTATTAAGAAACTGGGGAATCATTCGGTGAAGGTTTAATGATCAATAAAAAATTGATAATTATGCTCCAATGAGAAATGGAAAATCCGTGAAAAGTATCGATAGAACCCGCTGGAATCGCTTCGGTTCATGGCAACTTAGTCTTCGGGAGGATCGAAATAAAAATTGCGTTGAAAAAAACGGAAAAGAAATTGAACAAAATGAATGTTTCACTACCCGATTCGAAATTTGAAAAGATATTGCGAAAACAAACTTTGTGTAACATAATCTTTTTGTTTTAGCACGACTTCAAATATCAAAATGACTAAAAAAACTATGAAACATTGATTTTCTACATTTCTATTGAAAAACCAAACTTCAAAGAAAAAAACAAGTGTAAAAAAACTAACCTTCACTCTTTTTTTCCTTTCTAGCTCATTCTATTCTCGCATCGTGCTAGTCCTGAAGAATAAATCAATGATTAGGAAACAACTACAAAGAATAACTTACGCCTTTGCATCCGATGAGTTTGAATTTTGATTTTTGTAAATTTTGAAAAGCGCAGAAGATACGTAAAAGTGCGCCCAATACACGCGCTCACGCGCAGAAAAAGCTGGCTTTAAAAAAAAATTTTCACACAGAAAAGACTTAAATAAAAATAATGAACGTTATAATAAACTTTGCAAAAAAAGGATTTTTCATATTTTCAGTTGTATTTTTAGACCCTAAGCCTTTCAAATCTATCAAGAATCAGGGAAAAATATAAAAATCATCTTTTTCAATGTGCCAAATTGACTGATTTTGAGAAGATATCAGTGTCCTCAATATATTCAACTTTGAAACTCAAGATAATTAGAAAAAATGGAAGAAAAAATTTGCAGTTAAACCTCAAAAATTCGTCTGTGAACTGTTTTTTTTCAAATAAAGTAAAACTTTACAGTAAGATGATTAATAAAAAACCTTGAAAAAAATTTGATCTTGAGATCTTCTAGAGTATTTAAAAAATTCTTATTTGGCAGAAAATCTGAAAAATTAAGAAAATTTACATGAGAACTTGGCGAAGCAGAGGCGAGCCTTTGTAGACTCATTTTTCAAACGGTTTGATTCAGGCTGATGAGCCCGAAGAAGAAGTCAAAGTGCCTCGTTTGGACCGCGATGGTCAGGAAGAAGCACCCCGAAGGGCCCTTGGAGAAGGAGAAGTTGAAGCGCCAGTCCAAGAAGAAGAAGGCGATGAGCCACAAGAGGAAGGAGAAGAAGGAGGAGAAGCGGACCGGAGGGAACTCACAGTTGAAGAAGAAGAGCCTGAAACGGCCTATCAAGAGGAGGAAGGCGATGAGCCCGGAGAAGAAGGAGAAGACGTGCAAGAAGGCTCTCAAGAAGGAGAAGATATGATGGCCGCTGTTGAGAATGCCGGAGGGGAAGCTCGCTCTGACAGCTCCTCGTCCTTGTCAACGCTGTCTCCACCGGTAATTTCTTCCTCACTAGTATATAAATCAAATATTGATCTCATTTGGCTGTGAAGTACAACCCGTTTCACTCAAACATCAAAAAAAAAATCCGGAATGTTTTACTTTTTTTAGGAACTCCAGAACGGACCCTATAGGGGCAACCTTAGGGGTCCTTGGAGGGTCCTCTCTAGGGATCACTTTACCAATCCCTAGAGGAGCCACTAAAGATCGAAAAAGTGGTCCCTATAGAGGACTTGCTAGTCAATAGTCGTTATGAGCCCTAGGTGAAGAAGCATTCCCATGTAAAAAAATTGAAAAACCTCTATAGGGTCCACTTGAGCTTTAGGGGCTAAGGGGTCAAAGCCTAAAACCCTATAGGGACCACTTTTTCGGCCCCAATAGTGGTTTTTTTCCTCTAACCCCTATAGCGAACACTTTTTCGGTTTCTGTAGAAAATGAATATATGCTTTTCAGAGCGCGTGGAGCGAAGATCTCGAGTATGCAAATGCCCTCTTCGAGATTGAGGCCGAAGAAGAGTTTCCGGACTCGGTTAGTCTTCTGCTTTCTTTTTGGCTTTTTTGGTTCCTTTTCCTCAAGTTTTCTCTCTTCTGACACCTGAACCTTTCTGAATGCATTAATTAAAAAATCGGTTTTTATACGAAATTAAGCTGAAGATTGAGCTACGATTTTGAAGGTTTCAAGAATCTTGAGAAGATGCTTAAAATGTCCAGCTCTAGGGAAATAAAAAAAACGCGGCATGTGCGAGTGTGCCGCAGTGCATGCACACGAAACACTACACTTTACGGAAAATGCGGGCGGGGCGTCGTCAAAAAAAAAAAACCCCGTGAAATAAAAACTAGAAATTGGTAGGGACTGTGAGGGATCTTCATCTAAACATTCAGATAGCTTTTTGAGCAATTTTGAAGGAAACCCCAAACCACAGAGTAAAATTACTTCCCGTGTAAGATATATCTTTTAGAAAATAGGAAACAAGGGAAAAAAACCGATGAAAGTCAGTTTCACTAGAGAGTGAGGGAATCTTTTCAAATAAAATTCGATTCAGGAGCCCTCGTCCGACTCATTCTTCTTGAATGAAGAGCAGCTGAGGGCGTTCGCCGACGCCGCAGCCGAACGTGCTGAGCGGGCCGCCAATGTGGCACAAGACGCCGCAAACGCTCAAGAAGTCCCGGTTGAGGTTTGTCTTCGAATGTCTCTTCTACTCCTTTTTGGCTTCATGGAATGTCCATTTTTTTAGATATTGAAGACAAATTATTGTAATATGAATAAATCGTGAAAAAATTAAAAAAACTTCAGGCCTATTTTTCTGTAAAATTTCGTCTTCATAAAAAAACTAGCAAGGTAATTTCAATTGTCGGCTGGAAATTTCCTGAAAGTTGGTCAGAACCCCGATAAAGGTCTTGAAAATCTCAAAATGCACACGTTTCTGTTTTTCGGTAAAAAAAAGATATCCTTGAAATCCGTTGAAATTGGTCATTCTGAGCCCCAGTTCCTCGAAATCAAGAAAGTTGTCTTGGTTGAAACTTTCAGAACTCCCTTACAGTATATCAAGCCATTTTTCAGAATATTCTCAAAAAAAAAGACCTTCCTTGTAAGATAGAACCTTTTCGAAAGGCAAAATCGATCCTTTTTTGGGATTATAAAAAGTTAAAAAAGGTAAAAGCTCAGCTTTTGAGAAAATAAGCTTCATTTTTTTGAACCCAACTTTCGAATTAAGTTGAACCGGGTTTGAAATGGAGGCCTACGATTTTTCATGGTAAATTTTAAGGAGGCTGAAGAGACCGGCCAGGACGGAAGTGAAAGGCCTGAGGCCGACAACGACGCCGAAGTCGTCGAAGAAGAGCTGGAAGAGCTGGAGGCTCCGGAGGACGAAGACCAGCCAGCCGTCCCGGCAGTAGCCGCAGTCGGGCCGCCACCAAGTCCGGCGCCCGCTGCAGCGGCTCAGGCCCAAGCTGGAGCAGCCCCAGCGCCACCACCATCGGCTGCTGCTCCAGCTCCGGGGCCAATGGCTCGTCGTGGACCGCGCCAAGTAATTCTTTTCGCCATATCTCTAACGATCCCTAGCATTAGAAATCAGGTTTCTTTTCTTAAATATAAGCTACAAAAAATTACGAAGTGCTCCTTCTAGTCATACTAGCTTCAGAAAAAAGAATTTCAAACGCTTTTTACGCAATGCAATGGGTAGGTGTCCGTAGAGCACGCTTTTGAAGAAAACTTCCGCTGTTAAGTGTATGATCTTAACTTGCATCTTGAAATGAGCTCCGAAGATTTCTCGATTTTTTCGTTTTAAGATCAAGTTGAGTAAACGAACTGTTTCAGCCCCGCGCCCGCGTCCATGGCCCGGCTCAAAGAGCGTCTCGGCGGGTTCTCCACCTCCCCGTCCCTGCACGAGTCGGCCAGCAGCTCCCGGTCCTGCAGGGGAGGACGCCGGCTGAGATGCTCGCCGACGTCCGGGCGGAGCTCCTCAGGCGACTCGCCGGTGGAATGGATGGCGAGCAGCTCCAGCTCACCGAGCGACTGGGCTATGCCATCCAGACCCTGAAGAACATGGTCGCCGGCCGACCCTACACACCGGCGCAGATGGAGCGACTCAGAAAGAAGATCCAGCTTGGATATTGATTCGTGAGTTTGAAAACGATTTTCAATTTTATGTTTTTTGGTTCGGAAATTCTTGTTTTCTTCGTAAATTACTCTTTAGACTTTTCCATTTCCGTCTTACTCAAAAAATTTCTTTGCCGCACTCACCCGTTTTTCGACATTTTGCACGTTTCAGGACCGTTATTCAATCGGTTTTTTGTTCTGAGAGATTTTCAAAACCGAGCTTGACGTTCTGACATGAATCTTTCGTATAAATGACTCGAGAAATTCAAATACAATATCAAAAAAACTTCTCAAACATGAAGTCAGAAGGAAATATCCTCTCATTTTTCCCTCTTTTGATCTTCGAAATTATTCTATTCTGTTTCTAGGGAAAAAAAAGAAGAACACTCTCATTCCGAAAGAATAACCAAAAAAAGTGAGAAATAAAGAACGGCTCCTGCAAGATTTAAAAGCATGCATTGGTGTGAGTGACGCAAACACAGCTACGGACACTCGCACGAAATTTTCGAAATTTCATTTTGTTATTTTTTCGAAGTTTTCAAGTTTTCACGTTTTTTTTTTCGCGTTGCTCAATCTTTTCATATTTTTTTCATTAAAATAATTTTGAAAGTTTAATAACATATCGAAGTATATACGCGTTCTTAATTTAGTTTTCCGAAAAGCGACGATTTTGTTAATATATTCAAATTTATTGCTTTTTTTTTGCACATTCATGAGAAATGCATGCTCTCAAAGATATTCAGTCTCTCTATAGCGTTGTCGATTTAATTTTTTTAACAGAATCCGCTTTTTTTATAAAAAAATCTTTAACCAATTTGAAAGAATGCTCCTTCATTTAAAAAGTCCTAGAAGTTATTGTTCAGAAATAGAGTTACATTTCTTCTTTATCATGGGAAATGTTCACGAAAAAAATGGATAGAAGAGGTTTGATTACTTGCCAATTGAAAAAAATAAATATAGAAACGGAAATTCCTAGGCCGCCAACCATCCTCATTGCGGTTTCTTCGATCTCCCAGTGCAGCTCTTCATTTTTTTTTTTAAAGTTGTTTGTATCCCCGATTTTTTTTTCGTTGTTATCGTGTGGTTTTTTTTATCTTTATCTTTGTGTGGCCTTCATAAAAGGCGCAGTTTTGTGATTGTCCAGTTTTTTTTGCTGCTATTTTTTATCGCTATTTATTTACCTGAATTATTATCATTCTTTTTTTTCTTATGATTTTTTTCAGCCTTTTCGCAAGGCACTATGTTGTGTTGTATTGTCCATTTTTTTTTGGTTATTTTTTGCTGTTATTTCTTTTTTTTTCTTTTTTTTTCGCCATCATTGTCATTTTTTTTCTTGCAGCGTTTTATACGAGTTTTGTGGAATATTGTCCATTGTTTTGTCCTGATTTCTCCATTTTTTTTTTGATTGTTTCTGATCCAGTATTTTCATCTGGGCTTTTTTTTTGTTCGTAATTTCTTGATTTTTGTCTCCCTTTTGGACCTTGTTTTTTTTTCAATCATTTCTTTTTCTCCTTGCGGGCGTTCGGGGGCACATCTCTCCTCTTTAGCTTTTTTTACCACCCTTTTTAAATGTTGTTTCTCTCCCCAAAAATTCCCAAAAAAACTCCAAAAAAACTAAAAAAATTCAAAAAAACTAAAAAAATTCAAAAACTAGAAAAAAATTTTTAAAAAAATTTAAAAAAATCAAAAAATTCAAAAAAACAGAAAAAAATGGAGTGAGGGGATCCCTTAAGGTTTTTGAGCTTTTTTGTATTAGTTTAGCCACCTTTACCCTCCCTTTTTCATTCACACTGTCCACATTTTGCGCATTTACCTCTGGAAATTTCTTCTCCAATCCGCCTACGAACGCCTTTCCAGTAACATTAATTTTTATGTTACTGATGTTTCTCCGTAGGATTTCAAATTCATTTTGGCTCGTTTTAAACGAGTATCAGCTATGGATGAACAGGCTAAAAACAGCCTTCCTCGAAAACTTCCACTTTTTTTTTCTTTTCAAGGAACTTCAACTTCACACTCGTGGAGTTGAAGTTTAAACTGGCTCAAAAAAAGCAATATTGGATTTTTTTTTTCAATTTTTGGTTTTTTTTTTTACACAGAACCGTGACTTTTCGGTCTCTGTTTTTTTCCTTAGGTTTTTTTGGATTTTTTTCTGGCTCGCTCATTATAGCGAGTTTCATCAATTGACGAACGGGCTAAAAAAAAAGCTCTTATCGAAGATTTTCACCTTTTTTTCTTCTCAAAGAACTTCAACTTCACACTCGTGGAGTTAAAATAGAAAATGGCTCAAAAACAGTCACATTGGATTATTTTTTTTCAGTTTTCGGTTTTTTTTTACACAGGACCGTGACTTTTCGGTCTCTGTTTCAGATTTCTTTTTTCCATTTTTCTGGCTCGCTCATTATAGCGAGTTTCATCAATTGAGAACGGGCTAAAAAAAGCTCTTATCGAAGATTTCCACCTTTTTCGTTTTCCAAGAACTTCAACTACACACTCGTGAAGTCGAAGTAAAGGCTCAAAAAAAGCCATTTTTTTGGAATATTTTACGAGTCATTTCACTTTTTTTTTTCAATTCTCCAATCATTTTTTTAATCATTTCTACTGGCTAAAAACAGCCGGAGCCAAAATTTCTAGTCTTTTTTTTTCAAATCATCGCGACACGCCTTCGAAGGTCAGCAGGTAAGTTTGGTTTATTTCTTTTCATTTTCGCCTTTTAAGGCTCCAAGGATTTTCTCTTCCAAAAATTTTTTTTATACATCTTTCAGTTTTTAAACCTCAGGCCAAATGCCTTGGTGGTGTTTTTCAAAAGCTATTAGATCTTTTTTCAATTTTCTTCGCCAAAAAGGCATTCCTTTCGATTTTTTTCAACATTTTTTTGTCCTTTTTAACAAAAAAAGGCTATTATTTTTTCACAAAAATGTTTCCGTTCTTTTTCGCACAAAAAAGGAATTTTTCGCAATTTTTCGCTCTCCTGAGCTCATTTTTTTTTGCATTTTCTTTCGTGGTCTTAATTTTGATGAGCAAAACGTCTCATTTTGGAATTTGTCAAGCTTTTTTCGCCCTTTTTCGCATAAAAAAGGGCTTCTTCATACACTTTTCGCTCAATTTTTTGCTTTTTATTTTGAGATTTTGATTTTGAAGAACAGAACTCGTTTTTTGAAATCTTCAAGCTTTTTTTCGTCCCTTTTCGCTTAAAAAAGGACTTCAAAGGATTCTTTCGCTTCTTTGAGTTCATTTTTTTCGCATTCCAACTTGAGGTTTTGATTGAGAAAAACAAAACGTCTCATTTTTGAAATCTTTAAGCTTTTTTCGCCCTTTGTCGCAAAAAAAAGGACTCTTTCACAATTTTTCGCTTTTCTGAGCTCATTTTTCTCCATTTTCTTTCGTGGTTTTGATTTTTAAGAGCAGAACGTCTCATTTTTGAAATCTACAAGCTTTTTTCGCCCTTTTTTGCATAAAAAAGGACTCTATCAACATTTTTCGCTCACTTGAGCTCATTTTTTGCATGAATTTTTTTGAGGTTTTCAAAAAATTGAAACTTTTTCGCTATCAGTTTCGAAGCGCGATGGGTCGAATATTTGCCCTTTAATTTTTGTTTTTTAGTTTTCGAAATGCGCTCCACCGAAGTTTTTTCAATTTCATCGGCGGATTTCAATCATAATTTCCTTTTTGAATTTCATTCATCCACCAGTTATTGAAATTTAAAGATCTTCTGTTTCATATGACGTGTTCATCGGACAAAACGAAAATTGCTTGGAAACGAAAAAAAATTAGTACTGTTTCGAAGCAACTTTGACGCGCCGATGAACACGATTTTTCGTTTTGAAGCATGATCCATTTCTCCAATGAACACGCCAATAAAAATTCAAACCCACTGGCTCTTTTTTCAATGAGCGAATTTTTTTAATTACTCAATACGTTTTGAACAGTTAGATTCTAAAAGCACTCAAGTCAGTATTTTTGGGTATTTTCAAGGTCATTACTCCATTTTGCAAAGACGGATGAGCCGGCCGATTAGTATATCCTTTTTTTGGTTTAGTTTTTTGAATCTAGGAGTAGCTCATTTCACACTTCTTCTACACATTTTTCAGTGCTTTGGAGATTTTTTTCAGCTTTTCATAGAATTTTTCCAATCTAAAATTCAGTTTTTAGCACAAAATTTGCTCACCTTCTGTACTTGAGCATTCAATAGTTTTGCTTTTTCGTTCCTTAGAAAAGTTTAGGGGGCCCCGATAGGGTTTTGATCCTTTTGGGGCCCCGATAGGAAGTGAAATAGGGGCCCCTCAAGAGGAAAATTTCAGGGGCCCCAGTTTCTTTTGAACTTCCAAAACGATTCGGGGCCCTATAGGGGGCCCCTTCTTATTAAGCCCTTTTGGGGGCCCTAAACCAGGTTTTCGGGGCCCCAATAAAGTTTTGGTCATTTCGGTGCCCCGATAGAGGGTAAAATAGGGGCCCACTCAAGGGGAAAATTTCAGGGGCCCGATTCGGGGCCCTATAGGGGGGCCCCTTCTTATTAAGCTCTTTTGGGGGGCCCTAAACCAGATTTTCGGGGCCTGAAATAGGGGCCCACTCAAGGGGAAAATTTCAGGGGCCCCAGTTTTTTTTCTCTCCGGAGTTTTCTTTCGTTTTTGACTTTTTACCGAGGGATTTTCGTTTCGAAATGAGCCCCGCGCCGCTCATACTTAGCTGGTGATGCTGAAGTTCCTTTTCAGATTTTTTTGAAGAGAAAAAAACAGGTAAGTTTGAATTTTTTTCTTATTTTTCTTAAAGATTCTTCTTGTTTTAAAGTTTCAAAAAAGTCATTAATTTCGAAAAAAATCTAAAAAAAGAGAAAAAAAGAAAAAAACAACCAAAAAAATTGAGCATACATTTTTTTAAATCAAAAAAATAACGGGGGCTTTCTTACGGGGTGGGAAAAACAAAATTCGAATTATTTCCCAAATAATATTTTTTTATTTTCAGGTCGGCAACCGGGAGAAGGCAGCGACGACGGAGTTTCGGAAGTTGGTGCCCTTCGATAGGTAATTAGACTTTTTTTTCGGAATCTATAGCTAAATTATTGTTTTTAGGGTCGAGCGCAAACGAGGAAGGTCTAGGAAAAAGCTTCAAAAAAAGCGGAAGGTGATTTTTTACATCTTTGGTGAAAATCTTTGCTTTTTGATAGTTGAATTTCGGAGTCGCCTTATTTTCAAAATGCTGATCAGAAGTATAGTGAAGATTTTTTTCTTACCACGAACAAAAAAATAAAAGTTTAAAGCAACCTGAATTTTTTTCCCAAGAACTTGTTTAAATTTAATTGAACTTTAATAGTTTTGAATCAAATTTTGATTTCCAGAAACTAAAAAGGAAGTTTTTTTATTAAAACAATTTTTTTCAGGGGCCCGTCGGCTCCGATGATGCTACTCAATGGACATCAAGGAGGAGCCTGGATTTATCAAGGATTTGAAGATTTCATAAAGTTGTTTCTTAGCTTTGATTTTACAGATCTGGTGGCGGATTTTTCGAAGCGGGAAAGAAAAAGAAGCAAATTTCAGCCCTTTTGAGCTTTCATGGAGGTAGTTTCAGTTTATATTTATTACAATTTCAAGGATTTGAATAAGAGAAAAACTAGAGATAATTTCCGAAAAGATATTTATCATTTCTTTTTAATTTCACCTCGTTTTTTTCTGTAAAGAATAGAAACTCCGACTTTCCAGTGATCGACCATTGCTTCCGAGAAGTTGTTCTCGCTCTACGGGACAATTTGGAAAAACGAATTTGCTAGGGTTTTGTTTTTTCAGTTTAGATAGGACTATGAAGGAATTTTTTTGCAGAATGGTTGCATTATTCAAATGGAATTCTGAACTCGGTGGATTGAAAAAAATAAAGGTTTTATTTTTTTATTCCAATTATTTTTTTGTAGAAGAAGGAATATTGTGTTATCACATCTGTATTAACGAGCTTTTTGTACGAATAAATAAACAAATTTGAAGAAAAAAACACCTATAAAACAATCAAAGATACAAATTTAGTTTTAATAATCAAGTTTTTTTGCGAACGCTGGCAAGCCTTGAAAAAAATGGCCTAATTTGGGAAATGCGTCTTTAGTAAGTGAAAAAGTCTTTTTTTTCTGTAATTTTTTTATCTATTAATGTCGGAAATCGCCTTCTTCTTTATTCAATACAAAAAAATAATCAAAAAAATGGTCTAGTATGGCCAGCGGAGACGGCGCAGTGCGAACCGGACGGGTCCCTGTAGGTCTGAACTAGTGTGTTATATAGTCTGTTCAGTAGAGTTCTCAAAACCAAACGTTCGAACGAACGTTCGACCAAACATTTTTCGAACAAATGTTGTAACCAAACTTTTGGTTAAAGTTTGAAATGAAGGTTTTGTTCAAAAAGGCATTTTATCAAAGTTTGCTTTTGAAAGTTCAACCAAAAGGAAAGTTCATTATAAATTTCAAGAAAGTTCGTTCAAATAACGAACCTTCGTTTTTATGTGCAAACGTTCATTATTTTAAGAAAAAAATTTTCGAACTTTTTGGTTGAACATTTTAAAATGATATCCTAAACTATCGAAAAAAATGAAAAAAAGTTCATTTTTTTAACGGTCATTTTTTGAACGTTCGGTTTTGAGATCTCTACTGTTTAGTTTTTTAATGTCAAGTACAATGACGTCTTTCGAAAATGCTCCGTGGATGGCTTGCTCTCTGATTGGTTTATCGCTCCAATAGAGGCGGAGCTTGAGCGACGACTTGAAATTCAAAATCTGAACAAACTATATCATTTTTGTGATAATTTTTTGGGATTTTTAGTTGATATTCATGGATTATATAGCTGATTCACGGCTGGCTTGAGCCATCGTAAAAAGGGTCCTGACACGAAAAGACAAGATACACTGTTTGGTTAGTGGAGAGCGCAGACAGGACACGTCCCCTTAGCGTCCCAAGCTAGCCGTGAACCAGCTATTATATAAAAATATTGAGATGACAACAAAAAAATGTTCGGCGTCGTTGTAACTCATTTGAAAATGTATTCATTTTCAAAATATTTTTATTGTTTTTCAGTTGTCGGTGTGGTTCGCGAGACGTTTTTCTGTGTGCTCTACACTATTCACAATCAAATGAACAACCGAAAGAGGTTTTATTTTCAGTTTAAATGACGCCATTCAAATGTTTTTTATTGACAGAGTAAATCCCGTAGCTTCCGATTAACTAAATGGAACAACGAGGATTGAAAATAAAGGTTCATTGTGAAAACATGACAGTAATTCTTTTTTTTCTAGACTCGATGGTTCATGTCTCCACACGCTTCGGGTTTGCCGATACATTTGAAATATGAGTTGATAGTTGTCTCCAATTGATACTTTTTGTATAAATTCCAGGCGGGACGAACTTATCAACAACAGCCGCTGGCTTTCGTCGAATTTTTTGTCATTTTTTTTTCTTTTTGTATTGTATAAATCAAGGAAACACATCAACTAAAAACTATGCTATAGTCTGTGTGCCACGACTTGGAATTTCACCGAACGACATTCCGCTGTGCCGCTGCGCGCCTTTGCGAACCTTGGTCGCGCTTTTATTTATTTATTTTTCTTTTATTACTCTACTTTCACGTTCTCCCAAAGCAATCAAAATCAATTGAAAGCGTGGATTCGAAAGACGCTTCGCGAACGCACGCAGCGGAACAGCGGAATGTCGTTCCGTGAAATTTCAAGTCGTGGCACACAGACTATAATCGGCGAGATCGCCCATTTGTTTATTATTACATGATTTTCATCAACACGGAATTTTTTCACGTGTCACTTTCATTTTTGTTTACATGTTGAATCGATTCAGGAATGAGTTAGGATTAAAATTGGATCGAAAGAAAATATCACAGGATTTATAACGTTGTGAGTTTGTTAAACTTTCGTGGATTCGAATATTAGATTTTTTTTTTTTGTCTATGCGTAGCGCAAAGCGGACGTGTTCCGGTCATAGGGACCACATAAGAGTTCTGACGCTACTAAAGTGGTCACTAGAAATGCCCAGAAACGTCCGGAGCACGTCCGTTTCGCGTTACCAATGTCCGATCCAGTTTTTTGATTGGAGAAACACATTTTTATGTTACTTTGATTGCACAGATAGTACTGTAGTTCGCTACGGGACCTCACAAGGGAAGTGTGTGAGGTGAACATTGCAGATAAGGTTCAAACTTCTGTATTAGATAGTTCCAGGTATGAGGAGTCGAAAAAAAAAGAATTATATGCTAAGCGCCATAGGGTACTGAGAAATAGTAAGTCGAAAAAATACAGGAAAAGCTCAAAAAAAACTATTTTCAGGTTTTTTGTGGAAAAAGTTTTTTTTCTCGTGTTTCTTATGATATTGTGAATAACAGTAGACGTTTTAGAAATTGAAAAACCGAAAAAAGAGCTTTTTTTTCTGTACATACGGACTATTTATGATAAACCTATGGCGCCTAGCCGATATTTATTTTTATTTTTGAGTACTCGTACCTAGGAATTCCTACCATACAAGTTTGGAACAGATCTGCGATGATCAACTCCCACACTTTCCTTGTCAGAAGTTCTGCAATTTTTTTTCGCGATTCGATCGGGCACAGTCACGATACTTTATTACTGAACTTCGATGTCATACGTATTGATCCTCATTGAAAAATTGCGCACAGCCGCACGAAGAGTTACATTTTTATTTCTCGCGTTTCATATTTTTTCGTGTTTTTTTACACGGTCCTCCGAGGCTTCTGGGTGAAAAGGTGAGCATTTCAAACTTATTCAAATTCGATGAATGTGCTCCTAAGTTTCGAAGTCCCACACAATTAAAAAGCTGTTACGAGAGAAATCGATCAATATAATCAGTTCCTCACCAACTTCAAAATGAACTGATTAGTGGCGTTATAATTCTGAGGCTCTTAGAAAAAAAGTTATGATTTTTCAAAGTTTGCCATTTTCAACAAAAGTGCTTGAAACTTTCAAAGTCGCAAATTATTGGAAAGCTGATCTTAAAGCGAATTGATTGATATAATCAGTGTCTCTGTAAGTTGAAAATTAACGGAGTTATGAAGCTTTGAAGCCTGAAAAATACGACTTTTCGGACCTAAATTTCACCCAATTTTGAGCATTTCTCTCGAAACTGATATGGTAACAGTACTATATAGAAGCTGCTCTATCGATTGATATAAAAAAAACCTCAAAAATGCGAAAAAAATTTTGAGCTTTTCCGTTGTCGCAAGAAAATGAGACCGGGGTGCAGTGCACCAATACATTAAATCTGACGCCTATCGAAATATTAATGACACACTTTAACCGCTTATATCTTGGCTCCCAGAGCAGCTACAGTTAATCTGATTGTATCATTCGATTTGTCTGGATGCCAGCTTTCTAGTGATTTAGGTTGTAAGTTGTTTGAACTTCATCTAAAAGTTCAGTTTCCGACACTTTCAAAGTTCATAACTTTGTGTTTAAGTAGTTAGAAACTTCGAGACCTCGTTTTTCCTGATCTTCTTAATTTATTCTATCAATTGATACCAAATTTGACCTACTTTCCAATTTTTGACCTCAAAGTTTGATCGTCCATAACTTAGTTCCTAGTTGATCTACAGAGGTCAAACCTGGTCTCAGGTTATTTTCTCGTCGAGATCTATCGATGGATATAGGTTTCGTCCGGATCGGCTTCCATGACCTCAGAAGCTCAAAAAAAAGCTAAGGGGTTACACTGCACTTTTTTCGATTTTCCCAAAAATCGAAATTATCGATTATATTACGTCAATCGATAGATAATGGCGCACTGTACTCAAAACAGCAGGTAAAAAACTTCTGAGGCTCATAGACAAAAAGTTATGATTTTTTAAAGTGAGTCGTTTACGACAAAAGTGCTTGAAACTCTTGAAGTCAAAAACCATTAGAAAGCTGATGTTGAGACAAATTGATTGATATAATTAGTATTTCTGTAGGTTCGAAATGAACGGAGATATGAAGCTTTGAAGTCTGAAAACTACGACTTTTCAAACCTAATTTTCACCCAATTTTTGAGATTTTCTACCGAAAATGATATGATAACAGTACTATATAGAAGCTGCTCTATCGATTGATATAGAAAAAACCCCAAAAATACGAAAAAAGTTTCGAGCTTTTCCCTTTTCACGAGAAAATTTCACCGATGTGCAGTGCACCAAATGCATTAAATCTGACGCCTATCGGAATATTAATGACACAATTCAACCGCTTATATCTCGGCTCTTAGAACAGATACAGTTTATTCGAATACATCATTCGATTTGTCTTGATGTCAGCTTTTCAATTATGTATGATATCTGTTGATTGAGCTTCATCCAAAATCTCAACTTTCGACATTTTGAAATTTCATAATTTTATTCCTAGAAAGTTAGGAACTTCGAGGCCTAGTTTTTCTTGATCTCGTCGATCTTCCCTATCGATTGATGTGGTTTTGAGCGAATTTAAAATTTTGACCCGAAAGTTCAATCGCTTATAACTTCGTTCCTAGTTGACCTACAGAGGTCAAACCTGGCCTCAGGTTATTTTCTCGTCGAGATCTATCGATTAATATAGATTTCGTCCGGATCGGCTTCCATGACCTCAGAAGCTCAAAAAAAAGCTAAGGGGTTACACTGCACTTTTTTCGATTTTCCCGAAAACCAGAGTTTCCGAGATTTTAACATCAATCGATAGGAAATGACGTCAGAAGTACGAAAATCTAGGTCTTAAAGTTTCGAGGCTTCTAGAAAGAAAGTTATGATTTTTTAAAGTAGATCATTTGCTACAAAAGCGCTTGAAACGTTCAAAGTTGCGGATCATGGGAAAGCTGATGTTGAGACAAATTGATTGATATAATCAGTTTCTATGTAGCTTTAAAATTAACGGAGTTATGAAGCTTTAAAGCCTGAAAAATACGACTTTTTGGACCTAAATTTCACCCAATTTTGAGCATTTCTCTCCAAACTGATATGGTAACAGTGCTATATAGAAGCTGCTCTATCGGTGGATGTAGAAAAAACCTTAAAAATGAGAAAAAATTTTTGAGCTTCTCCCTTTTCGCGAGAAAATGAGACCGGGGTGCAGTGCACCAAATGCATTAAACCTGACGCCTATCGAAATATTAATGACACACTTCAACCGCTTATATCTCGGCTCCCAGAGCAGCTACAGTTAAACTGATTACATCTTTTGATTTCTCTTGATGTCAGCTTTCTATGGATAGAGGTCTTCAGTGGTTTGAGCTTCATCTAAAAGCTCAAATTTCGACATTCTGAAAATTCATAACTTTATTCCTAGGAAGTAAGGAGCCTTGAGACCAAGTTTTTCTTGATCTCGTCAATCTTCCCTATCGATTGATGTGGTTTTGAGCGAATTTAAAATTTTGACCCGAAAGTTCAATCGCTTATAACTTCGTTCCTAGTTGACGTACAGAGGTCAAACCTGGTCCCAGGTTATTTTCTTGTCGAGATCTATCGATTGATATAGGTTTCGTCCGGATCGGATTCCATGACCTCAGAAGCTCAAAAAAAAGCTAAGGGGTTAGACTGCACTTTTTTCGATTTCCCCGAAAACCAAAGTTTTCGAGATTTTTACATCAATCGATAAATAATGACGTCAGAAGTACGAAAATCTAGGCCTTAAAGTTTAGAGGCTTCTAGAAAGAAAGTTATGATTTTTTAAAGTTGATCATTTGCTACAAAAGTGCTTGAAACTTTTAAAGTCGCAAATCATTGGAAAGCTGATCTTAAAGCGAATTGATTGATATAATCAGTTTCTCTGTTAGTTGAAAATTAACACAGTTATGAAGCTTTACAGCCTGAAAAATACGACTTTTTGGACCTAAATTTCGCCCAGTTCTGAGCATTTCTCTCGAAACTGATATGATGACAGTACTATATAGAAGCTGCTCTATCGATTGATATAAAAAAAACCTCAAAAATGCGAAAAAAAATTCAAGCTTTTCCTTTTTCGCGAGAAAATATGAGCGTGGTGCAGCCCACCAAATGCGTTATATCTGACGCCTATCGAAATATTAATGACGCACTTCAACCGCTTATATCTCGGCTCTTAGCGCAGCTACAGCTAATTTGATTACATCCTTCGACTTGTCTTGGTGTCAGCTTTCCAGGGATATAGGTTATTTGCCGAGTGAGCTTCATCCAAAAGCCTAATTTTCGACATTTTGAAAAAATCATAACTTTTTTTTTGAAAAAGTCAGGGACTTAAAGACCTAGTTTTTCTCGATCTCTTTGACTCCCTCTATCGATTTACACTGAATATGGACTCTTTTGAAACTTTAACTCTAATCGTTAGCTTTTTCACGTTTTCTGTATGTCAAGTGTGTTCTGAAAAAATCAGTTTATGAGCAGATAAATAAATGCAAAAAAGATGGTTAAAGCTATAAGTATTGTGTGGGGCAGACTGTACAAAAAACTCCTAAGGACACATATAAATCTCATAAAACATCGCATTGAGAGAAAGACAGGAAAAGGCGAGGCGATTTCTATGAATTTCGTTATTGATACAAGAAGGAAATGTTCAAAGATTCGTTGTGACGAGGAAAAGGCGGATATGAGTGGGGGCAAGAAAAGAAAAGTTAGAAGGAGAAGCTGAAAAATCCATGTGACGTCATATAAGGTCGATAAGAATTCTTGAATCTGTACTAATCGAAAGCTGAGAATTAGACGCGTCCAAGGGCATAAATAATTTTCTTGTGACTTCAAAATTGAAGAAGCTTTGAAAGGTGAGAGATCTCTTATTCCAATACACAAATCGATTCCTTCAATCCTCAGCTTTCCTCCTTTTGGAAATTTCAGCTTACAAGTCAAACAGGAGTGATAAAACGAAAGCAGCAGCCGCCTAGCAACCCGTCGGAATCCAAAACAGTGTATATCTCAATGCAATTTGGACAACAACACGAATGACTAATTGGTAAGAGTAAGAGATCAAGAAGTAATATAATATTAAAAATAATCATGAGAGAGACAAAAAAAAAGAAATGAGTAAATAATTTTCTTGTGGGAGTGAGGCGAATATTCACGGAAATTTCAGTCCATCTTTCGGTCGGATGGAGCCGGCGTTCGCCATTCCCTTATTCGGTAGCGGACCATGTTGAGTCTGAAAATAGGGAATAATTAGTAAAATAACAGAATAGCCGAAAAAAAGGGTTCAGTCAACTCCTTAGGAGCTCCAGAGTGGTCCTTTTAGGGCCCTCGGAGGTACCCCTCTAGTGAGCAACTTATCAACCCCTATAGGGTCTATTAAAGCTTGAAAAAGTGATCGCTATAGGGGTTTTAGTAAGTGATCCCTCAAGGGGACATGCTAGTCGTTAATTGTTATAAACTCTAAGGGAAGAAGCATTTCCATGGGAAAAACTGAATAAATAAGCATTTTTGAATGGAATTCAAAGACCCCTTTAGGGTCCACTCGAGCTTCAGAGGCTAAGAGGGTAGATTCTAAACCCCTATATGGACCACCTTAGTTTTAACTCTTTGGAGACCACTTTTTCAGCCCGTAAAAAAGTTTTTTTCTCTCTAGGCTTCTTTAGGGGAGTTCCTAAGAAAATGTGACAATTTTTATATTTTTCTGTGCTAAAATCTACTTCAGTTTCTTTAAATTATTCAAAGTACCTTCTCAAGATCTCCCTTCGCATCGGAGCCGTCAACTGGGTGAACAGATGAGCTAGTGACAAGGTGATGAAGAGCAGATTGTAGGCGAGAACGATCCGGAAGGAGCTGAGCCATTCGAGAGACGAGAACGCGCCGAGAAGGTCGAAGGTGGTCAAACCTAGGAACATAAAGATAATCATGGATCCTAGAAGTTTCGAACAAACCTAAGGTGTTGACAATGACAGGTAGAGCCGAGCTGGCCACCAGGACGATGCTCGAGTTGATGATGACGGCGGTCATCGAGGTTTCGCCGACGCGAGGCCGTATCCGTCGCATCAACGGCAGCGAGTACAGGCCGATGAATGACGTCGCGATTATGTATCTGCCAAATATCACGTCATTCTGGATAATTTTGAGGGAGAAGCTCAAAAAAGTTGTTACTTAAAGCCGTACTGTTTCTACATGAAGAAGCAGCTGATCATGGGAAAGCTCAACGTCCTAACTTTTTTTTATTGGAAGAAGGAAAAGATGTTCTACAAGTCATTGGTGAATGCGATTGCGCAAACCGACGATTTTTTTTTTATTTATTCCCTTATCTAGCATAGAATCTCTTTTGGATACTTGATTAGTTGATCGAAAAGCTAAGACTAAATCCGGTTGGACTATCTGAATTATCTGTAGTTGCTCCGAAATAATTCGGATTTCCTTTTATGAGCTCCAAACTTTTTCATAACTTGCAGAGCAGCTACTAACCAGTATAAAAATTTTATTTTTTTAAAGAACCCAAAAAAATTAATCTAAAAAAAGAGGCCTCAGAAATCGCTTTTTTTCACATTTTCAAGCTTACAACCATTTTCTATTCAAAGTTACAAATTATTCATTAATGCAAGATACGCCAAGTTCTCAGCATTCTTAAGATTTTCCGACTTTGAAAACTCACAATATAATCAGAATTTCGACGAATGCGCCGAAAAGCCCATATTTATGCCGGGTTTGAACCTGAAAAAAAAAATCTATGAGAAAAAAAAAAGAGAAATAGGAATACCTCAATGAACTGGGCATAAACAGGCAAGCTACGGAAGCCGAACATCAATTTCAACGTGTTTATCGTCACCATAAGCAGTGAGATACTCTGGAAATTAATTAAAATTATAAAATTATGCCGTGTTCAAAGTAATTTCCGCGAAATGCGAAATTGTCTCTGACCCTCCAAAATTTAGTTATCTTTCTCTTTCTCTGACGGCTATTTTGAATTTCGCGGAATCACTTTGAACACGGCATACAGAAAGAATATTTTTGAGCTCGAAAATTGGGACTGTCATTTTTCAAGCCGTTAGTTTGGGACTGCCAAATTTAAAAACTCAAAGTCTGGGACGGCCTTTTTTTTAGTAATATAAAATAAGCAATTTTTTCAATTTCATAAAATATTTGGTGCTTTAAATGATTCTTCTCCGATTCAAAATAATAATTCCTTATAACAAGTTCTGAAAAAATACCGTCAAAACAAGCATCAGTACAATCGCCGTTGGGAACTTCAAGCCGTTGATGAAACTCAAAAGGCGGCCACTTCTCGAGTCCTAAAAACCAATATTTTATCATAAAAACTCCCATCGATCAAATCACCGGTGAAATGACGAATAAAGACGAGAACCAATCACGGACCCGTCGCAAGAACCCTTCAGGGACCACTTTGACACAAAGTGCAGCCGCCGGCTTCCAAATCGCCTCGTCCGAATGGGATCTTCTTGGACCTTCTGAGAAAAGTTTATTCGGTTAATTTGAAAGGAACTAGGGGATTTTATGAATTTCAGGTAATAAAGAATATGAAAATTCTGGAGAAACCTCTTTCTCTCGAAATTTATTGAGCGTAAAGGCCTTCTTATTATGATTTAATTATTCATCTTCTATTCTTTTCAGTTTATTCCCTTTATTTTGGTTTTGCCACCCTGATACTCTTACTCAACTAACTTCTCATAATCGTGTTGGGAATGATACAAAGCTGTCGATCAAGTAATTTACACCAAAGTATTGGTTACAAAACGGGCAACTGACACCTTTTCCTGTCAGGTCACTGTTTAGGAGCCCGTCCCCGATTTGGGAACAATCCAACCAAGCGATTGACACATTTAACCCCGGACAACGCCAGTTCCGCCTGATCAGTGACAAGGTGTGAGACGCGGCCCAACCTCCCAAGTTGACACTTGGGACGCCTGAGGCTTGTGGACCGACCAACTACGCCTCTTTTGGGTTTAAATAGCCGCCGTCGAGGAGCTCGAGCCAACTTTTGTCGCTGAACCTCTGTTCCTCACGATGAACTCTGCTTCTTCTGCTCAAAGCCCTGTCCGAGCTGCTCCTCAGAGCTTCGACAGTCTGGCAAATGCGCCCCTTCGGAAGAATGTTCGCCGTTTTTTGGGTTAGTTTGTAATTCACTTTGAATGTCATACTCCTTTTTTTTCCTTTTCGATTCATTCATAAAAATTCCGTATTTGCAGACATTACCACCAGAACTCGCAGAAGTCTCGACTTCAACGCTCTGAGCCCAGTTCGAGCATCTCCAGCTCCTCAAGTGTTCGACATTCTGGCAAATGCGCCACTTCGGAAGAACATTCGCCGTTCTTTGCGTTCGTTTTTGTACTTCTGGCAGTTTCCTAATTTTTCATTTTGCAGACACCACAACCAGAACTCGCAGAAGCCTCGACTTTTCGCTCGACCTCGCTCTACCGAAGCCTGTCGAGCCTGTTCCGGAAGCTCCAGCTGGGATCCTGAAGACTCCAACTCGCAGCAAGATCTCTTCGAAGGCCGCCAAACGTGTGACTTGGGCTCCGATTCGTAAGACTCGTGAAAACCGAAAGTCTCGCCGTTCGTCAGGTACACTTTCTCTCAACTTCAACTAATTAAATGTTTGTTTCAGAATCAGCCTTCCGCGCTCCTGAAGCCCCTTCTGGTATTCTGAAGACTCCGCCTCGCAGCAAGATGTCTCCGAAAGCTTCGAAACGTGTGACTTGGGCTCCGATCCGCAAGACACGCGAAAGTCGAAAGACTCGCCGTTCCTCAGGTAACTTTTCAACCTCATTCGACTTTAACTAATGGGATTCTCCTTTCAGAATCTGTCCAGCTTCCGGCTCTTTCTCTCGCAAACTGGAATCCGAATGCCATGAAGTCTTTGGTCGTGACTCTCCTCGAGACGCCTTCTCGCCCAGTTCCCCGAAACTGATCATCTCCAATCCGTAATTCTGTTTTAACCTTCCAATTTCATTCGATAATCTCATTTTTTTCTGGTTTATTAGTCGCTGACAGCTGATTTCCATTTTCATCCTTATCATTTTAATTTACCCCTATTATCACTTTTAACTTTCTCATGGTATTTTTAAGTCACTGATATAGTCTCCTAACTCTCTTCGGTACCACTTTCTTAACCATTTTGTCCTAAGTGTCCCCTTCAGTGATTATTTTCTTAGGTTTCTGATGATCTTTGTCAATTCGGTGTTATTATTGTTCTTATTACTCTACCCTACTTTAAAATTTTCGTCATTAATTGTTATATTTTTGTTTAAAAGTCAATAAAACAAAAAAAATTCAATCTTTGTTCTTACTGGAAAAAAAGGAAAGGAAAAGAATTCAAAGAGGAGCTCAATAATTCAAAAAACTCAATCAACTCTTTCAAGTTCACTCAAATCTACTCAAAAATTGATGGTTTTATTCTCAAATGTCTTTTCAAAAAAATCTTTTTTTCAAAAATTCAACTTAAAAAAATTTCGAAAAAAATCAAAAAAATCAAGACTTCTGACCACTGATGACTTCTTAAGCAAAAAAAATTTTGAAAAACTGACAAAAATTTAGCCTTCAGGCTGACTTTAAAAACTCCTTTTTTTCAGTTTTTCAACAAAGTTTATCTTTTTTTCCCTTAATTTTATTGATCTTTTTCAACTCTACCTTTGAGAACAGTAAGAGATGCTCTAAAATCACTGATTTCGGCGAATTTCCTCACTTCGTGACCGTATTGAACCTCCATAGTCAACCTTCGTGTAGGGAATGATACAAAACTGTCATTCAAGTAATTCACACCAATGTATTGGTTACAAAAAGGGCAACTGACACCTTCTTCTGTCGCGTCACTGACGAGTGACACTATTTAGGAGTCAATTTCCGATTTGGGAACAAACCAACCAAGCGATTGACACATTTAACCCCGGACAACGCCAGTTCCGACTGATTAGTGACAAGGTGTGAGACGCGGCCCAAGCTCCCAAGTTGACACCTGGGACGCCTGAGGCTTGTGGACCAACAAACTCCGCCTCTTTTGGGTTTAAATATCCGCCGTCGAGGAGCTCGAGCCAACTTTTGTCGCTGAACCTCTGTTCCTCACGATGAACTCTGCTTCTCCTGCTCAAAGCCCTGTCCGAACTGCTCCTCAGAGCTTCGACAGTCTGGCAAATGCGCCCCTCCGGATCGAGGACCGCCGTCCACTGGGTTAGTTTCATTTTACATTTAGAGCCTTGTCCAATTATTTCAACTTCAATTATTTCAAACAAAAAAAAAAGGCAAGATTTGCAGACCGTAGCACCAGAAGTCGCAGAAGCCTCAACTTCAGCGCTCTGAGCCCAGTTCGAGCTTCTCAAGAGCTCGAAAGTCTGGAAAACGCGCCACTTCGGAAGAACATTCGCCGTTCTTCGGGTTAGTTTTTCTTCTACTTTGAAGCAATTCTCAAACTTTTTTCAAGTTTGATTCCTTTGAAAAAGTGGCAAATTTGCAGAGATCACCACTCGGAATCGCAGAAGTCTCAACTTTAACCTTCTGAGCCCAGTTCGAGCTTCTCCAGCTTCTCAAGAGATTGAGAGTTTGGCAAATGCGCCACTTCGGAAGAACATTCGCCGTTCTTTGGGTTCGTTTTTCTACTCTGAAGCTTTTTCGAACTTTCTTCAATTTGCAGATACCACCACTAGAACTCGCCGAAGTCTCGACTTTTTCGCTCTCAGTCCTGTCCGAGCCGCTCCAGTTCCTCAGAACTTCGATAGCCTTGCAAATGCGCCCGTTCGCAAAAATATGCGTCGTTCTTTGGGTTAGTCTTTGAAACTTTCAGTATTTTTTAATTGTTTCTCTCAATTTGCAGACACCACATCCAGGAGTCGCAGGAGCCTCAATTTTTCGATCAACCTTGCTCCCGCCCAGGAAGCCTCTGAAGCTCCAGCTCAGGTCCCGAAAACTCCAATTCGCAGTGAATTGACTCCAGAAGTCGTCCAAGGTCTGTCTTGGGCTCCGATTCGTAATAATCGTCAGACTCGTCGTTCTTTGGGTTAGTTTTCATCTTCTGTTGACTCGAACTGATGTTAACTTTTTTTCAGACTCTGCTCGGCCTGCAGTTCTCGTTTTTTCTCTGGAGAATCCTTCCCAAGATGCCTGAAGTCTGTAGTTGTCCATCTTGAAGTTGCTGACTTCCGAAACGTAACTTTTTATTCCTATCAACGTTTCTTTTTTTTCTCTAAACCTTAAAACTACTCTCCTTTCTTCTGTCCTTTTCAAGTCGTAAATACCTCCTAATTTTTCTTGGCCACTATTTTCTTAACTCTAAGGTTCTAAGTATTCCCTCCAGTGATTATTTCCGTAATATTTTAGACGATCTTTGTAGTTTCGGTGTTTTTTTTCTCTTATGTTTTACTATTCCTCAAAAATTCGTCTAAAATTGTGATATTTTCGTTTGAGAATTAAATAAAAAGAAAAAAACAACAAGTGTTTTCTTACTCAAAAAATCTATTAACAGCCTCAACAGATTGAAAATTTAATCGCTTAGTTAGATGTAAACATTTCGAGATTTCACTACTTTCAACATGATTTAACGTAAATCTGAGACAAAGAAAAACGATTTCTCAATCTTAGAGAGCTCGAAAACCAAAAAACTGACCAGACAACTTCTTGACTCGCTTTCCGAAGAACGGCAGGTTGACGATCGGGGTCGAGGTGAAGATTGGCGAGCCGATGGTCGACGCCGAGACGTACGATGTCGCGAAGATGTCATTGGTCGCGATGTCGCCAGTCGCAAACGTATTCGGCGAATTGAGGCAGAACTCGCTCGCGTGGTGTTTCAGGGGCTTCATCACTGCAAAAACCATCAAATTATTTTAAACTGAACAGAAAGATATCTATTGCACCGAAAAATAGAAATCTTTCTTTTCTGCTTCTAAGATATTTAGAAACGAATCACGAGAATATAAAAAAAAAGCCAATTTATGCCTAATTTTTAGAAAAACTGATACTTCTATTGATACTATTTTTTTCTTCCATTGAAATAATTTAGAAACGAACCACAAAAAAATCTCATAAATTTGAATTTTCATTTATTTTTTTCACTAAAAAAATCAAGAAAAAAACCTTCAAATAAATAGATCCATTCAAAAAAACAAAAATATATTCTGATATCACTTCTGGAATGACTAGAAACGAACCAAGGATGTCGCCAAAAGCGTTATCGTCGACTCTGAGGGGCGATTCGACGACTTCGCGTTGCCGGAGCTGACCGTCGCCGTTGACCGGCAGAAACGGCCGTCGCCTGTTTTTGAGCGACATCGCTGCCAATCTCGATCTTTTCCATTCGTCGTAGGTTCTCGTCGGTGGCGTGGGCTTGTTAAAAATCGACAGATAGAAATCGCCGCAGTTTGATGAGGCTACTGAAAAAAATTAATTCGTTAATTGAATCTTTTTGGTTCTTTCGGTCGTTGAAACTTTATAAAAAAAGTAAGAAAAAAATCAGCTTTATTGTTTTCCATCCTAAAAATTTCGTTTTTTTGCTACTTGGTTCAAGGTCGTTTTCTGGGGCTTCTCAACTTTCAAACTGACCTATTTTCCATTAAATCGTTACAGAAAGTCAACGTGTAGTCAAATTCTTACAATAAAGTTACAGAACTTTGGCGAAATTCGCATTTGGTTATAACTGAACCTCCCTACTTTATCGTTGAAATCTAAAAAAAAAAAATCAGAAACTGAAGTCTACAGATGGAGATTTGCGTAAATTGATCAGGTATTCAAGATTTTTTAGAGAAGGAGCACAATCAACACTTTTTCAAGAGAAGCACGCTATTTTTAAGCATTTTCAAACGAAATTTGGAGCTGGAACTTGTAAGGTTTCAGCTTGAGAATGTCCCTTTTAGGGATATTACATTGGGACTGCAATTTTGAAACTTCCACCTTGGGACTGCCACTTTGAAGCTTCCACCTTGGGACTGCCACTTTGAAGCTTCAACTTGGGACTGCCACTTTTGGACTGCCATTTTGAAGCTTCCACCTTGGGACTGCCACTTTGAAAAGCTACAACTTGGGACTGTCATCTTGAAGCTTCAACTTGGGACTGCCATCTTGAAGCTTCAACTTGGGACTGCCACTTTTGGACTGCCATTTTGAAGCTTCCACCTTGGGACTGCCATTTTGAAGCTTCCACCTTGGGACTGCCACTTTGAAGCTTCAACTTGGGACTGCCACTTTTGGACTGCCATTTTGAAGCTTCCACCTTGGGACTGCCACTTTGAAAAGCTACAACTTGGGACTGCCATCTTGAAGCTTCAACTTGGGACTGCCATCTTGAAGCTTCAACTTGGGACTGCCACTTTTGGACTGCCATTTTGAAGCTTCCACCTTGGGACTGCCATTTTGAAGCTTCCACCTTGGGACTGCCACTTTGAAGCTTCAACTTGGGACTGCCACTTTTGGACTGCCATTTTGAAGCTTCCACCTTGGGACTGCCACTTTGAAAAGCTTCAACTTGGGACTGCCATCTTGAAGCTTCAACTTGGGACTGCCATCTTGAAGCTTCAACTTGGGACTGCCATCTTGAAGCTTCAACTTGGGACTGCCATTTTGAAGCTTCAGCCTTGGGACTGCCACTTTAAAGCTAACATTTCGAAGCATCCTGGCATCGCGCCAATCTTGAAGCTTCAACTTGGGACTGCCATTTTGAAGCTTCAACTTGGGACTGCCATTTTGAAGCTTCAGCCTTGGGACTGCCACTTTTGGACTGCCATTTTGAAGCTTCCACCTTGGGACTGCCATTTTGAAGCTTCCACCTTGGGACTGCCACTTTGAAGCTTCAACTTGGGACTGCCACTTTTGGACTGCCATTTTGAAGCTTCCACCTTGGGACTGCCACTTTGAAAAGCTACAACTTGGGACTGCCATCTTGAAGCTTCAACTTGGGACTGCCATCTTGAAGCTTCAACTTGGGACTGCCATCTTGAAGCTTCAACTTGGGACTGCCATTTTGAAGCTTAAGCCTTGGGACTGCCACTTTAAAGCTAACATTTCGAAGCATCCTGGCATCGCGCCAATCTTGAAGCTTCAACTTGGGACTGCCATTTTGAAGCTTCAACTTGGGACTGCCATTTTGAAGCTTCAGCCTTGGGACTGCCACTTTTGGACTGCCATTTTGAAGCTTCCACCTTGGGACTGCCATTTTGAAGCTTCCACCTTGGGACTGCCACTTTGAAGCTTCAACTTGGGACTGCCACTTTTGGACTGCCATTTTGAAGCTTCCACCTTGGGACTGCCACTTTGAAAAGTTACAACTTGGGACTGCCATCTTGAAGCTTCAACTTGGGACTGCCATCTTGAAGCTTCAACTTGGGACTGCCATCTTGAAGCTTCAACTTGGGACTGCCATTTTGAAGCTTCAGCCTTGGGACTGCCACTTTAAAGCTAACATTTCGAAGCATCCTGGCATCGCGCCAATTTCCGGAAAAAATGAATATTTTCAGAAAACCCACCAATCCTGTTTCATCCTTTTCAAAAAACTAACCCCTTTTCTTCCCGTAGTTCTCGTTCCTCCAATGGTTCGTTTCTCTGATGTTATTCTGTTCGTCAGCCGCCAGTGATTCTAAAAGATCAAAACTTATTAAGCACAAAATTTTGAAAAAAACCTTGAATTTCACTCATGACCTCTTCAACCCTCTCTATGGTGTCCTGCACCTCCGTGACGTCATCCGCCGGCGGTGACGTCATCGTGTCAGCTTCTGAGACCGGCGAGAAGGCCGATTTCTCGCTCTGAAATTTTTTTAGTATGTTTTTTTTTTTCGGAAATTGAATTTTTTCAATAATTTTCGTTTCCACTCACGTCAGACATCAACTTCCGGATGAAAGAGAACATTCTTGAGAACCCATAAGGCGTCGAAATGAGCAAAAGCAGAGCACCACAGAAGGAGACACCCGAATAGATCAACGGCAAGTTCAGTGAGGTTATCGACAGGATTGAGACCTGAAAAAAAAGTTGAAAATAACAAAAATATCTTTAAAGTAATCAGTTCTTTCAAACTCACGTCATATCTTAATAATTTAATGACGACTTCAGCCAGGCAAAGGAGCACGACAATGAGGAGGGCGCAGACGGCCAGCGTCTCGTATATCCTCTGCATGACGCACTAGAAAAAAAAAATGGAAAATAATTAGCTTGACCATTTTTTCATACTCTCTTCAACTTCGTATGGTTGAAGGTTCAAAACGGGCAGTATTAAATTGAAATGTTCAAAAATTTGCTCAAAGTTGGTTGAGGGCACTTCAGAGCGCTTTAACACACGTTCTCTGAGAAAATCGATGACTTTTCAGTAATAAAAAGCAAAACAAAATAAATTTTTTTTTAGATTTGCCTCAAAATGTGATCACGGCTTACAAACGTGCTTCTGATTATTTAGCACCAGGTTTCAGGTGGCCCCGCCCCTTTTAAAAGATACTGTAGACAGTAAGCTGAAAAAAATTAATTTTTTTCCTGTTGAGAATTTTCATTCAAAAACGTTTGGAAATGTAAGAAAACACTATTTTGAGTATTTTTTCAGTTGTAACTTTTTTTTCTAACTCGACTTCTTCGGGGAGAAAAAAATCGAAATTTCCTCAAAAAAACAGCGATTTTTTTAGTTTTTTTGAGCCATAACTAGAGTAAGAACCCCCCTATGGTACGACTTTTATTTCTGATTATGAAACTAGAGGCCTTCTTCTTCAAGAAAAAGTAGTTCTACAACAAATCCCTGGGGTGGGATAGTTGACCTCCATTCGACCGAAGATGATCAACTCGAATCGGCTCAAAATTCAAAAAATCATTTTTCTCCTAATTTGACGGCTTCTTCCTCTTTTTTGTTTTGAAACAAAAGACAACACTCACGTTCATGATATCCACTATTTTGGTGCTCAAAGAAAATTTTATTCCGATTTTCTCGAGACTTTTCGAATTTTAGGACTTTCGTCGATTCTCGATTTTTTCCGTTTTCAGGTAGTTTTTTCTGTAGGAACCCCCGAATGTGGTCATTATCTTTCAGTATATGGAATAGTAGGTCATTCTGGATAAGAAAAAATTAGTCCGGTAAAATAAAAACACCTTATGGCATTCAAAAATGTCAATTACTCTTTAAAAAAAACAACTATTGACGAAACTTAATAGAAAAAAAAAGGAGAGACTTAATAAACCTGACTTTAATCCGGAAGATCCATTGAAACGCTTCTTAGGTCAAAAAAATGCGTTTTTTTAAAAACCTTTTTTCATTTGAGTTGTTCTGTAAATGAATGAAAAACATGAATAAGTGTCTGTATAAACGTTGCAACACAAAAAAGCCAGAATTGTATCACAAGAACTTCTAAAAGCTTCAGAAACCTCAATTTCAGGGAAAAAGGGTATGGATAGAGTCGATTGAAAAAGTAATAAACTGTAAGTTGCTGTATTTTGGAGAAAAAATAATTTTTGAGAATCATCGACATTTTTGAATGTCATAAGGTGTTTTTATTTCTCGAAAAAGTTGATAAAAAAAGCTTTTTTCGCCCTTTCTTAACCCCGATTTCATTTGCTTAGGTGTTCAAAAAAAATCAAACATTTGCTGGGTTACCCTAAAATCTTTTTGAATGGGTTCCCAGGTTACTTCAGCAATTTAGAGCAGGTAAGAACGGTGAAAACGAAGATAAGCGTGCCAAGCCTCAAATGTGGATAAAACTACTTTTTTCTTGCCGAAAAAGGCTCCGATTCATGTCGAAAAGTGATGTAGGTCTCACTGAAAAAGTTTTCTGTTAGAATGGAAACAAAAAAAATTGTTTTCCGAGCCTGTATGAAAATTCGATTTTTAGGGTCGTCACCTTCAGGCGGTCGGAGGTCAACTGGGCCACCCCAGAGATTTTTACCGGACTAATTTTTTCTTATCCAGAATGACCTACTATTCCATATACTGAAAGATAATGACCACATTCGGGGGTTCCTACAGAAAAAACTACCTGAAAACGGAAAAAATCGAGAATCGACGAAAGTCCTAAAATTCGAAAAGTCTCGAGAAAATCGGAATAAAATTTTCTTTGAGCACCAAAATAGTGGATATCATGAACGTGAGTGTTGTCTTTTGTTTCAAAACAAAAAAGAGGAAGAAGCCGTCAAATTAGGAGAAAAATGATTTTTTGAATTTTGAGCCGATTCGAGTTGATCATCTTCGGTCGAATGGAGGTCAACTATCCCATCCCAGGGATTTGTTGTAGAACTACTTTTTCTTGAAGAAGAAGGCCTCTAGTTTCATAATCAGAAATAAAAGCCGTACCATAGGGGGGTTCTTACTCTAGTTATGGCTCAAAAAAACTAAAAAAATCGCTGTTTTTTTGAGGAAATTTCGATTTTTTTCTCCCCGAAGAAGTCGAGTTAGAAAAAAAGTTACAACTGAAAAAAATACTCAAAAATAGTGTTTTTCTTACATTTCCAAACGTTTTTTTGAATGAAAAATTCTCAACAGGAAAAAAATTAATTTTTTTCAGCTTACTGTCTACAGTATCTTTTAAAAGGGGCGGGGCCACCTGAAAACTGGTGCTAAATAATCAGAAGCACGTGTGTAAGCCGTGATCACATTTTGAGGCAAATCTAAAAAACTTTTTTTTTATTTTGCTTCAGATTCATCGACTTTCTCAGAGAACGCGTGTTAAATCCAATTTCAAAGAAAAAGATACTTTTCACATTTTTTTATTTTTTTTATACAATAGAAAAAAACTGTTTTTGGTTTGAAGAAAAAGCGCTTTTTTTAAATGCGTCTCAGCCAAGTTTCAGCAAATTTTTCAAAACTTTCGCGAAATTTTCCGTTGAAAAAAAGTTAAAAAAAAAAAAAGATGAAAAATCTCACAGGTTTTGCCCAATAATTTCGTGACTTGGCCACCTGAAACATCGCCAAATAGTCACTTATTTTGGGGTAACAAAAAAGAAAGAATAAAAACCAACACTTCGATGCCATTTCGACGAGAAACCTTGCGATTCGATGAAAAAGTAGCAAAATGGTAGCAGGACGAATAAAGAGGCATTGGAAAGGGTGAAAACGTAGTTCCAGACGGAGCCGATCGACGAATACGTGAGCCACTATAAAAAAATTTATAAACTAAAAAGTTTTCATAAAAATTTTTTTTATGTGTTCCTGAAAAAAATGGTCAGGGATGATCCTCGAAGTACAGAACATTCGAGAAAACTCAACAAATTTTCTAGTCTTTGAAAAATAGATCAAACTCTGATGACCTATTTTAACGAAAATGAATAGTTTGCTTCGAAGAAATTGATGAGTTATCAAAATTTTCGCAAAATTGCTGATTTTTATATCCAGGAACCCTTTCGTCGAGTTGCAGAAAAGTCCAGATGCAAAGTTAAACTACCCAACTTGTAAAGGATCAACAAAATTTGATCCAATCTTGACTAATCAATAAAATGGGACTGCCATTTTTTGAATCTTCAACATGGGACTGTCATTTTTTGAAAGCTGCAAATGTTTTCATGCCCATTCAAAATTGCATGATTTCAAAGCTCTTCTTCTTCTTCTGTTAGTCTGAATACTTCTGACATCGATAAATTAACCAATAAAAATAATAATAAATAGCTTCCTCTCCAAAAACTGTGATTCGATAAAACGATTCAGGTATCATTCAGAAAATTTAAATTAATCTTTTAAATTACTGAACTCAATCAAAGTTAAAAATTATGAATGTTTTGAAATAATTCATCCATAGTTTTTTTTTTCTTTAATAGAATATGCCTCAAATTAACTTTCAGATAAAATTCGAGGTGCTATAAAATTTCCATTCCGGAAAATCTTAAATTTCCGTTTTCCTTCAACAATTAAACAATGGGATTCTAATTTCAACACTCTCACCTTCTTTTTAGAGTTGTATTATTTTCAAAAATTGCTTTATAATTACAGAGTGAGAGCCGAAAACAACGTTCCCATCTTCCTTAATAGCAATTTTATTTAATATGAATTTCTTTCATGATGAAGTACTGGGAAATAACAATTCAAGGCTCCCGTTATCTTCCCCCGGGTTCCCAAAAAGTGATTAAAACCAAACTGAATAAAAGGCCAATGGAGGATAGAAAATACGCGGCCTTCAATATGTTGAACCTGTTCAAGGTATTTCCAAGTTTTTTTTTTCAAATACTTAACCATTATAATTGCAGATCTTTTTGCTTTTTGTCCTCCTCCAAGGGGTATCCGGTCAGTTCATAAATCAATTTTGATGATCATCAATTATTTTTAGGCAATGAATGCAAGACTGACTTCGAATGTACCACAGTTATGAAACCGTTATGTAAATTCGGAGTCTGTGTGAACGATGTTAAACGGAAACATCCATTCTTTTTGTGAGAATGGAAGAACTCAATAAAACTGTTTGAATGACGCGCTCACAATTTCGAAGCAACCGAAAAATCTTTGAATATACACTCAAGAGCCCATGATCATGACTAGTCAGTGAAAAAGATGCAAATTCACTTTTTTTTTCTCATCTTTTTTTACACTGCTTAAATTTTAAAACTTCGTGATATCGTGAGAAATAGTGTTTATTCTTTTTTTCGGAGTACAATTTAAAATTTCTGAATCGTTCTTGCTACATTTCTGAACAAAAAAACCAGATCTTTGATGTAAAAAAATGGCTTTTTTTCGGAATTTCGTTTTTTTCTCGAAACCGAGATGAAATAATCTTGAAATTCGAGACGATTTTTTTCTAGTTGATCTTCAAGCTAGCAAAAATGATTCCGAGGTTTTTTTTTCTGGTTCAATTTTTGAGAAAAAAAGGTCTAAATTTAGCCAGTCCAAGAAACTGAAAAAAAAAACGCCGAGTGAAAAATTTCAACGGAAATTCAAGAATTGCCATTATTTAAGTCAATTTACTTTTTTTTCATTTTCTTCAGAACTTCCCGTTTTTTTCCTTTTCAAGAAAAAAAGTCACCTGTAAATAGTAATTTCCCGGGTAGAGCTGTAGCAATTCGACGCTGAAAAACGGAAAAACGGCAAAAGTGTGATGGATCCGACGGAGACGGCCACAGCTACCGAACACATCCAAACTCTGGAAAAAAATAATATGAGCCAAAAGAATCTCTAAAAACTATAATTTTCCTCAAAATTTTGTTGAAAATGGGGAATATCTAAAATTGTGCGCCCCAAAAACATTACAAAACGACTTCTCAAAGTGTTAAAAGCTCAGAATCTTCCGAGAATTATGAGAAAGTTCAACTGAATGTTTATGCTTTCATAATATGAAACGTTGAAAATATTTTCCAAGGGGAAAAAAATGAAACTTACGACATTCGGTAGACAATCTCATCCTCAAGCCCCGCGTACAACGATTCTCGTTCCGTTTTCCTTTTGAATTTCGAAATAATACCAAAGGCGATAAAGTACATGGCCATGAACAGCAGGCCGCAGATCTGAAAAATGAAAATATGAAAAGGGTTTGAACTTTTTAACTTCGAGAAAAAAAACTTTTTCATTTTTTTTTTCATCAAATGCTGTCAAAATATACAATTTTAACAGTAATAAATGTCTTAAAAGTAAAAATCACGGAGAAAATAGCGATTTTTCAAAATCCTACCAAAGTTAGAGCTTGGAACCCCATCAGAAAGCTCAATAATTGTTCAATTTTCAGCGAATTCATTTTTGCAATTATAAAAAAAAAATGAAGGCTTTTAAAGGATCATGAGAAAACTACAAAAAGGTCGAAGAGCACTTATTTTCCGTCTCCAATGTTTTCTCCGCCTTTAAAAGCTCAGCGAGGTTATTCAAACTGAGTTTTGCTTATTTTTCCTAATATACTCACCAAATTCTCTCTGACCATCTCGTGGAAGACTCGTTCGCGTTCGTCAGCGATCGCATCTTGCAGCGACCGGAGCAACTGCTTTTCAGCTTCGCTCGGCTCGACTTCGTCGGAGAGCAGCGAATGAAGGTAGGTCGCCAGCGACCACGCTCGCGACGCTCCATTCGCCAGCGATTCGGCCGCCGTCAACACGTATTCGCCCAGTGTCGTCACGATCCTATAAAACTTATTAATAATATGATTGCGAATGAATTATTCAATAAAATTGAGCAGAGAAAGAGAAAAAACGTATATATAGGAAATTTTGCAGGGTATCATTATTCAAATTTTTCAAAGTGGCAGTCCCAAACCTAGAAGCTTCTAGAGAATTTTTTTGGGCTTCAAGTCAAATTTTTCGACAGTTTTTTTGTGGAAAGCCTCAAAGTACGCTTTTTTTAAGAATCTATCTAAATTTCCAATCAAAGCTTATGGAGTTCAAAAAAAAAAATTAAGAAAAATTCATGACACTGGCTTCATATTCAAACATATGCAACCATTCAAAAAATTACCAAAATTAATCCGAAAAAATAAATGAAAACGTGAAACAAATTTCTGAGCTCAGAAAGAGAGAAAAATGACACTTTCGCGTCAAGATCTCTTGCGTCAGATAACGCGAGAGTCGCAATATACATAAACCAAAAAAATCTAAAAAAATTAACATTAAATCTAAAAAAACTCAAAAAAACTAAGCTTGCCAAGCGAACCTCAAATAGAAATAATGCTCTTCGGAATGCAAATAGAGCCACACGGTTCTATTTAACCCAGTTCGTGGCTTGAAAGTTTAAAGAGCCGGAAACAAGAAAGAAATCAACAGCTCTAGGCGAGAAAAAGAAGAAACGCAAAACAGCTGCTTTTTCTCAATCCAACAAACGTTTTGTGAAATTTTCAAACGCCGGAAAAAAAAATCAGTGAGTGATTACCTTGGAAAATATGTTTTAAAACGCAAAAGAGACCAAAATTCAAAAAAAACTCCCCTTTTCTTCATAATTCATCTGCCAATGATGACTTCAACACGTTTTGAGGATAAAAAAAAAAACGAAAATAAGCAGAAATAGATTTTTTGTCAGTGAAAAAAAGAATGGAAGTTCGTCAAACTTTTTTTTAATTAATAACCGTAGAATAAAATGTTTCGACCGTGGATTGTTGAGTAGGAAGATTGCACAAAAGCATTTAATCGCACGCGCAAAGCTTAATTAAATTCGAAAAATAGTAAAATTATTATTTTATCTGCCTATTCGAAATTTCAACAGTTATAGATTATATCCTAAGTTTTCGATTCCGATTTCCATTGATGTTTGAGTTATATGATCTTTTTTCTTCATCCATGTCAACAAAATTTGCAAAATTTTTTCAATTCAACTTTCGAAACAACCAAAAGACCTGATAATTGTAATTCTAAACAAGAATATACCCTATTTGCCATATAAAAATCGTTCAATTCAAATATGTTTACAATAAAATCAGAGAAACCTCACGAAACGGAATAATGAATCGATAGAGCGTCAAGAAACGGTTGCAAAAATGTTTACTAAAAATGAGAAAGTCTTCAAACAAACATACACGCACAAAAAGTCGTTGAAACATAACTAAAAATGACGTCTCTTAAACTTTTCCAAAGATAAGATAAGAAAAAATTGTGGGTGCGTGTGAAATTTCGAAAAAAAAGGTTTTGCGCTGGAAGATGAGTATCCGATGGAATTTCTAGTTTCGCAAAACTACATTTTAAAAGCTTATAATCCTTAAAAAATCAACCTGATAACGAAATTTGAAATGACATTTGGTTGATCATTTCAAAGTGGAAAAGCCGTTCAAACCAACTGAAACTTTAAAAAAATATAGAGAGCTTCATAAAAATTTTGAAAAACCGAATTCTTCCCTCAATCATTCTGACCAACAAAATAACACAAAAGAGCGAAGAGGATATTAAAAATACGGTATTTTTCGAACAACCGATATGAGAAGATCGATCTGTGCGCGAATTGATGAATTTAACTTTGATGAAGCTAAATTTGATGAAGAAAAATCAAACTCATATAAGAAAATTGAGAAGAGTCGGTAATTATCCAGCTTGAACTGAATTTACGCCAAGAGATTTCGAAATTATCTCTGAATCTCCAAAAATTAGTTACCTTTTTTTCTCACTCCGACCGTTATTTTGAATTTCGCAGATATACTTTGACACTAAATTAGTGGAAAGCCAGTAAAGCATCAGAATCAATTTTCTACAAATTAAAATAAGCACCGAAAAAACTATAAAAATTATACGAAAGATTAAAAATTAGTAGGAAAAGCTGGCTTAAGAAGGCGCACCACACACGACGTTCAAAAACAAGCCAAGTCGACGTCTGCTAGGCTGAGAAAGATCACGTGGTCCGAAAATAAACAATACCAAAAACCTGTCAAACAGTACCATTAATCTTCATTCAGAAGAGATTTTCCAAAATATCTTTCCAGGAAGTATTTGAGAACAAAAAATTGGTGCTGATTTCAAAAGAAAATATGAAAAATTCAAATTAAGACCTCAAAAATCTTTAGTATTCTCATACAAGATTCCAATTTCCTTTCAGAGACCATTAATATATTTCAAAAAAATGAACAACTTCATACAAATAACTTTGATTGAATCGATCAAATGGGAGGGAAATCCGAGGAAAGGACGCGAAAAATGGTAGTGACGAAGAGCACTGAAGAGGGCGGGAGACACTGGTGCAGCGGGGCGAGAGATCATTCAGGTAGCGGAGGGTGGCAGGGCGGTTAGAGGGACCAATTGGACACGGCGTTCTTTTTTCCGGCCGTCTCGGGTCAAATTTGCACATTGACCAGGCCAAAACCAGGCCAATGTCATATTAGGCGAAACCAAAGAACTACACAAAATTCGAAACAATTCGAAATGGACGCCGAAAAAAGTTGCGAAATTCAAGGAAGGGTCATTTTAGAGCACAACCTACGGTCTAGCGAGAAAAATTGAATCACAAATCCTACGGTATATTCATATGAAACATATCTAAACAAGACAAGAAGTTTTTAACAATTAAGGGAACGTAAAAGGTTAAAACCTTATCGAATAAATAGATAGAACTGCGAAAAAAATGTCAAAATCGAAATTTCGCACCCGCCGAAAATATCCCTAGCTCTATTCTTGCCAAGAAGGAAAACAAATTGGAAGGAAAATTGCTAGGAAAAAAAAAGAGAAAGGGACAAAAAGATGGAAATTCGAGTCGGAGGTTGGGAAAAATATGAAAAAAAATTTTCTCACAAAGATTTTGGGGGCGAAAAATCGCATATAACAATGAGTAAAAAAAAAGAGATTCGTTCCACTGAAAAAAAAATTTTAGTTAATAAAATCTTCTGCTTAATTCCTACCTTTTCTAAATAATCATTGAAATTAAGTTAACATTCATAATTAGCTAAAAAAATAAACTGAAATTTCTGTTCAATTTCTCATTTTTAGCAACTTTATAAATTTAATTTAGTAACTTGAAACTATCCTTTATCGAGTTTGATTTTCGGAACCCTCGACTTACAATTCTCAGCCCTCATCTTTTCGATTCAGAAAATTCAAAACCTTTTTCAAAAACTCGAAAATGATTCACAAAACGCCCGCAGCTATTCAAAAACATGAGACAGGTGGGAAAAAAAAACTGTCAAGAAACCAAGAAAACAAGAAAATGTGCACCTGCCATAGAAATGGAAAGAAAGGAGGGGGGAAAGGCTTCGTTAAACACGAACCGAAAAATGTGTAACGCAATACGCGGCCCGACGGGAAACTGAAAGGCGAAAGCAATGCCAATATGTATGCAGAAAGATTATAGCACCCCAATCTTGCTTAAAATTCATAGAAAAAAGGTAAACGCTCCGAAAAACAGGTATCCTTCAATTTTTTTGCGTTATCAGTCCTTTTCGGGGTTCGTCAAGAGATAGATTATAAATGGAATCGACTGACAAGCTTTAAAAGGATTCTTGGTTAATTTAACGCTCGAGTCAATTTTCTCTAAATTGAAGGACGATAAACTCGGAAATTTGGGAGTGCCATTTTTGAACTGGGAAATTTGGGACTGCCATTTTTGAGCTCTCAAATTTGGGACTGCCATTTTTGAAATCTGAAATTTTTTGGGACTGCCATTTTTGAAATCTGAAATTTTTTGGGACTGCCATTTTTGAACTGGGAAACTTAGGACTGCCATTTTTGAACTAGGAAATCTGGGACTGCCATTTTTGAATTTCGGGACTGCCATTTTTGTATTTTGGGACTGCCATTTTCGAACTCCGAAATTTGGGACTGCCATTTTAAAAATCCGAAATTTGGGACTGCCATTTTAAAAATCCGAAATTTGGGACTGCCATTTTTGAGCTCGAAAATTGGGACTGCCATTTTTGAGCATCGAAACTCGGGACTTCGAAGAAAATTCATAAAAAGACTGAAAAAAATAGCTAATTTGAAATTACATCAAAGCCAGATGCACAACGGCTCACTAAAATACTATTTTTTACATATAGAAAAAAATTTTAAGCTCTTTGATACCATGCTAGCAATCCCAGTGATAATTTTTCACAAGAAGAAGGATTTTTTCTCTCATACTTATAACCTTACTTCTCTGAAACACTTGAAACTCGATCGCTGACCGAAAAATCCACTGGATCAACGTCCAACAAACAGAAAAAAAGATATCACAAGACTTCGAGTGTTTGCTTTCAAAAAAAAAAAAGAGAGAAAAAAATGACATTGACGTAGTTCAGATGATTTTAAACTATCCGGAAGTCGAGGGCAAAGTACAGAAGGAAGGAAAGATCCTATAATTCTTTTCAAATAGAAGTTTCACAATCAAAAATCAACGATAATTTTTTTAAAAATTTTTCCCAAAAATTGGTTTTCAAGTTTGTCAAGGAAAAAAATTACGGATTTCAACAATATCGTAAACTCCAACTGGAGACATGTAAAAAATTGAAACAAAACTCAAAAACGCTGATCGAACGGAGATTGGAATAAAGCGCAAATAAGTTTCGGTCGCATGCTGTCCAAGGAAAAAGCTGTCATGCACCAAGTAAGCCATTTAAAATGCAATCAAAAATATTAAGTTTTCTCCAACGAGAATGTAGTTCATTAACAGCAACTTTCTGGTTCTTTGAAGGTTTTAAAAAGCCAAAAACTAACTCTCATGACAAGAAATGTATCCAAGGTTTACCTTGCTCTTTAGAACTTTAAAAAAACCAAAGAAACTCATATGAACAAACTGAAACCCACTAACTAATTAAAAACCCTTTGAGAATAGCTTTCTCACAAATCGAAGCATTTGATTCAACTTTCGAAGCATGAAAACTTTTTAAAATCCTCCTAGTGCCTCAAAACTTTACATTTTCAAGGACTTTCTGAGTAAAATACAGTACCGGCTCATTATCGTGCCAAAAAACTCCTTTCAAACCCTTACCTACGCCTTCAAACTCCCTAACAACTTGAAAAACATAGCTGTGAACGAACAAAAATCCGATTTGAACAGGGAAAAAAAAACACCGAGGAACTGCCAATTTCAATTCCATTCGATCGACAGCTGCACAGACCAGCGCAAATTGAGCGCCAAAAATCTCGTTTGCAAACAGAAAAAAAAAGAAATTTCCAAGGCAAAAAAGTAGTTGCGGAAATTGCTGGTTGCACCAACATGCAAGTGAAACATGTGGAAAAAATGGAGGAAAATTCAACGGATTGATTTTTTTCAAAATATCATAAAAAAATCTTTTCGAAGCTAAATCGAATCAATCAAATTTCTACGCAAAGGAGTAAAATTAGTTTTTCAGAAAAAAATGGCTTTCCAACTCAAAAAGTCATATAGAGGTTTTGTCTTGTAGAAACTAATTCAAGTTTTGTTTTTGAATATGAAAAAAACCTAAAAAAAGTTCCCAGGCACGAAAAATAGATCTGAGCCTTTGAACATCTTATTTATCTCCTTTGAAAGAACTATAGACTGTTTTTCAAACTCTATTCACTTTATTTCAACTTCCTTATATACTCAAAAGCTTTAAAACCAGGAAAAATGGACTTTAAAAAAATTCCTAGCCTCAAAAAGCCTGTAGTTCAAAAATTCTTGTGAAAAGACCAGTTTTTCGAATTTTCGAAAAAAAAAAAACACTTCTCATAAATCTAACCAAACAACCTCATAACTCCCCATTAATTCTCCGTCCAATCTCCCCAAAAACAAGAAAAAAAGGAAAGACAAACGGAGAGATAAGCCCATTTTTCTCGCACTTTGGCCCCAATTTTGTTGGTTTAGTCGTCGGAATCTTTTTTTTTTCTTTTTTGATTGATCGCCTCGGAGAAGACGAACATTTGTCTAGTCGAAGCGTATCAAATGGAGAAAGTTTTTCGTTATTAATCTTTTGAACTGAAACATTCCATATTCTAACATACTCAGTCTCTTGAAAAATCCAATAGGATTTCATTAAAAACAATATAAAGTAAAACGCATTACCAAGGTCTTGACACCTTTTCTAAAAAGATCAAATTCATACAATCCATCAAGCACGATCGAAGTCCAAGCATGTCAAAAAAAAAAAAGGAAAAAAAAAAGACGCACCAAACAATGAAGCGAATGACAGTGATGGATCGTTGAACAAAGTTCTTAAAACTCTCCAGAAGAGTGACGTCATCGGCCGGTTGAATCGGCTGCCGGATGATCGGGATGACCAGCGGGCCGAAGTCGCCGGCCACACACGACTGCACCTCCTCGGCACACGCAATCATGCACTCCTTCTTCCAGGCTTCTCTGAAAAGAATGAATTTAGAATGGGGAAAATACTTCATCCGAAAAATTTGAAACAGTCTGACCCGTCTGCGTCTCTTTTTCCTCACTAAGAAGGTCATAGAAACATGAAAATAGCACGTAAAATCGAGAGCCGATAGTGAAAATAATAAGGCTTTTTTCAAGTTTTAGAAAGTTCTTAAAATTGGCAGTCCCAAAATTGTCGAGTTTTAAAATTGTCAGACCCAAACTTTTCGAGTTATTAAATTGGCAGTCCCAAAATTTTCGAGTTTTAAAACTGGCAGTCCCAAATTTTTCGGCTAAAAATTGGCAGTCCCAAAATTTTTCGAGTTCAAAATTGGCAGTCCCAAACTTTTTTCAAATTGAAAATGGGCAGTCCCAAATTTTTTGAACTCCAAATTGGCAGTCCCAAAATTTCCGAGTTCAAAAATGGCAGCCCCAAAATTCAAAAATGGCAGTCCCAAAAAATTTCAGATTTCAAAAATGGCAGTCCCAAATTTCGAGCTCAAAAATGGCAGTCGCAAATTTCGAGCTCAAAAGGGGCAGTCCCAAATTTCGAGTTCGAAAATGGCAGTCCCAAATTTTTTGAACTCCAAATTGGCAGTCCCAAAATTTCCGAGTTCAAAAATGGCAGCCCCAAAATTCAAAAATGGCAGTCCCAAAAAATTTCAGATTTCAAAAATGGCAGTCCCAAATTTCGAGCTCAAAAATGGCAGTCCCAAATTTCCGAGTTCAAAAATGGCAGCCCCAAAATTCAAAAATGGCAGTCCCAAAAAATTTCAGATTTCAAAAGGGGCAGTCCCAAATTTCGAGTTCGAAAATGGCAGTCCCAAATTTTTCGAGCTCGAAATTGGCAGTCCCATACTATCAGAGAAGTAGCGGGGATTGATATAGAAATAAAAAAAAACTGACAGATGAACGACCAAAAATTAAAAAAAAAGGCGAAACTATTTCAAAACTCTCATAGCTCCTTTTCTTATGTACGTTTGTGGGAAAAATCTTTATTGAGAAAATAAAGAGGCATCGAAAAAACTACTCCTGTGAAAACGCAATTATTTTTACGTGCTTTTCACATATCTATGATCTAAAAGGTGAGGAAAAAAACGTGGAAATGCCAGACTGTTTCGAGTAAAAAGCTTTCCAAGAAAGCTTGTTTCATATACTTAAAGAAAAATCACCAATTTTCCAAACATAAAAAAATAGAGAACCAAGAAACTGAAGAAAAGTATCAGACCTTAAACCGAAAAAACACAAAAAATCTCCTTATCTGTTGACAGTTTTTCAAAACAACGTCGTCTGCAAATTTTGAGTGATAAATATCAAAAAGGACCAAATCACGTAAATAATTAGAATCACCAAATAATCTACACGATTATTGAAGAAAAAAGATAGCGATAGTGAAGGTTCTTGGAAAAAAATAGATTTTTAAAAACTCCTCGTTGTAATTTTTTTGCATCGACAACTGAATTTTTTTCCCTGCCACAACCTAAATTTAGAATAATATATATTTGAAACAGGAAAGGGAAGCTTTTTCCAGGCTGAATGAACTAAAAGTGAAAGAAATGCCTAGATGTGGAAGACATTGGGACGCTTTTCCTTGCCATTGATTTCCTATTAGCCATCATTTGTGATGGCATTAGTCTATTTGGAGACGTAGTCCAAAAATGAAAGTTTAGAGTGGGCAAGGAACTGAGAAGACGATTAAAAAGGTAAAATTTGGACAGAAAAAAGGAAAAAAAATTATTTAAACCAAGAAATCAAAGATGATATAAGCTGAGTTTGAAATCTCGCAATTAAAAATAAAATAAAACCTAATTTGGACGCCAAAATTTGAGAACAAAAACCAGCAAAACGCCAATAAAAACAAGGAAGTTTGGCCAATTAGTTAAAACACACACGCTTTTGAAACGTGTTCATAACGATGTTCATTCAAATCGGCGAAGGCAAAAGGTTAGATCCGTCAGAAAGATAAACGGCGAAGCGAAACGGGGTCGGTCACAAACTTCACACTTTCTCTGAACTTTTTTTTTTGAAATCTAAAAGTTTCTTTTCTTTTATTTCAATAATGAGATTTACACCAATCTTGGGCGAAAATTATTTTAAGGCATTCAAATCACATTGCTAGAGTCTTGTTTGAAGTGCCTCGCAGTGGAAAAAAAGCTCATATCCCAGAAATTCGGATATTCAACGAAAAATATAATTTTATTTGATGAAAATTGATGCTTGTAGTGCAAAATATGGCAGAGCCGAACGTTTAACTTTGAAATTGGCAGTCTCAAAATTGATATACTAAAAATTGGCAGTCCCAACAGTTAAACCTAAAAATTGGCAGTCCCAAACTATCGATTCTTTTAAACATGATTTTCAAGGCCCAACCTTGTTATAAATCTCATTTTCCAAGTAAAAGAAAATCCGATATCCATTTCTCTAAATAAACTCAAAAAGTGAGGAAAATTCTCCCCAAAAATTGAGTTTTACCGCTTTTTTTGCAAGTATTTTTATTTGTTTCTGACGATAACCCGTTTACCCCTAATAAAAATTGGTCACGAGAGGAAACGTGAAAAACAGAATCAACACGAAAAATTCCAATTTCAACACAAGATCTGAAGGAATTAAAGAAGTGAACCCAAAAAAAACAGGGTTTTCTGTTCATGTTCCGCCTTGTTTTGGTGTAAACCAATGTTAATTTTTTTTTTCTTCCTCTTGTTCATGAAAGGAAATGCCGCCAAACTCATGACATGGTGTACTTTGCCCTCATAAACTTAGGAACAAAGAAAAAGAAGATAAGAAGGAAAAATTTTTTTCGTCAAGAGATAAACGTTTCATGATCCCTTAAACACAAAATAGATAATAAATAACGAAATTGGTAAAACCAATAAATAGTAGAACTTTAAAAAATTATTAGGTGCTTATAATAGCAAGCCGACGTCTTGAGAAAAAAATAGATATTAATATCATAAAAATTAACAAAAACTATAAAAAAAGTCTAGAGAAAATTAAAAGCGTGAACATTTGACGTTTCCAAACGATTAAACACCATTTTTATACAGGTAGCCCATCCAAAAACTTGATTCAGTGAAAAAAAAAGCTACAGAAAGATGAAAGACTAAAAAATAGAATAAAATTTCACAGACTCAATTCATTTTTAACGTTTAATAACACTAAATCATTCTTTTTAAGCATTGCTAACGTTCTATTAAACCAATGAAAATATGAAATTGAGAAAAGAAATAAAAAAAGAAAAAAACGACGGATTTCTCAAGAAACCTAAAACCTTCAATTTCCCAATATATTTTAAAAAAATTCCAGTCGAAAAGCGCTAAATCATTATTTTGATTTTTGAGTATTCAATTTAATGAAAAAATGTTAGACATTGTCTGATCGGTTAACAGTTTTTGAAAGGCTTTCGAAAGTCTCAATGACTCAAATCACACGAGGAACTTTATTTAAAAATAAATTACTGGTTAAATTTCTTTCAGTGAAGTTGAAAAAAAAATACAAAAAGGTCAATACATTAAAGAAGAAGCTGATAAAACTGCCATAAAAATGACACTACTAGTACCCTCCATGTAACACTTTTTGCAAACAAAAATTCAAAAAAAGACGCCACCAGGTCATAAAATTAGGTTGTTTGAAAAAAAAAAAGTTAAAACTCATCGGGCAATTCAAAAACAGAAATTTCAAATCTTATTGTGATTCTCTTTACCGCAAGCACCGAGGCGCCGATTTGCATGCGAACTTTTGAGAAAAATTCCGTGTTTTTATCTTTTTTCTTCTTTTTTCAAATAAGATTGAACTTAATCTACAGATTCCTTCTGGGAATCGGAGCTATTTCAAATGGCTTCGGTCCAGATTCCTGGAATCGGCGAGCCGTCAATAACAACAGCCGAACCCGAGGAAATAATACTTCCAGTCGAAGAACAAGTTAATAAATTTAATTTTTCATTGTTTTAACAATCCAAATTTCAGAAAACAAGTTATCGCGTCGTTGTGGACGTTGATCGACAGGCGATTTCGATAGTTAGCTTGAGAATTGGAGAAATTATCGACGATCATCGCTACATTGAAATTCAACCATTGCCAGGTTCAAAAATGCCCTATTCTTCTAAAAAAAATCTGGCTAAATTCAGAAGATCACTACCAGAGGATGGGCGTAAGGGTAGAGGAGATTGATTACGATGAAAATTTGGATATTCGTAAGTTAATAAATATATTTTTGAACTAATAAAAGACTAAATTAAAGACTGCGACATTTGCGACACTTTCTACCGTCCTTTCTGTCGGGAACACCCGCTTTTCAGTATACCTGATAAGAATTACGTTAGTTTTCATGAAAAATAAAATCAGAATGATTTTGTTTACAGTTGCCTAGTCCTATCTTAACAAGAGCTCGTGGAACAATGCCGCCATTATTTGATATCAAAAAATCGAAAATTCCCAATGCTGGCCTTGGAGTTTTCGCCAAAATGTTGATTCCGGTTGGTTCCTTGGAAAAATATTAAATTCCATTGTTAATTTCGATTTTAATTCTTATTTTTACGATTCGAAAGTTCTTTTTGTTGTGTTCAGAGGCGTAAAAAGTGTTAAATTACTTGAAATAAAAAAATTTTCCACGCGGCCTTTATTCACCTCTATGAGGGTTTTTTTGAACAGAAAAAAATATTTTTTTCAAACAGGAAAAAAATTTGAATTCTATTGAAAAAAAGCAGCCGAAGTTTGAAAAAAATTAGATGAATTTCTTGGTTTCTGATCAGTTTTTTTCACTCTTCTTCTATCTTATATGTTCATCTCCAATCCCAAAAAAATTGAAAAAAATATTGGATTTCATGTTTATTTTTTTGATTTTTGATTGATATTTTTCACTGTTTGAAAGTTATTTTTTTATTGTGTTTATGGCGTGAAAGTTTCGAATTATTAAAAATAAAAAATGTTTCCACGCGGCCTTCAAACGCCTCTATGAGGATTTTTGAACAGAAATAACTCTAGAAACAGGAAAAAGCTCGGATTTTATTGAAAAAACAGCCGAAACTTGAGAAAAATGAGACGAATTGGTTTCTTACTGTTTTTTATGTTCATCCCCAAGCTTCAATTCCAAAAATTGAAAAATTATTGGATTTCATGTTTATTTTTGATTTCAAATGATATTTTTACGATTCAAAAGTACTTTCTTGTGTTCAGAGGCGTAAAGTCTTGAATTATCAAAAATAAAGAAAAATGTTTCCACGCGGCCTTCAAACACCTCTATGAGGATTTTTCAACAGAAATAACTTTTAAAACGGGAAAAAGCTTGAATTTCATTGAAAAAGCAACCGAAACTTGAGAAAAATAAGATAATTTCCTTCTGACATGGTTTCTGATCAGTTTTTCGTTATTCTATATGTTCATCTCCAAGTTGCAAACCTCCAGATCGGATTCGTTTTTGGCCCTTACGCCGGGGCTCGTCGAGAAACTGACACAGAAATCAAGGTCGACGGTTACGCGTGGGAAATCAACGACAAAGAAAGTGAGAAGAAAATATTTATTTTTCCATTAAAAAGTTTCCAGAAAAATTTCTACGTTGACGGGGCCGATGAGAATGAATCAAACTGGCTGCGGTTTATAAACAGTCCTAGAGGTTTTTTTCAAAGATTCTTCATGATTAAAAAAACATAATTCTATTTCCAGGAGAAGAAGAGCAAAAATTTGTTGGCTTTTTCAACTCAACGGAAAAAGTTTATTATCGCGTTATTATGCCCATTAAGGCGAAAGACGAACTTTTGGGTAGGTTTTAATGATTAAAAAAACTTTTTGGAATGAAATTATTATTTGTGAAAAATTGGAAGGATTCATGAGTTTCAGGCAAAAAAATGCCAGTTTTCACGAAATTTCTTGCCCATTTTTTTGACCAATTTTGATAATAAATTACCATATAACTTGAAGAAAATTCTTTATTTTTTTAATTTCAGAAAGTTCCATACGCCGATCTGTCAAATAAAAATTTTAAAAAAACCCCCCACAAATTTCCGAATAAAGTTTAAAAGCTGAAAAAAATCAAAAAAAGGTGGTTAAAGTGGTTACTTAAGGGTTTTCAAAAGCCAAAAAAAATTTCCAAGCAAAAAATGGCAGTTCCAAAATCACCTATTATCTTTTTTTAATACTTGAAAAACCTTCCAAATTTCCTAATCAAAAATTTCCTAATGAAAAAAACTGATCATAAATCAAAAAAATTTTTTTTTGCAGTTTGGTACGGCGCCAATTTCGGCCACAAGCTTCTGAAAGCCGTCCACAAGACTTCCAACGTCAAAAAAGCCAAAAATCCATTCATTTACTAGACTTTGTAGTATTAAAAAAACATCTCACTTCGCTACATACTAACGCTACATTTGAAAAATTCATTATTTTCCCCCGTATAGCACTTTTTCGAAGTTGTCCCATATCCCTGTACCCTTCTTTCTCTTTCATTTTCTGTATTCCGGGTTCCTAGAAACACATTTCACGTTTTTCTATCTTACCGGGATGGTCCTGGTGTTGTTAAGGAAATATTTTTTTGATTTTTTGGATTTTATCTGTTCCTTTTTCTTGTTGTATCCTTGTTGTTGGTGTTTATGAAGAGCTTTTTTCTCTTTTCCAAAATTCAAAAAAATAAGAAAGACCTTGAAGTTTGTGAAATTGATTACGGATTAGTTAAGACAGGAAACGTATGTATAGGAAACTCCTCCTTTTGATGATGGGGATTCTCGAAATCGGTCATTCAGTACTCAACCATGTCTCGCCTTTTTCATGGCGAATTCTGAATCGCCATAATTATCTGTTACCAGAAAAGTCTAAAATACCTTTCAAAAAATTTTCATCAAACTCTGAGACCTTTGGACACTCCTCGTCAATTTCAAAATTGAAAAATGCAGCTTTATTATGAGATTTGAAAATCGAAAGCCTAGAATGTAGAAGTTCGAAGTTAATAATCCAAAAAATCTATCGATCTCAAAAGTTCCTATCTTCGCCATTGCTGTGCACAAAATCAAGTTTTTCAGTGTCTGGGGTATTAAAATTTGACGTCTTCAGTTTTTGAATCAGAGCGGTCCAAAAAAAATCTCTGCATATAGCTGATTCACGGCTGGCTTGAGCCATCGAGAAAAGGGTCCTGCCACGAAAAGAGACGAGACAGTGCCCTGGTTGGTGGAGAGCGCAGACAGGCCACGCCTTTTTGCGTCCCAAGCTAGCCGTGAATCGTCTATAGTTTCAAAACGTTTCAATTTCTGTATGGTTTACGGAGTCTCTACTAAAATCCCCAGAAACAGTTCAGTTTGAGCTTCTTTACGTCAAACTTATCAAGAGGATTCTTTTGAAAATCCCGATTTCGCTTTATGAATGATCAACCTACAAAACTCTTAGTCAAATATTTTTGAGAAGCTTTAAATTAGTGTAAATCCTGAAGCTCATTAACGAATCGCTCCCCATTTTCTTCAAAACTGAACCCCAAACTGAAAAATTAGAATCCGAACACTTGAACTGAATCCCTGGCGTCCTTAAATTCAAAGGGAAGATGGGTTTTTTCAAAATATTCTTATTTATTTTCAGGCAGAACAAAATAACAAGTACAAAAAAAATTTTTTTTCGTTCGCAGGCAAATCGAGAATGTTTCCACAAAGGTACCTCTCAAAATGGATCGTGAAGACCCAATAATGTGTCCATCGTGAGACCTCCGGCATACCTTATTATTATATCTGAGCCATCTCGGAGGTAATTTAGAGCCTTCCTCAAGTCTCATTTTGCTCAAAATCCTTAGAGGTATACTCGAGGTACCATCGTGAGACTTCAGAGCCTGCGATACCCTTTCTCGATTCGCCTATGTTTGCTTTATCAGAAGGTTTTTTCCGATTAAGTGAACACCTTAGTTATTGAAACCCATCGCTTTCTTTCACCTTCCTCTTCCAAGACCCCTCAAAATCACCCTAAACCAGCTCAAGACAGTTGTAGTGAAGCTGCAAGTCAAGGTCGCAAGAGAGGGCTGTATAATCGGTGTCAATATGGAAATGAGACTTGTTGGCAACGTCGGAGGCAGCCGGCGGCCACTCGAGCCGCGTCTTTGACGGCTCTGACTGATTTGTGCGACCGGCGCGTGTCTCCAAGAGATTTACGCAACGATAGTGTTCTGTCGTGAATATCCTCGTTTTGATTAATTCGTCTTGTTTCAACACTAATTGGGAGGCTTGGAAGATCACTTACCAGGAAGGTTGGTAATTTCTTGAAATCGAGTCTTGTACATGATGAAGGAACTACACAACTTGTAGCTTTTAGAAAAAAGGGTTCAAAGCCCAAAATAGCTCATTTTTACGGATTTTGAGCTTTTTCTTCAACTTTCAAGTGTCCTTTCTCCAAACCTAGGAAAATCTACCGGTTGAGATTTTCAGGACCTTCTTCTGGTAGTTCTTGTGAGAGACAATTTAAAAATCTCTAGTCGCACTTGGAATGGCTCAAATCATTGCGGCTCGAACTGGACCTACAAAGTTTCTACTTGACGTGGTCCGGCGCGCAAGTCAATTTAGGTCGGGTGCACTTCCCAAAAGACCCCAGTTTCTTGAGCCTTCCTCCGGGCAATCACGCGCTTTAAAATACAAAAAAAAAATAATGAAAAACGACATTTTTAATTCAAAAATCGATCAAACTTCTAACCGAAATCTTTTCGGCTTTCGGCTCAATTCGGCTCAAAAACGGATTCAAGTACGCTCTACCGATAACTTGAATTTTCTACTTCCAAATCTCATAAATTTCGAGCTCCTGGGAAAATTTTTAGTGGTCACTATAGAGGCTCGCCAAGGACTACTTATAGAGGACTCTAAAGTGGCCACTAAACCCACCTCTAAAGTGGCCACTATTTTCCGTTTATTGGCCACTATGCCTCTATTTAGTGACCACTTCAGTAGTTTTTCATTCAGTATTCCTTCCAGTGACTCTGATAATTTTAAAACAAACAGATTGGACCAGTTATGGAGATCCATTGACCCCTAAAGTGGTCACTAAACATTTTAGTGGTCTAGTAGTAGCACGGAGACCTCTATAGTGGCCACTAATTTTTAACCCCATTGAGTGGCCACTGATTTGACTAGTATAGTGGCTCCTAAAACGTGCACTAAAAATTTTCCCAGCTTTTGAAAAAATCTCAAAAAGCCGCTTTTTCTTCAAATTCAATATGTTTTATAGTCTGTTCCGATTTTTAATGTCAAGTCCTCGCTCAAGCTCCGCACACTAATGGATCGATAAACCAATCAGAGCCATCCACAGAGCGTTTTCGAATGACGTCATTCTACTTGACATTCAAAATCTGAACGGACTATAGAGCTCAATGAAACTAAATTCAATCTTTTTTCTTAAACGTGGAACCATTTTTACAAGCTTCTCCCTGCCAAAAACACTTCCTCAAGTCTAGACATAACACATAGAGCTCAGTAACCCTTTTAATTAGCAGTTATGAAGAGGTCGTGATGAAAAAAAAGGGAACATGCATGAAATGAAGAAAACATGCGATTTTTACGAGGTCTCCGCATCGTTTATGGCCGTTTATTGTCGACGGTTTACGCGTCGATGCAGCCGTCGTCTAATTAATCCGAGAGAGAGGCTCAATTTGGCGCTTTTTATCGGCTCCCCAGCGGCGCTGACAAATTATTACCTAATAAGCTACCGGAAGCTTCTTTGGGATACTGTGGAGAGTATGTGGAAAACATCTAGCAGAATAAGTGATTTTTGAGTGGAAAAAATTCGAATTATCGGTGGAGCGTACTTGAATTCGTTTTTTGAGCTGAATTTTCAATTCCAATCATTATCAATCCTCAATTTTTTTTGGAGGAAAAGCTGAAAAATCGGGTGAAAGATTAGGGGAGAAGAAACATTAGAAAATTTAGGATTGATAATGATTGAAATTAAAAATTCGGCTCAAAAACGGATTCAAGTACGCTCCACGGATAATTTTAATTTTTTCCACTCCCAAACGGCTCAAAAAAATCACTTATTCTGCTAGATTTTTCACAGTAATTTTTTTAAATGAGTGAAAAAAAGTTTCGACCCAAATTTTTTACAGTTTCTGGAAGCCTAGGTACCATTAAAAAAATCTCCTAAAAATATTTTACACTAATTTTTACAAACTTCATCAACCTAACTAATATCTCAACCCCTTTGAAAAATCAACGAACAACTCAAAAAAGGGCCATAAAAACCTAGGCGCAAGTCTTCTGATCCCAAGCGCGTGGCCCGAGCTCGTCGTAAATCATTGTTCCACGGCGACACGGCCGGCGCCTTTCAACTTGCCCAATCGACACGAGAAAGAAGTTTTACTTATCGCTGCCGCCTGTTGTTATGACAGATGATACGCGAGGATGATTGCGTAACGACGCTCCAGATGACGCAACTTTCAGCGGTTTCTTGTGAAAAGAGAACTGTGCTGGGCTTCTGCCGGAAGATCTCAAACCTTGAGATTGAGGTTACGGTGAGCATCCGGTCCGTAAAAGCTCTATGAGCAGTGCTTTTTGGATTACTGTAAGCTAAGAGTCCGTAAAAGATTCTCCTAGGATTACGGTAAACCGAGAGCCGAAAAAGTTCTACATTTACAAAAAAGATGAGAGAGCATGAAACTTGATGAAACGCAGAGACTGAAAGAGATTACCTATCAGGTGATAGATAGTGAAAACCGGATAGAAGCAGTCACAAAAAGTTACTCGCTATGTCTGGGGCCCTCCTGTTTTCTAACACTCTCTCGTTCTTTCAACATTTTAATGCTCAAATTTAAAATTTTTTAAGCGATATCCAAAAAAAGAACATTAATCTCAAAGAGAAGCAGACAAAGAGAGAACACCCTCTGTGTCTGACGCTCTCATCTTTCCTAACACTCTCTCGTTCACTGCATTTCTAGTATTCTTTCCAAGGAATTCCGGGCCGAAATTTTAATAACTACCAATAATCCATGTCCAGGACGAGGAGAAAAGGACAATGGGACAATGGGATAAAAAATAGCATTAAATCCAAGGAGACGTAGACAAGATGGAAAAACTCCCTGTGTCTGATGCTCTCCTCTTCCCTCACACTCTCATTGTATTTTTTGTATTCTTTCTAAGAAATTCTTGGCCAAAACTCTCAAAATAACCCTAAAAAAATAATAACTACCGGTAACCATCGTCATGAACTCGGAAGAAAAAGTTGATAGGACAAAAATAGCATTAAAGCCAAGGAGACGCAGACAAGAAGAAAAAACTCTCTGTGTCTGACGCTCTCCTCTTCTTGAAAACTCTCTCGCATGTTTAGTACTCTTTCCAAGGAACTCACAACCAAAACTCTCAAAACA